TGGTCCGCCACCCCTGCGTAACTCTGGGCGAGGCAGGAGTTTCCTTTCAGTTCCAGAATTACTCCCGGAAAATTCAAACTAGCCAGCTGCCCTGAAGTGTCATCAGGAGTCCCATACCAATTCACTCTCCGGCCCGTTGATTTGAAACATGAAAAGGCCTTGGCAGCTCACCACCACACCACATACGTTCCCTTTCCGTAGGCGACTCCCATGGCTGTGCAGCTTCGAGCATGCCGAGGCGTGAAGCTTCAAACCTACCATGAACCGTCACCCAGCGTTAGTTCTTGTGGTAACCCTAATGGTGGTAACCCCGATTTCACTCGCATTACTATTAGTGGTAACTGGACCGCATCTTATGATCGTCTGAGCCCAGTAGTAGTAATTTCGAGACGACTACAAAATCATCATGTCAAAATCATCATAAGCCGAGCAGTACCCATGAGCCAGGCAGGACCAGATACGTTAGCCTTTTTACCTTGGCGGAGGAGTGTTCTGGTAATTAGTAGCCCCTTGCAGGTGAATGGCACGAGGCGCTTTGAAACACCATGGCATGGAGTGCAGGGTCGTGGTGTGCGAGTTACTGCTTTACAGAAGAATGATGTGCGGTTGAATGCGTTTCAGAGTAGCACTGTTATTACTGATACCGGCAAGGAGGATGGTTCCTGGCAGGAAAAAATTCTGAGGCGTCTTATTGCACTTACCACACCGCACAGTGGCAGCAGCAGCAATAACAACATCTGCAGTAGCAGCAACAGTAGCAGTAGCAGGGAGGTTGAAGTTTCAGGGACAGCTGTTGAGTCCATTCAAGAGTCATCTGGTTACGATGTTACGGCACAGAACTGGATCCCCAGCAACAGGGACGATGAGTTCTCAAGGTTGTGGGAAGCAAGACAAACGCGGAGGCGGAGAGGGGGAGGTAGAGCGGGAAGAGGAGACGGTATATGGGGTAAAGGGGATAACCAGAGGGTATGGTCTCAGAGGGATGGTGATTATATAGTGAGGATTGGTGACTATATGGAGAGGATTGCTGACGATGTGGAGAAAATTGGTGACGAGAGTGTAAAGGAGATTGGGGAGGGTGTACGGCAGCAGATACGCCATCGAAGGAGACTTTTTGAGAGGAGGAGGAGAAGGGGTTCGTCAGCCTTGGGATTGTCGGACTTGTATAAATCTCCACTAGAGAAGGCCGTGGATTCGGTGTCTGACTGGGTTGCTGACGTGTCAGCGTCAGTGGCTGAGTCAGTTCCGCCCACAATGGATAAGGCCAGGTGTGTCTTACACATATAATGTGTGTGGCACGCACCCTGTCACCCACCCACTCCACATTTCCCCACTCACAATATTCCACTCTCACCCAACCCCCTGGTTGTCTTTCACTTCTGTGATACCCATTTGCCCACCCACCCATCTTCCCAACAACCTCAGCCCGTTCCCAACTACTGACAGGATTGTTCTCTCCACCCGCTCTCCCGCTATCCACCCATCATCCCACCCCACCCACCCACCCACTGCCAGGCGTACTCTTACCACCCAGGTGGCAGCCCTCCCTGCCCGCCTGCACCAGATGCTACCTCCCCGCTCCTCCCCTCTCCCCGTCCGCCTCGCCCTCCTCCTCTCCTCCTCCCTCCTCCTCCTCTGCCTGCTCCTCCGCAGCTCCCTCGTCGCACGGGGCTTCCAGGCAGCTTCCGCTGCGGTGCGCGCGTTCTTTGCGCCTGTGCTGTGGGCCGTGAGTCCTGAGGAGGTTCTGCAGCAGCAGGAGGAGGAGAAGGCTGAACGGAAGGCACCGCTACAGCAGGAGGAGAAAGCTAAACGGAAGGTATCTGCTGAGAATTCAAAAGTAACGGCAGCTGCCGCTGCTGTGCGCTCATTCTTTGCACCTGTGCTGTGGGCTGTGGGTCCTGAAGAGGTTTTGCAGCAGGAGGAGGAGGAGGCAGAGAAAAAGGCACTGCAGCAGCGACAGCAGCAGCATCAGCAGCAGCAGCAGCAACAGGGCCAGCAGCAAAGCCAGCAGCAACAGAAGCAGCAGCAGCAGCAGCAGGAGCAGCAGGAGCAGACAGGCAGTAGCAGGATTGGTGAAACTGGTAGTTCTGCCTTTGTGATGAAATCTGCCTTTGGTTTCAGTGGCGGTTATGCTGGTGTTGATGGTGGAGTGGAAACAGCAGGGAAAGAGGCAGAAGACATTCACCGAACGATGCTGGCTCTTGAAATGAGCCAGGTGGATACAGCAGTGCGCTCAGATGAAAGTTCAGGTGAACGTGCACGAAAACCAGTAAAGGCACAGAATGGCATGGGCGTATCAGTCAGTCAATCTGGAAAGCAATCTAGTCACCACCGCAGAAGAATGGGCAGCAGATTTGATCGTAAATCTGTCGAGAATCAAAAGGACAGCAGTGGAATTAAATCGGATCTTATTCCGGATTGGTGGAGCGATGCCTGGGGCGAATTGGCCTTGCAGCAGACGCAGCGGTTGGCTGCAGGCTCGGGTGCAGGCTCGGGTGCAGGCTCGGGAAGTGGCCGAACCGGCTTTGCTTGTTCGGGAGGCGCTTCAGTGAAGGGCACACAGGTCGCCGTGATGGGTAAGCAGGCTGGGGGATGCAGTGGGATGCGGTGGGATGTGGTGGGATGTGGTGGGAGTGGATATAAGAATGTGTGTCTGGTGTTGTGATGGGATGTCGTGAGTCGGGAGGGGCTGGATTTGCCTGACTTTGGTGGGCTGACATGTGATATCTGAGAATCTTAGATTCATCCAACCAAATTCCTCAAGTATTTTCTAATATTTTTTTCTAGATAATGAATCTCAGGTGCTTTGGAGCAGTTCAACTCGCAGGGGCACATTCCAGCAGAGTCTCTGATTCAGGTGTGCCGCACCTGACCGCATGTCACTGCACCACGTTACATTGCCCCACACTGCACTGCACCCCACCGCACCGCACTGCACCACACCACCCTAGCCTACTTGAACCGTTTCGCATCACTCGGGCTGATACGATGGACAATCCCATGTTTAGCATCGTGTGTATACATGATGCTAAGTGTGTGTCTACATGATGCTAAGTGTGTGTATACATGATGCTAAGTGTGTGTATACATGATGCTAAGTGTGCGTATACATGATGCTAAGTGTGCGTATACATGATGCTAAGTGTGCGTATACATGATGCTAAGTGTGTGTATACATGATGCTAAGTGTGTGTATACATGATGCTAAGTGTGTGTATACATGATGCTAAGTGTGTGTATACATGATGCTAAGTGTGTGTATACATGATGCTAAGTGTGTGTATACATGATGCTAAGTGTGCGTATACATGATGCTAAGTGTGCGTATACATGATGCTAAGTGTGCGTATACATGATGCTAAGTGTGTGTATACATGATGCTAAGTGTGTGTATACATGATGCTAAGTGTGTGTATACATGATGCTAAGTGTGTGTATACATGATGCTAAGTGTGTGTATACATGATGCTAAGTGTGTGTATACATGATGCTAAGTGTGTGTATACATGATGCTAAGTGTGCGTATACATGATGCTAAGTGTGCGTATACATGATGCTAAGTGTGTGTATACATGATGCTAAGTGTGTGTATACATGATGCTAAGTGTGTGTATACATGATGCTAAGTGTGTGTATACATGATGCTAAGTGTGCGTATACATGATGCTAAGTGTGCGTATACATGATGCTAAGTGTGCGTATACATGATGCTAAGTGTGTGTATACATGATGCTAAGTGTGCGTATACATGATGCTAAGTGTGCGTATACATGATGCTAAGTGTGCGTATACATATCAGGCCTTCCAGCCTTCCGCCCACACTTCTACCCATCTCCATCCACCGTTAACCCATTGTGTCTTGAGCCGTCAGATCTGGGCGGCATGGCAAGCATCTGGTGACACGTGGCACACCCAGAGGGAGTCTGTGCGGCTGATAGTGTTCCACGCGGCTGTCCAGCTGGCACTGGATGAATGCCTCGGGTGAGAGGAAGAATGGGGTAGGAGGGATGGGGTGATGATGAGATGAGATGATGAGATGGGGTGATGGGTATGGGCCAAAAGGGGAAGGGGTGAGGGATGGAGCCAGGAGGAAATGGATGTGGGGGGGCGGAGTGAGGGGGATGGAGTAAGGGGGGTGGGAAGGACAGGGGGATTCCCTCCCCCTCCCTGTTTTCCATCAACTCTCCCCCCACTCCCCCTCCCGCCATGTACCTCGCGCCACCCAAATAACAGCAGCGGTGGGCCTCACAATTTTCCCATCCCCTTCCCTCCCTCCCCTTCTGCCATCCTCCCCTCACTGCACAGCTCGCACCACTCGTCCAAGCTCCCCACCTCGAGCCCGTCGTTCCTGGTCGCCATGGCAGCAGCGGTGGGCCTCACATATTCCTTATCGCCTGCTCCCCTTTCCCCCCTCACTGCACAGCTCGCACCAGCCGCTCAAGCTCTCTACCTCGGGCCCGTCCTTCCTGGTGGCCATGGCAGAAGCTGTGAGCCTTGCCCCACCTGCAGCTCTGGCAGCAGCGGTAGGTCTCACAATCTCCCTATCCTCCTCTGCGCCCCGCCCCCATACACAGCTCGCAGCACCCACCCAAACTCCCCACCTCGGGCCCGTCATTCCTGGTGGCCATGGCAGAAGCTGTGAGCCTCGCCCCTCCATCCGCACTGGCAGCAGCGCTGCGAGGGGTGGCCAGCAGAGTGGCGGCAGAGCTTGTTGCATGTAACGTGAGTGCGGCTGTGCATGGCCTTTTTTTTTTTTTTTTTTTTTTTTTTTTTTTCCTTCTTTTTTTCCTCTTTTTCTTCTTTCGGATTTACCTAGTACGGTTCTGAGCCACACTGAGAGTGGGGCCAGTACACTGGCATCTGAGCCTGTTCATAATCATGTATTGCAAAGCTCCAGTGGCTGGTGAAGTATCTTGCTGCCATTGGCGTTTCATTTTAATTTCCAATGTTTTTTTTTTTTTTTTTTTTTTTTTTTTTTTTTTTTTTTTTCCGGGAAGCAGGAGCTCATAGAAGAGAGTAAGCGGGGCGAAGCAGAGGCGAAGCTACAGAAAATCTCCAATCTTCTTTCTGAGTACACTCCTGCTAAAGTCTCGGTGCGTGTCTTTTGCTCCTGGATATGCATGGATTGTGTGCTCAGAAAACAGTCGTAACCAGTTTGTGTGCTCTGGAGAATTTTCACCATTTGTATCTTGAAGTCATCTCAAACTTCACCATTTGCATCCCCTTTCTTCCACCATCTCCACCACCACTGTCAGCCTGAACTGGCATCCTCGGCCAACCTTTTACGTGAGATGCTGTCGCAGCGAGAGCGGGAGGAGCTGGCGTGGATGTATGAGAAGGCTGCAGGTCCCATGCATGCCACTCTCGTGAAGAAAACACTCGGGCTTTGTTGAATTCGTACGTGAAGTTTCGACTCAACAAGACGCTGTGTGGTACGTGAAGTTTTGACTCGAGACATTCTGACGGCTTGGTCCCAAGCATTCCACACTCGTGAAAAAAGTGCTTGGGCTTTGATTACTGTATGTTGATGCTACTATCGCATGATTCAGCTGATGATGCCTCCAGCCTCCAGCTCTATCAAAAAGACATGTTTTTGGAACCAATGGCTGCGTCTGAGGTTACACCTCTATATTCGAAGGTTCAGTTGGCTGTTCTTGCAAGTTACAGGTCGGAAAAGAGTACGAGACAGTGAGGAGGTAGCTGAATCATGCCTTACCCTTGGGAATATTGATGGAATATCTGTATCATTTCAACACACAATAAAATTACAGAATGGATGCCTTGCCTGCCCAGTAACATCACACCAGCAAGACTTCCTATGGCTTCTGCAATGCCAAGTTCCCAACTCCTGATACTGCCCCTAATCATTACTACTTTTGATCCTCCACGCTTCACTTGCTGAAGAAATCTTTAATGCCCGAAAAAACAGTCCTGCAGGAGGGAGTTAAAAGATCCACAGACAATGAAGGGATCGCCCGGATCGGGTGGGAGAAGAAAAAAAAACAAACGCAAAAGAAAAAAAGTGATGAGCTGTAGTGAAAAAGACAACCAGAGGAAGGCGAATGACACGCTTACTAGGAGCTAAGGTCTTAACCGGAAGCGACCCTTCAACCAGGCCCAAGCCGCCCTTGCCCCTGCTGCTGCAACAGCCATGGTCAGAGCTAAGACTGCAGCTAGCAGTGCTGCGTTTGGCACGTGGCGCCATGAGATTGGTTTGCTGGGGGAAATGAACGGCTGAATGGTCTCCTCTGTGAATCTCCTGGCCTCTGATTGGATGGTTTGGATCACCCGTTTGGCCCCTCTGCAGGATCAACCAGAGCAACCAATGAGCGCACGCCACGTGTGTGCAGAGCAGGCGAGGCAATTCAATTATCACGGTTGGGAGGTCCTGGCCATTGAGTCGACTCAGAAGCCACTTGGTAGTTGAGTGGTGCTGGCTTTTGAGTTGACTCTTAGTCAGTTAGTGCTTGGGAGGTGTTGGCGACAGAAAAGCTATCCCTTAAAGCATGACTGCACCACAGGTGCACCATTCACCACAGGTGCACCATTCACCACAGGTGCACCATTCACCACAGGTGCCTAGTGGCTCTCTCAAAGGACGAAACCAACGAAGTGGCTACTTGTGGCGCACTCACGTGGTTTCACACCAGCATGCAGATATTGAGTCGATTTATAAGTGGGGCACTTTGGTGCAATCACACACACACACACACACACACACACACACACACACACACACACACACACGCACACGCACACGCACACGCACACGCACACGCGCACGCGCACGCGCGCACGCGCACGCGCGCACGCACACACGCACACACGCACACACGCACACACGCACACACGCGCACACGCGCACACGCGCACACGCGCACACGCGCACACACACACCCACGCACACACACACACACACACACACACACACACCCACCCACCCACCCACCCACACAACACACACACACACACAACACACACACACACACACACACACACACACACACACACACACACACACCCGCTTGCAGCGGCGTGCATGGGCGTGCGTGAAAGTGGCATGGCATGTATGCCAGTACAGCAATATCTAGGGCTGGAGTCTCGGGGCTGAAAAGGCAACACAAGGGGTAGGTGACTGAAGGGACTCAAGGGGTAGGTCTGAAGGGGCGAGGGGAGGGGCGGAGTGACGAGTTGAAGGCAGAAGGACTCACTTGACAGTGTCGACAATGCCCTCCCCATCCACGCCTGAGCTGGATGATGAACCCCGTGGCCCTGAGGGGGGAGAGAGGGAGACAGAGGGGAGAGGGAGGGGAGAGAGAGGGGAGAGGGAGGGGAGAGAGAGGAGAGAGAGAGGGGAGAGAGGAGAGCGATTGAGGGAGCATTAGCAACCCCGATGCGAGGAGCTCTCGACATGCACGCACACAGATGCACAGACGCATGCACAGCCACACGCATGCATGTACGCACACAAGCAATTAGACAAGCAAGCGAGCATGCAGCACTCACTTGCGCCCTCCACAGTAATCCCGGTGCGTGTCTTGCCTGTCTTGTGAATTGACGCCAGCTCCTCCACCAGATCCTTTCGAGTCGACTCGTAAGTAACACACACAGGCAAGCAGGCAAGCAAGCAAGCAGGCAAGCAAGCGAGCAGGAGAGCAAACCAGCAGGAGGACTCACTGGCGCCCTCCACAGTGATCCCCGTGCGCGTCTTGCCCGTCTTGACTTGTAAGTTGACTCGATAGTCATCTCGCAAGCATGAAAGCAGACGAACAACTAAGCAAGCAAGCAAGCCAGCACACTCACTGGCGCCCTCCACAGTGATCCCCGTGCGCGTCTTGCCCGTCTTGACTTGTAAGTTGACTCGATAGTCATCTCGCAAGCATGAAAGCAGACGAACAACTAAGCAAGCAAGCAAGCCAGCACACTCACTGGCGCCCTCCACAGTGATCCCCGTGCGCGTCTTGCCCGTCTTGACTTGTAAGTTGACTCGATAGTCATCTCGCAAGCATGAAAGCAGACGAACAACTAAGCAAGCAAGCAAGCCAGCACACTCACTGGCGCCCTCCACAGTGATCCCCGTGCGCGTCTTGCCCGTCTTGACTTGTAAGTTGACTCGATAGTCATCTCGCAAGCATGAAAGCAGACGAACAACTAAGCAAGCAAGCAAGCCAGCACACTCACTGGCGCCCTCCACAGTGATCCCCGTGCGCGTCTTGCCCGTCTTGACTTGTAAGTTGACTCGATAGTCATCTCGCAAGCATGAAAGCAGACGAACAACTAAGCAAGCAAGCAAGCAAGCCAGCACACTCACTGGCGCCCTCCACAGTGATCCCCGTGCGCGTCTTGCCCGTCTTGTGAATTGACGCCAGCTCCTCCACCAGATCCCGCTCCGTGGGGCTGCTCACAGCACACACCACACATTACGTGCACGGCAGGGATAATGAGAGGGGAGAGGAGAGGAGAGTGTATGTGTGCTGGCGTTTGTTGAGTGATCACGGCAAGCCTGGCTCCGCCAGCTCCTCCACCAGGTCCCACTCCGTGGGGCTGCTCACAGAAAACGCCACATGCCACATGGACGCAGACAAACAAGGGATGAGGGGGGAATGGGAGGTTACGACAAGCCCGGCCCTGCCAGCTCCTCCACCAGGTCCCACTCCGTGGGGCTGCTCACAGAAAACGCCACATGCCACATGGACGCAGACAAACAAGGGATGAGGGGGGAATGGGAGGTTACGACAAGCCCGGCCCTGCCAGCTCCTCCACCAGGTCCCACTCCGTGGGGCTGCTCACAGAAAACGCCACATGCCACATGGACGCAGACAAACAAGGGATGAGGGGGGAATGGGAGGTTACGACAAGCCCGGCCCTGCCAGCTCCTCCACCAGGTCCCACTCGGTGGGGCTGCTCGTGCCACACGCCACACACCACATGGATGCAGAGAAAGAAGGGGGATGGGGAATGGGAGGTTACGACAAGCCCGGCCCTGCCAGCTCCTCCACCAGGTCCCACTCGGTGGGGCTGCTTGTGCCACACGCCACACACCACATGGATGCAGAGAAAGAAGGGGGATGGGGGAATGGGAGGTTACGACAAGCCCGGCCCTGCCAGCTCCTCCACCAGGTCCCACTCCGTGGGGCTGCTCACAGAAAACGCCACATGCCACATGGACGCAGACAAACAAGGGATGAGGGGGGAATGGGAGGTTACGACAAGCCCGGCCCTGCCAGCTCCTCCACCAGGTCCCACTCCGTGGGGCTGCTCACAGAAAACGCCACATGCCACATGGACGCAGACAAACAAGGGATGAGGGGGGAATGGGAGGTTACGACAAGCCCGGCCCTGCCAGCTCCTCCACCAGGTCCCACTCGGTGGGGCTGCTCGTGCCACACGCCACACACCACATGGATGCAGAGAAAGAAGGGGGATGGGGGAATGGGAGGTTACGACAAGCCCGGCCCTGCCAGCTCCTCCACCAGGTCCCACTCGGTGGGGCTGCTCGTGCCACACGCCACACACCACATGGATGCAGAGAAAGAAGGGGGATGGGGGAATGGGAGGTTACGACAAGCCCGGCCCTGCCAGCTCCTCCACCAGGTCCCTCTCCGCGGGGTTGCTCGTAGCACATGCCACATGAATAGCAGCGTAAGGGGAGGGAGTGGGAGAGTGTAGAAGTGTTAGGGTTTGTTGGTCAATCACAGCAAGCCTGGCCCCGCCTACTCCTCCACTAGGTCCTCCTCCGTGGGACTGCTCATAGCACACGCCACACACAACATGCCACACGCATAGCATGGGGGGAAGACAAGAGAAGAAGGGGGAAGAGGAGAGTGCATAATGATGAGATGGTATATGCCCCCTCTCCTCTCCACCAGGTCTCGCTCAGTGGGACTAAGGCACGGAGTTTGGGGAGCCGGGTGGGGAGACGGTGTGGTGCTATGAAACAAATGTGCGAAGCGACAGGATGTCAAAGGGCGTCACGATCAAACGCAGAGATGAAGGACGTTCAGAGACCTCTCCACCTTTGAAAATTCTCAAGAATGTTTATGAAGCCATCTACAACTCTAATCCTCCACCCAAGAGCAACAGCAGTTAAAGGGAAAGAGGAGAGGAGCACTGCCTTGTATCCCGTTATAAGCACCTGACTCGTTTAGGAATGGAGACGTTGACTTGGAAGAAGTGGTCGCCCCGGATGTTGCTCTTGCCCACCTTGGGCACGCCCTTGCGCTCCAACACCAGCGTATCCCCTGGCTGTGTGCCTGCCGGCACTCTCAGCTCCGCTGCCCCGTCCACCGTTGCCACCTGTGACAGGGATGCATGGGAAGGGGATGTTTTGGAGATTGTGGCAGCAGTGGCAGCAGCACCACCTTGGGCACGCCCTTGCGCTCCAACACGAGCGTATCCCCTGGCTGTGTGCCTGCTGGCACCTGCAGCTCTGCTGCCCCGTCAACCGTGGCCACCTGGGGTAGTACAGAGATGTGGGAGGAATAAGAGTTGACGGATTAGACGGGGAGAAAGAGAATGAGAAACCGCAGCTCTACTGCCCCATCAACTGTCGCCACCTGGGGAGAAAGAGATATGTGAGAGCATAACAGTGGAGAAGTTGAGGGGAAAGGGATTGTGGCAGCAGTAGTCCCTGCAAATGCCATCTAAAGCTGCATGCCTCAACTCCCAGACAACACTTTAGCACATTCGCAGCATTTCCCACCCTGTCCAAAGCACCCACCTTGGCGGAGGTGCCCAGAATGGCGTCAGTGTAGTCGATGCTGACGTTGGAGTAGAGGTTGATGCCGTCCCTGCGAATGCCCTCCGCTGCTGCTGCAAGCCTCAGTGACCAGACACCACGTGTTCACATTAGCACTCGCCCTGCCCTGAGCACCCACCTTAGCGACGGTCCCAAGGATGGCGTCAGTGTAGTCGATGCTGACATTGGAGTAGAGGTTTATGCCGTCCCTGCGAATGCCCATCGTCTCCTTCACCTTCACAAACACGTACAGGTCGCCCCGCTTGCCGCTGGTGGGAAGAGAAGGAGAAGGAGAAGGGAGGAAAGAGAATGAGACGAGGGAGAAGGGGAACGAGGAAGAAGACGAGTAAGAGACTGTCTCTTTCACCTTCACTAAAACGTACAGGTCGCCGGGTACTGTCTCCTGGTGGGAGGAGGAAGAGGAAGAGAAGGAGAAAAGGATGACAGAGGGGATGTCGGATAAAGGTAGGGTGTGTGTCTCTTTCACCTTCACAAACACGTATAGGTTGCTCTGCACGGCGCTGGTGGGGATATAAGGAGAAGGGAAGGACGAAAACGAGTAGAGGAAACGAGGGAGCAGACTGGGCAGAGGTTGCCTCCCTGAGTCCACACCAGCAGGCACGTTGATCACCACTGGTTTGCACGGTGCTGCTGCTGTTGTGATGTTGTGCTGGTGGTGCTGCTGGTGGCAGTGGTGCTGGTGGTAGTGCTGGTGCTGGGGTGTTGGTGCTGCTGGTGGCAGTGTAGGTGCCGGGGTGGTGGTGCTGCTCGTGGTTGCCTATATTGCTGGCGTGAACAATACATCATCCACTCACTCACCCGCGCATGCCAGCATCGCCCTCCCCTTTGATGCGCAGCACTGTGCCCGAGTCCACCCCTGCAGGCACGTTGATCACCACTGGCTTGCATGGTGCTAGTGCTGGTGCTACTGTTGGTGTACTGGTGGTGGTGCTGCTACTGGTGCTGTTGCACGCAAACACTAAACAGTCCATACAAGCGACTCACTCACCCGCGCATGCCAGCGTCGCCCTCCCCTTTGACGCGCAGCACCGTCCCCGAGTCCACCCCTGCCGGCACGTTGATCACCACTGGCTTGCGCGTCCTCACCCGCCCCTCGCCCCCGCACTTGCGGCAGAACTCAGATATCACCTCCCCCACTCCTGCACACGTCGAGCATGTGGACACCTGCAGACAAAGGGACACGGGAGGAGCAATTAGGTGCCTCAGACGAAGAACTCAGATATCACCTCCCCCACTCCAATACACGCCGAGCACGTGGACACCTGCGGATAAAAGGAAGGCGGGGAGGATTTTTGGACATGCCCAATGCCCACGCCGGGAGACACCTTGTATTCCACTGTCCACACGACCTCGGCTCCCTCGTAACAACACGCCCCCCAGGGCAGTTCGCCTGACTTTTGAATCGACTCAAAAGTCACTGTACACTCGACCTCGGCTCCCTCCCTCACTCTCATGCACTCATGAGAACACGCCCCCCAAGGCCGTTCGCCCAACACGGAGTCTGCATGACCTTCCCCATGCCCTGACATGCGAGGCTTTCATCATTGCCCCTCATCATCTCACTCCGTGTAAACGCACCCCTCCCATTTACGTACCGAGGAGAACATTCCAAAGGCCGTTTGCCGCGTCTGCATGACCTGCCCCATGCCCCAGCACGTGGGGCACGTGGTGCTTTCTTCGTTGCCACCTCATCATCCCACACCGCTCAAACAAACGCACCCCTCCCAAACAAACGCACCCCTCCCAAACAAACGCACCCCTCCCAAACAAACGCACCCCTCCCACTCACGTACCGAGGAGAACATTCCGAAGGCCGTTTGCCTTGTCTGCATGACCTGCCCCATGCCTCGGCACGTGGGGCACGTGCGGGGGGGCGTGCCCGCCTTGGCGCCTGACCCCCCACACTCGTTGCACCCGTCCAGGTGGGCCACGTTGATCGTCTTCCACTCCGTTCAACCGCATCCCACACACTCACACACCTATGACACTCGCACACCCATGACAACAAACCCCATGGGGTTTCGCTGTCTGCTTGACCTTCCCCTGCTGCAGAAACACCTGATCACTCCACACCATTGAAACGCACCGATGAGAACATTCCGAAGGCCGTTTGCCTTGTCTGCATGACCTGCCCCATGCCCCGGCACGTGGGGCATGTGCGGGGGGACGTGCCCGCCTTGGCGCCCGACCCCCCACACTCGCTGCAGCCGTCCAGGTGCCCCGCTGATGGTCTTCCACTCCGTTCAACCGCATCCCACACACTCACACACCTATGACAACACGCCCAAGGGGTTTCGCTGTCTGCTTGACCTTCCCCTGCTGCAGAAACACCTGATCACTCCACACCATTGAAACGCACCGATGAGAACATTCCGAAGGCCGTTTGCCTTGTCTGCATGACCTGCCCCATGCCCCGGCACGTGGGGCATGTGCGGGGGGACGTGCCCGCCTTGGCGCCCGACCCCCCACACTCGCTGCAGCCGTCCAGGTGCGCCACGTTGATGGTCTTCTCCGCGCCGAATATCACCTCGCGGAACTCCAGCGGCATCTCCATTCTGATGGGCGAGGGCGGGGGGGGGTGTAAGCAGGAGTGGGAAGGTGTGGGCAGGAGTGGACAGGAGTGGGCAAGAGTGGGCAGGAGAGTGGGCAGGAGTGGACAGGAACGGGCAGGAGTGGGTGAGAGAGGGATTGAGGGGTAAGGTGGACTTGGGACCCACGGCGCGCGCACTCGCTGCAGCCGTCCAGGTGCGCCACGTTGATGGTCTTCTCGGCGCCGAATATCACCTCGCGGAACTCCAGCGGCATCTCCATTCTGATGGGCGCAGATGGGCGGGGATGGGCGGGTGAGCGGGGATGAGCGGAAATGGGAGGGGATGGGCGGGCATGGGCGGGGATGGGCGGAGATGGTAAGGATGGGCGAGGATGGTCGGGGATGGGCAGGAGCGGGGAGGGATGGGCGGGGATGGTCGGGGATGGGCAGGAGCGGGGAGGGGTGGGCGGGGATGGACTGCCTCGCCCTTCGTCAGTCTCTCACTGCCTACTCTCTCTCCTTCAATCTCTTACTTCCCCCTCTTGCCACCCCTCCCTGCGCCACTCACTTGACATCGTCGCCCGGAACAGGTTGTCGCGTCCGCGGGCCTGCGCCGCCCATGCCGCCCATTCCGCCCATGCCTCCCCGCGCGGCAGCGCCCATACCCGGCCCGAATATGGACTCGAACAGGTCGAACGGGTTCGACTGCAGGCAACAGGCAGAGGTGGAGCCAGAGCAGACAGAAGGGTTCAAAAGTTCTGAAAAGACCGGCCCATGCCGCCTGCCTACCCTCGCAGCAGCGCCCATATCCAAATCAATGATGGATTTGAACAGGTCGACAGGGTTCGACTGCAACGGGTTCGACTCCACACGCGTTGACAACGGGTAAACCAGATGGGTGAGGCGTTGAGTGGGTGGAGCAATACGTTTGGTTATTAGACTGATTTCACTGATTGGCTTACGCTCATGGGCTCGGAACTGTGTGCACAGCACAATAAATCTCGGGAATACACATTCATGCTCCTGCCATGCTTTCGTTCCGTTCCGTGAGCGCATATTGACGAGGTGCCAATTGAGCGCATGATTCGGGTTACTACAACGCACCGTTATCAACTCACACGCCAATGCATCCCATACTCACCGTGTAAGCTCCCGCTCCTCCCATGCCACCAGACCCAGACACGCCCGCCTCCCCAAAGCGGTCGTATAGTGGCCGCTTCTCGTCGTCCGAAAGAACCTGGCACGAGGGAGAGAATGATCGCACCAAGTGGAGTGATGCGGGAAGCGTGGTTGACGACAAATCGGTGCATGCGTGAGGAAATGCTTCTGGGACTTCTCAGAAGCGGTGGTACAGCGGCCGCTTCTCATCGTCCGAAAGAACGTGGGCCGGGGGAGAATGATCACACGAGGCCGAATAATCGCAGGAAGAGTACATGAGGGTATTACGGTGCATTCGTGAGGAATTCAAAAAAAGGGTGCTGAAGACGCCCAGTGGAAGACGCGCTAAGAACAGGAGCCATTTTCCTTGATAAGTGACCGATGCTGCTCATGCTGGCGTGCATGCGAAGGACAGAAAGCTGACAGCTACGAGGACACGTGCTAGAAACCACGTGCTAGGAGGCCACGTGCCATGAGGCCACGTGCTAGGGGGTGACATGTGGTTGGCAGTGGTTGGTAGTGGTTACCTCGTACGCGCTACTGATCTCCTTGAACTTGTCCTCCGCTCCAGGGTCTTTGTTCACGTCCGGATGGAACTGCACGTGGTTTAAGAGGGATGGGAACACGAAGGAAAAAGACTGGTGAGATGAAGCTCGAAAGAGGACAAAATCCTTCGAATCTGGCAGAAAGCTGTTGCAACAGAAACAAGCACAAAAGCATTGACACACTGCTCGGTGCGTCGCAAGGTCCTGCTAAGAAGATGCACTTTGCAGAAACGAATACAACAAGGAGCTTCACCTGCCGAGCGAGTCGTCGGTACGCGCTCTTGATGTCTTGCTTCGACGCGTTCTTGGCAACTCCGAGCGTGGCGTAATAATCCGCCGCTGCCCTAACCGTTAGTCTTGCACCTCGTGATCCCGAGCCGCGCGAACTGGGTACCCTACATCTGAGCAGCGCCGTTTGTCCTGGTCGGAAAAACTCATCTCTAGACGAAAATGCGAAGCTAGATGACGTGAATGACGAGTTTCTGGTTCCAGTGGATGGCTGAAGCTGGCCAGTAGCTGCTAGTCTAATTGACGCTGACGGAATCTGACAAGCAGCCATGGTTGCTCCTTGACACAAACCCAACGACATCGCCTTCTACTGGTGCTTGCACGAATTCAGTCGACCAGAACTATCGACAATGGACGACGAAAATCGCAACAGGCTATGGAATCACGAAGACACTAGCTAGAGATACAGAGATGTTCAGACAAGATGCCTTCAAAAATGAATGTGGGAAGCATAGATAATGCCTGATGCTGTCGGAAGGAAGCCCGAGGATTCAGGAGTTATCCGTGGAGTGTGAAGGAGGCAATCTCGAGGTTTGCTGATTCAGCGACATTCGCAAAAGCCATTTTGGTGGTCAGCGAGTAGATTCGAACTCTCGCGAGGAATCGGGTCTTGCTGACGCAGCAGAGATTTTGGCGGGAATGTGGACACCCTGACACGCAATCGCGTTCGCCATACGCCAAGCCTTGCTGACTCACACGTGGCGTGCCAGGAACCTTGCACGTGGAAACTGAAACATTGCAAGCTTCAGTGATATGACCAGTGTACATGGTATAATCATGATGCTCATCTGTAACTGGTAAAGCCACTTTGTCACTAACAATCTAAATGTGTCTTCGTGTTTTATGCTACTGTGGTGATCTAACAAGCCCACTTTCAAGCAGGGCAACTAATCTGAGCATATGATCTGCTTAACCCACGAAACTGCGTAGTATAATCTCGGAATCCACGAGTACCTTCACAGAACTATTTTCAGCCCACAAACTATCAACAACCTAGAAAGCAGTTACCCCCGGAAAGGGACCCTTCCAAGGAACTATTCCAGGGTTATCCTGTGCGCCAAAGAAATTCGAGAAATCCTCTTCGGTGATATTGAAAGCTTCAGCACCAAGTGCCGGCCTCATGGCCTTGTACACACTCTTGCTCCCTGCTCAAAAGAATAGGTGCAAAAGATTAGCTACCAATCCAGAGGGACCCGAATCAGACGAGGAGCAACTCAGAGAGAAAACGAAACGTCCTGAGCACAATATTCTGCTGATTACCTGCAAGAAATTTGATGGATGGATGATAGGAGCCGATTCTCACACCAAGAATCTGCACGCCCTGCTCTCCCGCCTGCAGGGCGTGGGCATATCCCATGGGAACCACTCCCACGTGGCCTGCTTGCACGGCATCGGTGGCGGCCGTGGTGCCGTTGGGGTGCACCGACTCAAAGTGGCCAGAGCCCTTGAGCACCGTGAACACCACTGCTGCGTTGCCATGGATGTGTGGTGCCACCACCGCATGCTGCAGGTGCAATGATTCAAGAGAGAGAAAAAAGCAGAAACTTAGAGTGGAAGCAGCACTTGGAGAGCACCGCAAACACCACCACTGCTGCGCTGCCATGGATGTGCGGCGCCACCACCGCATGCTGTATGGGCGATGATTCAGGAGAGGGGGGATTGAAGAGTGCGGGTGGGGATCGGGATGGGTGTGAGGGTGGGAGTGAAAGAGCGAGTGGAGGGCGTTTTGAAACTAGAAAAGCACGTCCCAAACCTGTCCCAAACCTTGCAACAAGTCTCAAAACTTTAACCGTCTCAAATTAGACGTACCGGGTAGAGGGTGAGCAGTACAATCTCTCCCTGAATGCCTGCGTGCCTGAGCGCCTTGAAGTCACGGCACGACACTCGCACCATGCTGCCGCCCTCCGTCACGATTGCAGGCTTCCGTGCTGCCACATGATCCACCAGAACAACCTTCTTCTTCTCTTTCTTCTCCTTCTTTCCCTTCTTCTCTTTCTTCTCTTTCTTCTTCTCCTTTTCCTCCTTCTCCTTCTTCTTCTTCTCCTTCTTCTCCTCCTTTTCCTTCTTGCCCTTTTTCTCCTTCCCCTTACCCTTCTTGCTCTCTACCCCAAAATCCACTCCTCCCTCAGCCGAACCCATCCTCCTCATCCCAACAACAGCACCCCTACCAGTTCCCACCTCCTCCAACTCCCCTGACAGATCCCCCTCCAACACACCACCCTCCAACCCATCCCCTTCAGACCCATCCTCCTCTTCCGCATCCTCCTGTGCAGCAAGCTCAGGAGGCGAGGGTGGTACGCAGCGGGACACGATGATTCCTCCCCCGGTGGCCTGGCGTAGCAGCGCCCTGACGACATCGTGCTGCTGGTTGAATGCCGTCTCCAGGATGTGCAGACTGAAGCCAGACAGCACCGAGTGGGGGCTGCTGCCTGCAAGGTACGATTTCTGGAAACAGAGGGAGTGAAGGCAGAATATAAAACTTTCAAGCGACTTAGGGTGGCTTAGAGATAACAATATTTGCGGAATGAAGGGAGAGCAGAGCAGTCACCTGCTTGTGATGGCTGAATCGGACGGCTGTGATGATGAGCTCTGGGGATTCGTTGAGGTAGTTCCCGATGCTGTACGTCCATCCCTTGGGAACCACGACCGCGTCCCCGCTGTTCACAGTGATTGGTGACACGTCAGCAGGTGCCTGGCCATTGTCATCTATCAGCTCCACCACACCCGACCCTGATATTGGTTAAGCAACAGCCGGCACACAGCAGGAAAATATAACGAAAAGGGGCAGACGAGAAGCTAGGAGCATGGCAGATCAGCAAGAGACATCATTTGTTGAGAGAAGCTACGGAAATTAATGAGCATGCATTTTTATGATTAAAAATAAAGTGTCTCAAGGGAGGGAAGGTGTTACGGCTTACCTTGTTGAATGAACAGCAAGGAGGGAGAGCCAATAGACACCCGAGGCAGCAGCAATCCGCACTGGCGAATCAAAAGCCGCTCCACCGCCACGTCAGCCGCCTCCTTGAGGACGTCGAACGAGTAGGACGCGATTTCGCCGCCTCCGAGTCGCTCTGATGCTGCATGATCCAGGCTTAGCGTCCATGGCGGTTGAAGCCTGGCCTCAACACCTGTGGATGAACATGAGAACTGAAGAGGTAAAAATCTCATGCGGAAACTATAGAATTGTGGAAAAGGCTGTCAGAGCTTTGAATGAAACAACAAACGATAAAGAAGCATGTGAAGGATGCTATGAAAAACGATACATGTCGCATACTCTGAAGAATCAAAAGAACGGTTGTCAGTACAACAGCGGCACGCGGAATCCTCATCGCTCTACCTCAACGGCAGGCAAACAACAAACGGGAAGGGACTCGGACGAAAGCCACAGAACAAGAGACTCAAGAACGACAGGGACAGGAGGTATATCCAAGCGCAATTTCCCCCAGCGCAGATGCAAGCTCGGGTGCTTGATGGCTCTCGCCTGTGCTTCGAGAGTCTCACCTCACAGACTTCAGCCTCCGTCCATCATAGACTTCAGCGTTTAGGCTATGGAATGAATATCCTTGAAAGGCACGAATTACGGGGCGCACATGGTGATGATGCTATCGCCACCACATCCCAGACTGCAGCTGACGATGAGACAGCGACGCACTTGACTGGTTAGCGCCACGTGCCTTGTTCGCATCGTAAATCCCTAACATGCAAGCGGGACCAAACATTTCCAAGCATGCGAGATTCCGATCTTGCCTGTTGGATGATTTGAGACTTCGCTCGTGTCCGTCCCACGGGGAGTGGCGTGTCTGACAATTTCTAGGCCATAATTTCTTCTCGAGTTGGCGACTGTCCTGGATTCCATTCCAAGTTAATTCCATCCACTTGCTTTGGTAGTGGGCAATATATTAAAGCCCGCGTCCCAAATTGCGGGCCGCGAGGGTCAAGTTTTTAAAACTTGACGAAGTTGAGTGTCCAAGCTTTTGAAAGTCACGCACTTGCAATTTGGGACTTTCGAAGACAGATTCACTCACCAGGGGGAAAACCGAGGATTGGCTGGGTCTCGCGAAAAAAACGAACCTAGACGAAATCGGAAACTCTCGCCAAAGCCCACACCAGAAAAACTCCCTCTGGTCAACTTTTAAAAGCATGAACAATTTGGCCGCCGGCTTTAAAGCCAGGATCTCAAGTAAGAGAAATTGGCTTCAATTGCAAAACACTTGCAGCTCGAGTCACCCTGTTTGTTTAGGCGAAATCGAGTGGTTGGGTTGGAGGTTCAGTGTGCGACTGATCCCCGATTTGCCCGTGAATCTCAATTGCAAAACAAATTGCTGTGCATGAGATTTTTCGGCAAGTGAGACACATTGTTGGGAAATGAGCTTCGGAACCCAACCAGATTTCCGTGCCTAGTTGGTTCGGAAGTTCACTGCGATTTTTGTTTGCTTCGCATCCCTCGTTTCAGCTCTCGTCAACTACTCTACCTCGTCAACCAATCACAGCCTAACACAATTCACTAACTGCAAAACAGCCAAACTACTTGAGATCCTGGCTTTAAACAAACAGACAGATCACTAGGTAAACAATACGCATGCAAGTTACAAACAAACATATCACTTCTTTCCCTTCTTGCCCATCCTGGGGTTCTTGAGCATGCGGACTGAAAGGGGTGTAACCTCCACGAGCTCATCCTCTTGAATGTACTCCACACAGTCATCCAAGCTGAACTCAAGGGGTGCCGCCAACACCACTGCAAGGAAAAACGCAACCAACAAATCTGAATGTTAGAAAAAAAAAAAAAAAAACAGCACATAACAAAAGCAAAAGAAAGCTGCAATACACCACATCACATCACATCAGATCCTCAGCCAAGAAAAAAAGTCATGCCCACTCACATTCACAAGCACACACACACAGACACAGGCACACGCACGCACCTGTGGCATCCTTGTTGGATCGCACGTTGGTGGCAGCTTTCCTCTTGCACGCGTTGAGGTCCAGGTCGCCAGGCCTCTGGTGGAGACCGATGATCATCCCCTTGTACACCTCCACTCCCGGCCCCAGCAGCAGCTGCCCCCTCTCCTGACAGCTGAAGAGCGCATACGACGTGGTTGGGCCCATGTCAAATGACACCTGCAAGGAAAGGAAGTGGGAGAGGGGAGAGTGGTGTGAGTGGTGGATAGTAGCAGCAGCAGCACATGGGCCCCAGCAGCAGCTGCCCCCTCTCCTGACAGCTGAAGAGAGCATACGACGTGGTTGGGCCCTTGTCAAACGATACCTGCAAGGAAAGGAAGTGGGAAGGGAGGGAGGGAGGGACATGGCGGATTCTAGACAACACAACACCGCACAAGAAGGCAGGAAAAACCTAGACCTGATCCGTTGTATGTAGACCACAACACATGGTTGAACTCTTCTCCCAGCACATCTAGCGGTACTCACCAGGGAGCCCTGCTTGCGAGTGCTCATGTCATGTCGCCTGCCCACGGCTCGTAACAGTAGTACTCACCAGGGAGCCCTGCTTGCTCGCGAGTGCCCATGTCGCCTGCCCACGGCCCGTAGCTGTCAAAGATGATCCTAATGACGCAGCCCCTTGCAAGGCGCAGCCCCAGCAGGCCACATGTTACCAGACATCTAATCATCAAGTGCTTTCCCCACGGCTCGTGACAGCAGTACTCACCAGGGAGCCCTGCTCGCGCGTGCTCATGTCGCCTGCCCACGGCCCGTAGCTGTCAAAGATGGTGTTGATGACGGCTGTGCCGCGCGTGGCAGTCAGCATGGCGTTGCGCAGCCCCAGCAGGCCACGGGTTGGTACACGGTATTTCACCACCGTGGTGCCGGAACTGGAGGTGGTGAAGAGGGGTGGAGAGGGGTGAAAACGGATGGTAAGGGTTGACACTGGTGAATACTATCTAACCAGTTCCATAAAAGTATACTCAAACCACCATGAACGTCCCCAGAAAATCACCTGAACGACCTGGCGTCTCACCTGGAGGCCTGCAGGTCGAGCATTTGCCCCTTGCGCGTACCGAGCATGTCCACCACTGCCCCCACATACTCCTCTGGCACCTCCACCACCGCTTCCTGCACACATTCAGATACAAGCAGAGGGAGACAGGCGGGCAGTTAGGTTAGGATGGAGTGCGAGCAACAGGGAGAGTCACGAGTGTGTACCCAGCATGTCCACCACAGCCCCCACATACTCCTCTGGCACCTCCACCACCGCTTCCTGCAGAGCGAGAAGAGCCATAACCGAGTGTGAAGAGCGAGGGAAGGGGGAGATTCGTGTTGAAGGAAAGTGGATGTCATGCAGGATCTCTCTATGAAACCACGAGTTCCCTCTTCATCCCATTTCTCTCTCGCCTGGCTTGATCACTATCAGACCCCCACCTCATATGGCCCGCCAGCACCTGAAACCTGCTCACTTCAATGCCTCTCGCAACTTGCTTTACTCCTGCTTCTTTGAAGCGCTTCAGAAACTGAACCTTAGCTTCGCCTTGTAAGACCCCCTTCAGGAGAACCCCTTCAGCTAACATGGCTCCCTCGGCACCCAAAGATCCCTCAGCACCCAAAGTCCCCCTCTCACCTCGTATGGCTCTAGTGTCTTGCCGTTCTCCTCCTTGTTAATCACCCGCGGTGGCCTTTACGAATTCCTAAGACCCCCACCCACCTCATACGACTCCTCACCTCATAGGACTACTCACCTCATACGACTCCTCACCTCGTATGGCTCTAGCGTCTTGCCGTTCTCCTCCTTGTTGATCACCCGCGGTGGGCCCACCATGAACTCATACCCCTCCCTCCGCCTGCCCGGCAACACAGCGCATGAGGAGAGTGGAAGACGGGTGAAAGAGGTTAACCTCAAAGTAGAGTCAACTCAAAAGGGAGAGTAAGGGTGTTGGAGGGATGGGAAGAAAGATAGAGAGGGTGGGGAGACAGTAGAGCCAGGAACCAATTGAGTGAACCTCCAGGAGCTGAAAAGGGCCCTCAGAATCCTCACATGCTCTCAAGGGCAGTGCCACTAAAAGGCAACCACAGACACACACGCACATGTTTTCAATGAGGATGGTGATGTGCAGGGTACCGCGTCCGCTGACCAGGAATGTATCCGCGCTCTCCCCGTCCTCCACCTTCATCGCCAGATTCCTCTCCAGCTCCCTCATCAGCCTATCCCGCAGGTTCCGCGAAGTCACGAATTTCCCCTCGCGCCCCGCGAACGGCGACACGTTCACGGAGAAGCTCATCTTGACCGTCGGTTCCTCCACCGAGATCGTCGGCAGCGCGTCGCCGTCGCGATCCGCGATCGTCTCGCCGATCTGCACGTCTGGCAGGCCGGACAACGCGCAGATATCTCCCGCCTCCACGTTATCAACGGGCACGCGGGCGAAATTGTCGTACACGAACAGCTCCACGACCTTCGCCACGCGACAGTTACCATCCGGCGTGCAGATCTTCGCCACCTGCCCGCGCGCGATCTTCCCCGCGTGCACGCGCCCAATCGCAATCCTCCCCTTATGCTCATCATAATCCAAATTCGTCACCAGCATCTGCAGCGCCGTGTCCTGCTGCACTTTCGGCCCCGGAACGCTCTTAATAATTGTCTCAAACAGCGGCTCGAGATCGTCAGAAAGCGCATCGGGCTCCATACCAGCCTTCCCTTGAATCCCGCTCGCGTAGACAGTAGCGAAGTCGCACTGGTCGTCCGTGGCCTCGAGCTCGCAGAAGAGCTCGAAGGTGGCGTTGATGACGTGCTGCACGCGCGCCGCTGGGCGGTCCACCTTGTTCACCACCACCACCACGCGGTGCCCCAGCTCCAACGCCTTCTTCAGCACGAACCGCGTCTGCGGCATGGGGCCCTCCACCGAGTCCACCTGGGATAGGGGGAAGGAGCAGCGGGAAGGAGGGCCTCAGATATTGTTCACCACCACCACCACGCGGTGCCCCAGCTCAAGAGCTTTCTTCAGCACGAACCGCGTCTGCGGCATGGGGCCTTCGACTGAATCAACCTGGGAGGATAGTAGGGAGCAAGGGAGGTAACAGGTCGTTGGTTCATGAGTTGGCGCATTATACCTGCTGACGAAAACCCATACCAGTACAAGACTCACCAGCAGCAGCACTCCATCGACCATGTTGAGCACGCGCTCCACCTCGCCCTCAAAGTGGCCAGGCATGTCCGTTATAAACTCGCCTCATTACATCACAATCACCAACACCTATGTACGACTTTTTGCAGCACAGTACTCACCAGCAGCAGCACGCCATGTTGAGCATGCGCTCCACCTCGCAGCCGAAGAGGTCAGGCACGTCCGTTATAAACCGCCTCGTCATACCTACCAATACCGCCAGCACCAGTATAAGACTAAAAGACTCACCAGCAGCAGCACGCCATCGACCATGTTGAGCACGCGCTCCACCTCGCCGCCAAAGTCGGAGTGGCCGGGCGTGTCGATGATGTTGATCTTGGTGCCGCGGAACCGGATCGCCGTGTTCTTGCTCAGAATCGTGATGCCTCGCTCGCGCTCCAGGTCGTTGCTGTCCATGATGCGCTCCTGCATCTGCTGGTTGTCGCGGAACACCTGATAACGCGTACGCGGGAGCGAGGGGAAAACGGGTTCAAATGAGGGGCGTCAGCAACATCTTCAGTGAATTTAGCGACTTGTGGTTTCCAAGTGAATTTAGCCAGAACGGTTACAATGGATACCGAACGCGTTTGCCACACTTTCGCACGAGGTTGTGGTCACACGAGGCGTCGCCGGACGCACCTTGGCTTGTCTGAGCATGGCGTCGACGAGCGTCGTCTTGCCGTGGTCGACGTGTGCGATGATGGCGATGTTGCGAATGTCCGAACGAGTTACCAGCGTTGATTCGTCTGCCACAGGAGCAGCTAAACCAGAAGGCATGATGACGTGTCAGTGCTTAGAATTCTGACTAAGGAAAGCTAATGAGACGCGACAATGCGCAAGGGGTGAAGATACGCGCACAAATTCATGGCTTCGCGTAATTGTGCGTTCACATACCAGGAGCCTCCACGGCGACGGCGGCGCGCACTGCGGAGCGGCCATGGATCCTCTGCTTGGATTGTAGCCGATCGACAGCTGATCCTTGAGGTGTCGCGGCGAAGGTTTGACCCAGCTGTTACAATCAATGACAGGAAGAATGCAGAAACGACCAGATTTATAAGCACCGTGGTTGCGAGTGTGATCCGGCTCGTTCAGGCGTGATCCAAACTCTTGCGTTTGCAGACCTTATAATCGTGATTGGTTTGTGATTGTTGTTTTTTACTCTCAAATGGCCTTACGAGGTGCATAGGAAGGTGAGGCTTTCGAATAATCAGACTTGCACATGCCATCGACCCCTGAACGCTATCTGCAATTGTACTTATATCACATTCTTACATGTCCTCCGCGGAAGGCCTTGAGTCCGTTCAACCGCACACGCCGCTGGGAAGAGGCGGCAGGACGAGCCACGGCGGACTCGAGCAAAGCAGCCTCGACGGGCGCGCTGCGGATCGTGACTGCGTGCGACATGGTTGCACAGGAGGCGACCGGCAACCAACAGGTGTCAAGGTAAAGCCCCAAGGAGCTGAGTAACGAGAGAGAGAAAGCAAAAGGGGAGCTTCAACTGACGCTGTGCTAGGTTTTCATGTGATCACGAGATTTCTGATTGCTCCAAACCAGACCCCACCCACCCCCAACCCAAACACTCGATCGAGTCGAGTTGAGTTCCAGTCTGAGCCAAGTTGCCTCTTCGTGACGCGAGTTTGGGATGGTTCAACACATGGTTATTGAGAGTTACCGTTTTGGAACGCAGCAAAATCTACGAAACCGTGTGATCCTCCCCACGGCCTAATCTTCTTGAGGTGTCAACCAATCGGAAACCAATCACGGCTCTTAGTAAAGCACCAGGAAGTGTGGAATTCGCAAGGCAATAGTTTGGAGGTCGAGGCGCTATAGGAATAAATTGATGCGCTTGTGGCTGTGATAACGAGCCACGTGTGTATAGCCGCAGAGGAAATCCATTCAGCCCACCAGGCGCTGACAGGCCCACGGAATTCCCGATGACTGGATGTTACGACGCGGCAAGCCTACTCAGCTCGTGTGAAGCCACGCTGCCTCCTCGCTGTGTGGTTCAACGGGCTCCCTGGGCGCCAGGATGTGTGGGCTTGGAGGCGACGTGGAAAGTAGCTGATGGTCAAGGCTTCGCCGCAAAAGTGCCTACCAGCCTGTCGTCACGAAAGCTGGCACATGGCGTAGCCAGGGTAACCTTACGTCGCTAGCTGGTGCGTGTAACAATCGTTGAAACCAAATACATATAATCGTGCTAATGAGCAACTACCCAGCAGAGATGAGTGTTCACGCAATTCTCTGACGGCTAGAAACTGCTTTGAAGGGTATCCTGCCCAAGCTGCCCAGCATTGCTCACCAAACAGAAATCATTGCAACGCCATTTTTCACACGCATGGCGTGATTCATGTCTGCTGAAAGCAGCCGTCATCTGTGGCCCACTTGACGTGGCATTGAGTCAAAGTTCGTCGAGTTCCCCGCTTTTCTGCATGACAGCAATGCTGTCAGAGTGGTTCAAGGTGTATCACCGACCGCCCATTGAATGAGCAGCACCGTCATTACCGTCCGATCAAACAAGAATGACCTTGAAATCCACCAAGCCAACCAGCACAAGCCGCGCAGTGCTAGCGCCCTTTTCCCCCGTCTCTGGAAGATCTCAACATCCGCCCGCGCCCCCAGTTTCACGCCATCCGCCTACACCCACCCACCCATCCGTAGGCGGATGGCGCCATCCGCACCGCACGCGCCAAGCGAATTTTCCCTCTCCGCGCTGACCTCACCTCCTCCTCAGCACCCACCCAGCCGCCAGCCCTCTATGCCACCAACAACACAAACCTGTTTTTTCGAAGGGAAGTTCTCCACTTTACATACCCCCCATCGCATCAAGCCCAGTTCCCCTTCACTCCCCTCTCCACCATAGCATCCCCATAGTGCCCGAAACTTGAAGCCTCATGCATGTAACTTGCAGAAGAATCTGCCGCTTGTGCAGCATTGCACAGAGTCCCAGGAACAAACATCAACCCAGTGTCTGTCCTTGCGATGCTACCTCTTCCTCGTGTGACTTTCTCAGGCTTTAGAATCCGCCGACTGCTCGAACCGTAATGTTTTCTGAATGGTGTGTCTGAATGGTGCAACCGAGTTCGCTGATATCGAAGGACCAGTTCAGCATGAGCCGCGGGATTATGGGGTTCATCGACGGAATTCCGGGGAACCTTAACAACATCAGCATGCCATCGATGGGCTCGGATGTCGATCCTTTCAAGGTCGCAGCGGGCTTAGCCGTTGCCGTCGAGGTCGCCGCGATCGGCGGCGTTGCTGCCGCGGTGACGGTCGGAGGCATCATCGTTCTCCGGGAGCAGTACGTTCAGTACTTATCGCGTGTTACCTCAGCGTCGTTGGCGCGCTTCAGTGCTATCTTAGCTTCTCTTCAGTGTTCCTGTCTTCCGACCTGCTCTAATCCTTTCCAGTCGGAACTAAGCTACAGGCCCATCTCCGCGTGTACTTAACTACTCTTTCGACGCGTTTCACGTCCACATCTCTCCGTCTGGTTGCCATCCTGCAGGGGTCAGTTCACGCTGCCATGGGAGGACAAACCCAAGGCTGTCAGGCCTGCGCCGCTGACGGTGCAGCAGTGGAGGGATTGCTTCGACGACGCCACCGGTCGCTTGAAGGGCGGCGGCGAGAAGGCTATCGGCTGTGTCCGTCTTGGGGTAAGCGACCTCGTTTTCTTTCTCTTAAAGAGATTTCGCACTATTCCTTTTCGAGTATGACGGGTCTTCGTATCGTCTCTCTGGATGAGGTTGTGTTTCAAGTAAGTGTTTCACCATTGGCTCAGCGCCAACCCGTCAACTGTCGCCGACCTTCTCCCTTACCCCGCTTCCACTCTCCCCACTCCCGCATATTCTTCGTGCCTGGCGCCGTATTTGCAGGGATGCGATGCAGAGATCAGAGCAGAAGTCTGGCCGTTCCTCCTTGGCCTGTAAGCTCATCTCGCCCTCCCCCTCGTTTCTCCCTCTCGCCCTCTCTCGTTTCTCTCACCATTTTTCCCTCTTCTTCCTAACTTGTTCACTCTTTCCCTTCTCGTCTCTCCACATTCACATGTTCGCACGGGCTGTGAGGGATGTGCTATCAGGGATTTACCCCCGTGCGTGCTTTTTAGATTCGTGGCGTTCCTTTCGCGCGGTTTCGTTAGAGCTCTCGCTTAACCGTTCCGTTATGTGCCCCAGGTACGAGGCGGAGAGCACGGAGGCGGAGAGGGCGCAGCTGCGCGCGCAGAGGCGCGTGCTGTACGAAGAGATCCGTGCGATTGCGGCGCGCGTGGCGGTGATTGCGCGGCAGGCGGAGGAGGAGGCGACGAGGAGGATGAAGGAGGAGGAGGAGAGGGAGGAAAGGGAGGAGAGGGAGCAGCGGGAGAGGGAGAGGAAAGAGAGAGAGGAGAGGGAGCGGGACGAGAGAGAGGAAAAAGAGAAGGAGGAGGGGGGGAGAGGAAGGAGCAACGAAGGCGGCGCCAGTCAGGAGGAGGTCGAATTCAGCAGCAGAGGGGATGATGGCGGTGCTGGTGATGGAAGCGGGAATGTGAATGGCGACGGTGGTGGCGAAACGGATGGTAGCGGAAACAGTGGAGGTGGTAACTTTGAAGGTAACGGGAGCGAGGACGAGTTCAGTGATGCGGTGTGCGTGGACTCCGCATCTGCCAGTCTGTCCGTCTCCACTGAGTCCTTCGTAGACGTGGCACGGGAAGAGGCTGCTCATGCCGCTGCTGCTGACGTTGATGCTGGTTCTGCTGCCCCTGATGCTGCTGATGCCGTCTCTTCAGGCGAAGCAGAAGGAGCAGAAACGGTCGCGGGAGCAGGAGCAGGCGCAGAGGAGAAGGCCGACAGATTGGAGGGCGGAGAAGCCGCGGAGTTTAGTTGTCGGGAAGAGAGTGGCAACACCGACGTCAATGGTGGCAGCAGCGATGGCCACGGCTCGGCCGATAATGGAAAGGATGATGATGAGGATGAGGATGAGGATGATGATGGGGATGATGCCTCACGTGAGCAACGCCAAGAGCACCCGCTAGACTGCAAGATCCCGGAGTGCTTTCTCCCGCGCACCAGCAGTAGCAGAGGAGGAGCAGCAGGAGGAGAGGCAGGAGGAGAGGCAGGAATCGGCAGAGGCAGCACCTGCGGGCGGGGCAGCGGGTCCCTGGAGAATTTCGTCACCTGGCAGCGTATAATGCGGTTGGATGCGGTGCGAATGAACGCCGCGTGGATCCCGTATTCTACTCAGAAGGCCTTCCCGCCTGAAGAAGCGCTAGAGGCGGCAGCAGCCGCCGGCCTGCCGGAACACGGACACCTGTCGCCGCCCCAACGGCTGCATGCCGCCCGGCTGGTGGCGATTTTGGAGGCTTATGCGGTGTATGATCCCGAGGTGGGATACTGCCAGGGCATGAGCGATCTTCTATCCCCGTTTGTAGCTCTTTTGGAGGAGGATTCGGAGGCGTTTTGGTGCTTCGTGGCGTTTATGCAGCGAGGGGGTGTGGGCAGCAGCGACTGCGCTAGTATCAGTAGCAGCGACCGCTACACCAGCGGCAGCAGCAGCCTCCACAGCGGTAGCAGTCGCAGCCCGGTTGGTGACAGTAGCAGCAGCGGAATCAGCAATCTCACCACCATCTCCAGCGCATGCAGTGCAGGCGGCGGCGCGCGGCACAACTTCAGAACGGACGAGCGGGGCATTCGGCGCCAGCTGGCGCGGGTGGCGGCATTATTACGCACAGCAGACCCGCCTCTGTACGCGCATCTGGAGGCGGTGGGGGCGGAGAGCTGCATGTTTGCGTATAGATGTGTGGTGGTGCTGATGAGGCGAGAGCTGTCGTTTGAGCACACCATGTGCCTGTGGGAAGTCATGTGGGCTGATGCTGCTGCCGCTGCTGCTGCTGGGAACGTTGCCCGTGCCGCTGCTGCTGCTTCTGCTGCTCCCGCTGCTCCCACTGCTACTCCTGCCATCGCTCCCGTTGCTGCTGCTGCAGCTGCTGCTTCTGCTGCTGCCAGTGCCGATGTGCCTGCAGCTGGTGCTGTGGCTGATGCTGGTACTGAGGGCTGCGAAGGCGGAGCAGGTAAAGGTGAGCACTCGTCAGATGCTACCCGCAATGAGGCAGAAGTGGGGGAGGATTGCGAGTGGGAGAAGGTAGAAGCGGAGGAGGCAGAGGACAAGGGAGAGGAGGGAGGGGAGAGCAAGGGAGAGGAGGGAGGGGAGAGGGAAAGGGAGCGCTGGGAGAGGGACGACGAGAGTGCCCCTCTGCTGGACAATGGATGGGGGGGTGCTTTTGGCTGGGCGGCTGCTGATAAGAGCTCTGGTTCCCCTGACGTCTCCACCACCACCACTGCTGCTGCCGGTGCCACCGCCACCACCACTGCTGCTGCCGGTGCCACCGCCACCAGCAGCAGCAACAGTGTATGTAACACAGGCCAATTTACAAGCAGAGATACAAGTAGAGACACGAGCAGGGATGCGAGCAGGGTGGGCGGCAGCAGGAGGAAGAAGGCATGGCAGGAGTGCCGCCCGTGGCCGGATTTCCTGCTCTTTGTGGTGGCCGCCATTCTGGTGAGCCGCAGGGAGCAGGTGCTGTGCTGCGAGGGTCTGGACGAGGTGCTGCTGCTCTGCAACTCTTTGTCGGGGCAGCTTGATGTGTGGGAACTCATGCACTGCGCCAGGCAGCTGGCTGCTCGACTTCCCTAGATTACAGTTGCCATTCGCGAGCAGCAGGGAGCAGGTGTTGTGCTGCATTGTGGGGGAGGGTGCGCCTAGATGAGTCGTTGCTGCTGTGCGTTAGCCTGTCGGGGCACGAGCAGGGTGGGCGGCAGCAGGAGGAAGAAGGCGTGGCAGGAGTGCCGCCCGCGGCCGGATTTCCTGCTCTTTGTGGTGGCCGCCATTCTGGTGAGCCGCAGGGAGCAGGTGCTGTGCTGCGAGGGTCTGGACGAGGTGCTGCTGCTCTGCAACTCTTTGTCGGGGCAGCTGGACGTGTGGGAGCTCATGCACTGTGCTAGGCAGCTCGCCGCTCGCCTGCCGTAAGAGGGTGAGGTGTCAACGACAATGGGAGCCGCAGGGAGCAGGTGCTGTGCTGCGAGGGGCTGGATGAGGTGCTTCTGTTGTGCAACAGTCTGTCGGGGAGAAGTGTTAATGCCGTGCGGTGCTGTGCTGCGAGGGGCTGGACGAGGTGCTTCTTTTGTGCAACAGTCTGTCAGGACAGTTAGACGTGTGGGAGCTCATGCACTGCGCTCGCCAGCTAGCAGCTCGTCTTCCCTAAAGTAGAGTCGCCAAATGTGTGAGCAGCAGGGAGCAGGCGCTGTGCTGCAGTGTGGGGGAGGGCGTGTCTAGACGAGGCGCGGCTACGCTGCTCTGCAACAGCCTCTCAGGGCAGCTGGGCGTGTGGGAGCTCATGCACTGCGCCAGGCAGCTGGCGGCTCGTCTTCCTTAGGGGGACCACTGTGTCTTACCTCGCGGGGGACCGGGGTTGCAGCCGGTCCGCTTATGCTGCTGTGGTCGTGTTTGGGGTGTGGACGTGTGTAACCTTTCACTCAAGCGCTGTAAATAGCATGCATTTCATTGAAGTAAATGTAGCAAATTCATGAGCTAAGATGGCTGCTGCATGAACGGCAAAGCGCTGTTTCCATGGGCTGCTGCCTGTTGTGCAAGGCTTCCGTTTGTTGTGCTAGGCCTTCTTGTCTGGTACGTAGAATGTGGAGTGTGCAGTTGACTGTCTGTGAGCCTTACTCCTCCCACTTGTTGCAAAACAACAAATTTATGGACTTACGATATGGGTGACAGTAAACTTGAAATCATCCAGATGAAATGCATTGTCACCTGAACAGAAACATCTGTCAAGACTGAATGAATGACGTCATGAGTCATGACATACAGAGCAGGGTATATGTAGCAACCCATACCTTCTTCTGACATTGTTGCCACCAGTGAGCAGAGCGCTCAGAAGCACTCCGAACAGCACCGCACTACATTCTGGTAGTGTTGCGGCGATGATGGCAGGGCCATTTGACCTGCTGTTTCTGTGTGAACTAGGGGTGAAGTTCGGGTAACCCTGCCCGAATCTGGTACAACTGCTGGTAACCCCTGTGCCCCTCCTGCTGCTGATGCTGGATCCCATCCCTCAGACTCATTGCACTGCAGGAAGCGTTGGGGCCACTGATGGGATCACGCTTTCGCTTCGTGATCCTGCATTAACCAGGGCAGAATCTGGGGTAACCCTGCCAGAATCTGGTACAACTGCTAGTAACCCACCTGCTGCTGCTGATGTGGCTCCCATGGTTGCAGCAACAGCAGCCACTGCTGCAACCCTTGCAGCAGCAGCTGTAGCGGCAGTGACAGACGCAGCAGCGTTGGCAGCTGTAGCAGAGCCAGCAGTTGCGGGAGCAGGCGCAGCAGCAGCAGAAGCAGCAGCACCACCAGTACCTGCAGCAGCAGCAGTGCGAGTAGCAGCAGCAGCAGGAGTGGAAGCAGAGAGAGCAGCAGCAGCAGCAGCAGCAGCAGAAGCAGCAGGAAGCATGGCGATGGTAACCACGGCGTAGGGCGCACCAGAGGGCAACCCATAGGGACATGCCGTACGGGTGCTTGCAGTTGCAGTTGCGATGGTTCTACTGACACTGACATCAGCAGCATCAACATCATTACCACCACCATCAGCACCACCATCAACGGTACCAGTGGCAGAAGCAGCGGGGGAAGGGTCGGAAGTGCATTCGGCAGCAGCGACCTTGCGTTCAATGTGCACGATCCGACCCACAATCACAGGGTAGAGAATGTGACTTGCCACGTGTGCCGTTTCCTCCTCCTTTCCCCCCTGCTTCTGATGCTGCCCCTGTCCCAGCTCCCCCTGCCCCTGCCCCTGCTGTCCCGGATGGTGCTGCTTCTGCTGCCCCTGATACTGCTGTTGCTGCTGCAAGAAGAGTGCGAGGGAGTGAGGGGAGAGGAAGAGAGGCACAGCAGCAGCATCGGGGGAGCAGAGCGCGCGGTAGCAGCCGGCCCTCCCCACGGGCACAAAGGCAGCAATGTCGTGCGTGTGGAAACGAGTGAATGCTATCCGCTCACGCGCGATCTGTTGGAAACGTTAGAAAAAAGGAAGGAGAGCCAAGGGGTAATGAAGCTGAGAGGGAGCAGAAGGCGCGATGACAGCCCCTCCCCACGGGCACAAAGGCAGCAATGTCGTGCGTGTGGAAACGAGTGAAGGCAATTCTCTCACGTGCAATCTGTTGGTACGGATTAAAGGAGGGAGGGAGGGACGGTGGGAGGGATGGTGGGATGGTGGGAGGGAGGGAGGGGGAGGGACAAGAAATACTGAAGTTGGAAGGTACAACTGGGAGAGGTGAAACTGGGGGGAGGTGAAACTGGTGGTTGGTACAACTGCGGCGAGCAGAGGGCGCGGTAGCAGCGGCCCCTCCCCACGGGCACAAAGGCAGCAATGTCCTGCGTGTGGATGCGAGTGAAAGCTATCCTCTCTCATAAGGCAACATATAAACCCTCACCTCATTCTTCTCACCTGTTTCACCAGTTCGTGCTTAGACGACGTTCTCTGCAGCTGCCAACGCCCCTCAATCTCACAATCGCCAGTCCCTCCCTCACCTGTTTCACCAGCTCATGCTTAGACGACATATCAACGAGTGCATCCGAGGTCCTCTGCAGCTGCCTTGCCAGGCGGTGCGCGTCCCCCTCCGCCCGACGCCCTCGCTCCACCACCCGCCCCACGCCCACCGCCACTGCTCTCACCGCTGCCACCACCCACTCCTCTGCTGCAGGGACAGCAGGGGCAGCAGCTGAAGCAGAAGGCGCAGCAGCAGCAGCTGCGCTGCTGCTCATGCTGCTGCCCATGCCGCTAGCAGGGCCGCCCATAGCAGGATTGCCCGTAGCGAGAACAGCACTCCTGCTCAGGTCCGAAGCAGACCCAGCAGCGGCCGCTGCAGCCGCAGCAGCTCCTGCTGCTCCTGCCCCTCCACCCACACCACCCGTTGCCTCCCCCAGCGAGTCAGCTAAACCACTAAGCCCCTCAACCACACCCCCAAGGCTGTTGGCCTGCAGGCATCGGTTGATTCGCTCCATCAGCCCTCTCAGCCGCACCGCTGCCGCCCGCAACCCGCCGCTCTCCGCCGCCCGCCGGTCTGCGGCGCAGCGCAGCGTGCGCGCCTCGCTCCTCGCCTCGTGCAGCCGGGCCTCTAGTTCCGCGCACTTGCGCTGCCACTCGTGCAGGCGGGTCTCTAAATCTGCGCACTTGCGCTGCCACTCTGCTACCTCGGTGCTTGTAAGCGCACGCCCCTCGCTCCTCTCCTCACTCTGTGCCTCGGTCCTCCTCGCTTCGCTCCTCCGAGCCTCGTTCCGAGCCTCGCTCCTAGCTTCGTGCAGCCGGTTCTCCAGGTGGGCGCAGTTGAGCTGGCACTCTGCCAGCATGGCAGTCTTCCTCCGCAGTGCCTCCTCTAGCGTCGCCACCTGTCTTGCCACGTCACTGCCCTGCCCCAGTGACGTGGCACTCGAATCTTCCAATGCTTCCACGTGTCTTGCCACGTCACTGCCCTGCCGACCCAATCCCACATCAGCTTCCGAACCAGCTGTAAAACCATCCGTTTTCTCCCAAGCTCCTCCCGTTCCTGCTGCTGCCCCTTCTACTCCACCCCTCTCCACCGCTCTCCACCTTCCCATCACCAGCTGCTGCAGCTGCATCGACCCACCAGCCTTCTCGTCCAGATCGGCAAGCCTTCCTGCCGCCACCTCAGCAGCCGACAGGTCAGCAGCCAGCCTTGCCAGCTCAGCATCCTTCCGTGCCACGTCAGCTTCGAGATCCGCCACCCTGGCAGCCTCACGCCTCTGCTGCTGACTCACCTGATCCAACTCCTGCTGCAGTAGCTCCAGCCGCCCCTGATTCCTCTCCCGCTCCACTATACACAGACTCAGTTCCTCTTTACAAGCATTAAACTCTACAGTAACATTATTCATATCTACAGTACGACCGTCCAGCTCAGCGCTGCGCTCGCTTAGCAGCGCCTCGAGCCGCGCTGACTCATCCCGGGCCTCCGCCAGCTGGGATTGCGCGGCTGCCAGCCTGGCTTCCGCCGCGGTGAGCTTCGATTGGACGGTGGCTAGATTCGATTCTCCTGCGGACAGATTTGATTGCGCTGCGGATAGCTGCGATTCTGTCGCAGTGAGCTTCGATTGCAACGACTGCAGCTCACTCAACGCGGATTGCAGCTCCTCTTGCAAACCTGCCACCTCTCTCCTTCTCTCCTCCTCACTCATCCTCTCCACCTCACTCTCACTCACTCCCTCCTGCTTCCCTCTCTCCCCTATCTCCCTCCCCTCCTCCTCCGGTGCACCCTCCTCCTCTGAAGTCCTATCTTGTTTCACCATTGTACCAAGCTCTCCACCCATATCTCTACTACCTCTAGAAATATCTCTCGAAATATCTCTCGAAATATCTCTCGACATATCTCTTGAAATATCTCTGCTCATATCGCCCAGCACCCCTTCCAGCTCTCTGATTCGCCGCTCGTACGCCTGCACCTGCGCCTGCCTATCACGCAGCGCCACCTGTACATGCCGCACCACCTGCTCCCTCAGCTGCAGCGCCTGCACCAGCTGCTGCCACTCCGCCACGTGTCCCCCCTCTCTTTCCCCACCACATGCACCTTCACCAGCAGCACCCGCCCCAGATGAGCCTACCCCAGATGAACCTCCCCCAGCTGTTCCCAGCACTCTGAGCGCAATCAGCTCTGCTCTGAGCCGCATGTTATCCACCGCCAGCTCCTCTGCACTCCTGCCGCCCGCCACGTCATCGTTCGAGTGGCTGACGTCACCGTCCTCGTCATCCACGTCAGCATGCTGGTGTTGGTGCTGGTGATCGGGTTGGTGATGGTGGGAGGGGAAGGTGCTGCTGCCAGCAGTGTCATCCTCGTTATAGTCATGTGCGGTACTGCTATTGAACTTGGCCCCTGTTTTAGAATCACTAACAAGCGCACTCCATTGCCCAGGAAACGCACTTCCCCCCCACATGCTCTCCCCCCCAATACTCCCTCTCCCCCTCCCCTTTCCCGCCGCACCCAGCCCCTCCCCCTGCCCCTCTCGCTCCAATCTCCCCAACACACCTTCCCCCGCTCCCCCTCCCCTTTCCCCGCCATCTCCCCCCAACCCCCCCCCTCCCTCCTCCCACACCATCCCCTCGTCCCCCTCCCCTTCCCCCTCCCCGCCCTCCCCTTCCCCCTCCTCCCCCCACACAGGCAAATCCCCCTCCCCCACACTCACTAACCCCTCATCAAAAGGCGCCACACTCACAGTACACACACTAGGCACGTACCCCTGTCCCAAGCCCATCCCCTCTATCACCACCCGAGGCACCAACCCTAACTCTCCCTGCCTCTGCCAAAACCTCTCTCTCCTCTCCACCTCCTCCTCTCTCACTCTCGCCATCTCCTCTGCTACCTGCTGTGCCCGGCCCATATACCCCATCCCAAACCCTTTTCTCCGGGCAATTTCCCCTAAACAATCCGCGTACGCCCCTCTTAAAGCCCGGGCGGAGGCGAGGAGCGAGAAAAGTGCGTCTTGGCGGGAAACGGCTTCTCGGAATGCGTGCAAGCGGTTTCGGAATCCGCGAACCCGGGACTGCCACCTGGCAACGGCCTGCATGCGCGTGTGGACGAGATTCGTCATCGCGATCTTGCTGGCGCGTGCTGATTGGACGAGAGCCGCGAGGTGCGAATCAATGGCTGAGATTTGCGGAAGGAGGGAGGAGGAATGGACGGTGCAGATTGGGTCTAAGGCAGCCACGGCCTCGATTGGTTGGAGGAGTGGAGAGGAGGAGGAGGAGGTGGAGGAGGAGGAGGAAGGAGAGGAGGAGGGGGAGGGAGGGGGGAGGTGGCGGGAAGGGGAGGCGGAAGGGGAGAAGGAGGGGGAGGAGGAGGAGGAGGAGTGGGTGACTGAGAGAGTACAGTCGTGTAATAGCTGCCTCACTGTGTTGAGATCCTTGCTGGGGGGAGGGGGAAAGGAGGGGAGGCAGGGAGCGCGAGGGGGAGGGGAGAGAAGGGGGAACAGTGGGGAAAGGCGAGGCGTATGTTGAGAGATTGCAATCGTGTAATAGCTGCCTCACTGTGTTGAGATCCTTGCTGGGGGGGAGGGAGATGGGAGCGGAGAGGAGGCAACAAGGGGGAAGCACAGGGGAGGAAAGTTGTGGCGCATGTGAGAGTGCAGTCGTGTAATAGCTGCCTCACTGTGTTGAGATCCTTGCTGGAAGGAGAGGGGGGGAAAAGAGGGGAGTGGAGGGGAGAGGAGGGGTGAGAGGGAACGAGACAGAAGTTGGAGGGTGCAGTCGTGTAATAGCTGCCTGACTGTGTTAAGATCCATGCTGGGAAAGGGGAGGGGAGGAAGGGGGGGGATGGGGAGAGTGGGAACGAGACAGAAGTTGTGATACATGAGAGAGTGCAGTCGTGTAGCAGCTGCCTCACTGTGTTGAGATCCCTGCTGGGGGGGGAGAGGGCGTGGGAGGAAGAAGAGGGGAGGGCAGGGGAGGGGAGGAGGGTGGAGATGGGGAAGAGGGGAGGGCAGGGCAGGGGAAGAGGGGAGGGAAGTCATGGCGAGAGTGCAGTCGTGTAGCAGGAGAGGGGGAGGCGGGGGAGGCGGAAAGGGAAGGACAAGGAGGAAGGCGCATAAGTAAGTGCAGTTGTGTAGGAGCTGCCTCACTGTGTTAAGATCCCTGCTGGAGGAAAAGGAGGGGAAGAGGGGAGGGCGAGGGAAGGGAGGATGCACGTAGCAGCTGCCAGCTACCAGCTGCCTTGGGGAAGAGGGGAGTTGGGGCGAGAGTGCAGTCGTGTAGCAGCTGCCAGCTGCCAGCTGCCTTACTGTGTTGAGATCCCTGCTGGGGAGGGGAAGGAAAGCGAGGGAAGGACAGGGGAAGGAGATATGGCGCATGAGAGAGAGCAGTCGTGGAGGAGCTGCCTCACTGTGTTAAGAGTCGTTGCTGGGGGGAGGAGAGAAAGGGGAGGGGAGGAAGGACAGGATGGGACAACTGAACCCAGCAGAGCTCAACTCACCCGAGAACACCAAGAATGACTTCTTGCTCCTCCACCATCCCCTCCACCTCCCTTCCCTACCCTCACTTGAAGGTACTCACAGTGACTCAAGAATGCTAGGGTCAACTCAATCCAGAAGCGACCCAACTCACCCGAGAACACCGACGATGACTTCTTGCTCCTCCAGCAGCCGATGCCCCTCCTCCACCATCCCCTCCACCTCCCGCACCACCTCAGCCTCCCTCCTCCGCCCCTCCGCGCCTGCTCCTCCGCCACCAGTCCCCCTACCGCCAACAATCTCGCCCGCGCCCGCGTTTGCGCCCGCGTTTGCACCCGCACCCCCTGTAGCAGCGTCAGCCGCGGGTCCGCTTCCCCCACCGCCGCCTATTAGCTCCTCGATTCCCGCCCGCGTGTCTTGAAACTGCTGCTCCAGCTCAGCGACCTTCGTGGCCATCTGAGCGTGCGCCACGTGGCACTCCGAGAACGCCTGCTGCAGCCGCGGCTCCTTGGCCAGCTGGACGAGGCTCTGCCACCCGGTTGCCGCCCGGACGGGAGGCAGTAAACGACAAGAATGCAACGCGCGGAGGTTCCGGTGGAAGGTTCGCAGAAGGAGCTCGTGCCGGCTGTGCTGCTGCTTATACGCGGATTGAAAATCCGCGAACGATGTGACTATATGGAGGGCCATGGCCTCCATACTGGCAGATCCGGAGCGGACGGCTTCTGCTTGCGTGTGCTGCTCCTGCAGGAGCCGCCGACACGTGTCGAAGCGCGATTGGCTGGCGGCGAGATACGCCTGAGCCTGTAAGAGATCCTGACGAAACTGCCGTTCGTAAGACGGAATAGCTCTGAGGAGAGGGTTACCCGACCGGTCTAACGGATGTAACGGCTCGCCGCCTGGCTCACCCACTGTTATAATCACTTCTGGTACAACCATCTCCTCGATTTCTTCTACCGCGGGAGGAGGAGATTTTGGAAGGAGGCGCATCTTATTGAAAAGAAACACCGGACGAGAGTGCCCGTGAGTCGCGGAACGCGACTCCGTGTCGACCGCGCCTGCTGTGTCATGGGTGCTGTTGTCCACGTCAGCATCTGGAAGTTGATACGCTCCGAGTTGTCGTCCGGGCTCAAGGCGCACGTCGCGGCAGATTAGGAGCTGGTCCTGAGGAGGTATGGCGGTTAGGGAGGCGAGGGTGTCGCAGACGGAATCTACTGGCGTGTCCGCGCCGCAGTGCAGCTCGAACGACCTACCGCTCTCTGCCACGTGTACCAGCAACATGGTGGCTCGACTGTTTTAGCGACGTGTCAAAATATCATATCATATACACAATAAGAATTCAGATTACCCCGAAGGCTTGCAGCTAGAAGCAACAGCAAACGGAACCCAGATTCTGACTACTATCTATCGCCACGGCGCAGTACACTTCGTAGCAGTCAAAGGTTCAGTCCACTTTGTTTGATGGTCATCCGGCTCATAAGCTCATGACGGGACTACTGAGCTCATGAACTCGTAACTCATGTACAATACACGATGGATGATTGGAATAAGGGTGGTCCAGCTCGTTCATTTACTGTTCGTAAAGCCCTTCAGTTACCAGATTTTGCGTTGTAACACTGAATTTCACAAAAATGCCAGACACGATCAGCTCCCGTTCACGATACGGCACACCCCCTGCACGTACCTCGAATCGTGTGACGCACGTTACAGAAATCAACGTGCGCATCGAACAATGGTACAGAACCGCGTCCTGCCCACTATAGTGAGTGCCCATCGTATCGCGCGCTCGATTTCGCCAGTGCAAAGACACTCGCCAAAACCAGTAGTGGAAGTGTTGGCTTGGCGAAAATTCCAATGCTTTGGTTGACGAGGGAACCGGTTACCTCGTTTCAATAGGCCACTGCACTGTTGAAGTCTGTGTGGGGGGAATGTGTCCGCGCGCTAGAATTGACAAAAAGGGTGGACTCGACGCAGGTCGTATTCGTTTATAGGTACAGTGATCAGTTTTGAACCCCGGATCGTGAGGAGGTACTAAATTTCCCGAAATGAACGAGCTGGACACGCCCTCAGAACAATCGCAGCAGCTCTTCATGGCACGATGATATGAACATCCAACCAAACCCAAGAACGCGCTGACGAACAAGAAAACCGCATTCAACGTTACCCCACGCACCAGGTTTATGAGGAGGTTGAGTGAGTTGAAACCAATATCTTTACGATACATTACGGTGGAATTCCGAACCTCTGTAATCCAAACGCCATGAACCGAGCTTTTCCTGTGGAAGCACCAGGCCAAGGCTTGTGGTTTGATGGCTTGGGGTTGTGTGGTGAGCCTCTTGTCTTGCCACGGTGTAATGGTTTTACGCTGCAGACGTGAGGTTCAAGGAACTTGACGTGTCAGTTGTTACACGTTGAGCGCTGCCTGGCGGGCATATTTCGTCAGTCTTCGTCGCGATCATCGAGACCCAAATTTGTCCAATCACTAGTCAGAAGCTAGAGCAGCGACACGTCAGAAAGAACCCTTGTGTGGTGTGCAGGACGCAGGTTTCGGGATTAGCTGATACAGTACCACCTTGATTGGACGAGCTCCTTCGACCAATCGATGAGCTGCAGCTCGAGGGGGCCAGGCAAACATTCGACAACGACTAGTCCACTAAAGCTTTCTGGTACAGGTAATCAATTTAGTCATCCATGATTCTCCTTATAAATGATTGCTTCCACCACACGTAACAATAGCAAGAGTGTGCCACCAGCCACACTTGGCATCTTGCACGCACGCATTATGCTCGTAATGCCTTTTTCTATTACCGAGGCTAGCATTTTCGCCACAAAAATATTGGTGAAACTTCTTCATGGCAACCATATGAGGGGAGTGAGTGTCGTTCAAATGGCCAATTCCCAACTGACATCACAATAATGAGAGGGAAATCATTGTAACACAAATGGAGGGAGCACAGGAAACATGGACATGAGCCCATAAGCATACTATGATTCGTGATACAAATAGCATGTGCATGGGTTCCACACATGGGTGGATGTCCCATGTGAGTGGTTACCAAAGCATGCGGGTTTGGTTTGATGCACAATAAATGGGTGCAAGGCGAGGCATCATCAATTGCAAGAAGGGTTTTATGCATGGAAGTGAAGTTGAAACTCAAGAACCATGAAGTTTGGAAATGAATGCATGAGAAAGTGGAGCATACACACTTGCCCGAACTTGTTGGAACCCCAGACGAAAAGAGCGCCGTTGGCGGTGACAGCAGAGTGGTGAGGCATCTCAAAACACACGCACCTGCCCAAACTTGTTGGAGCCCCAGACAGAAAGAGCACCGTTGGTGGTGAGAGCAGAGTAGTGAGGCGTCTCAAAACACACGCACCTGCCCAAACTTGTTGGAGCCCCAGACGAAAAGAGCGCCGTCGGTGGTGACAGCGGCTGAGTGCCGCGCTCCACAGGAGATGGCTTTCAGCGAACGATTGTCCAGATTCGGTGAATCTAGTAGCGTTGGAAACACCTGACAGGGCAACAGATGTAGGCACACAAACGCACAGATACACGAGAGGAACAAATAGAGACAGCGAGTCAGCGACACGCGGTAGGGGAAACAGACGATATGCACAAACAAGAGAAGCATGCGACACACACGCAAGAAACATGACAGCAAAAACACAAACAAGAGCATTAGGACCTTCATACACGCTGGTAACGTTGGTTTGGGAAAGGTGGTGGTCCCCTCACACCTTAGCTTCCGTGTCGCCAGTGCCCAGCTGGCCAAACTGATTGCCTCCCCAGCTGTACACGTCACCCCCTTCCAGTTCAACGTCATCACTGCCAACCTCCACGTCAGCAGCAGCAGCAGCACCACTGCCGCCACCAGTAGCGGCACCACAGTTGCTGATGGAACCAGCAGGGAGGGCGAGGGCGAGGGAGTGCCAGAGACCAGCAGCGATGGCTGTCACCGAGAGGCCGGCAAAGGAGGTGAGGCGGGTGGGGGAGAGATGGTCGTCTGATGTGCCGTGGCCACACTGGGGGAGCGGCGGTGGTAGAGGGGGTGAGAAGGGGTGAGACATAGTAAGCACCAACACCAGCAGCAGCAGCAGCACCACCACCACCACCACCGCCACCAGTAGCGGCACCACAGTTGCTGATGGAACCAGCAGGGAGGGCGAGGGCGAGGGAGTGCCAGAGACCAGCAGCGATGGCTGTCACCGAGAGGCCGGCGAATGAGGCGAGGCGGGTGGGGGAGAGATGGTCGTCTGATGTGCCGTGGCCGCACTGGAGGGTAGGTGGTGGGGGTTGTCGGGGTGAGAAGGGGTGAGATACGGTCAGCACTAGCAGCACCAGTGGCATCAGCACCAGCAGCGCAAGCCATGGATGGCAGACCTATTTGCTCATAATGAATGGCTTATCTACCTGCCTATACTGGCCCCTTCCAAAGGAGAAGGGGCATGGCGGAGAAGAGCCATCCTCTGCCATGGCACAGTGAGGAAAGGGCGTGGTGGAGGTGGAGATGCAGAGGGGGCAGGGAGAGGGGAAGGCTGAGGGACACGGGGGAGGGAGAGGAGAGCGGGAGGGGCATCCATACCTGCCCATACTGGCCCCATCCAAAGGAGAAGAGCGAGCCATCCTCTGCCATGGCACAGCGAAACGACACGGGAGAGACGGAGGTAAAGGTGGAAGCGGGGGAAAGGGAGAGGCGGAGGGGGAGGGGGAGGGGGAGGGGAAGGGGGGGGGGCAGGGGGAAGGGGAAGGTGGAGGATTTTGGGACGGGACATGGGTGAATGGAGAAGGAACAAACAGGAAAGGACGAGCCGGGACATTTGCCCATGCCCGTGCCCGTGCCCGTGCCCGTGCCCGTGCCCGTGCCCCTGCCCCTGCCCCTGCCCCTGCCCCTGCCTGTGCCTCTGCTTGTGTCTTCGTTCACCCACTCACCCATCCACCCAACCACCTGCCAGCACGAGGCCGTGTCTTCCTCCGCGTATGAGCACGAGATACTTCTATTTTCAAAATAGCATAGTCTTTGTCTGTATCTGTGTGTGTGCCTGTGCCTGTCTTCACCTTGCATGGGTGCTCTCCCACCCACCCACCCACCCGCCTGCCAGCACCAGGCTGTGCCTCCCTCCACACGCCACCGCTGTTGCTTGTAACGAGTCATCTCTGTTGCTTATAACGGATGCTGCAGGAGAAGCAGGCAGCATCACGCACACCGGCACTGTCACCTTCCCCACCCGCCTGCCCACCCCCAGCTGCCCCTCACCGCCCTCGCCCCACGCCCACACCATGCCGTACCCTGCTCTGGGTAGAGGGTACAGGGGGGAGGAGAACGGGGAGAAGTTGTGCATGTGTTGGTTTCATTCGAACCCCCAGCTGCCCCTCACCGCCCTCGCCCCACGCCCACACCATTCCACTGGCTGCTGTGGGTAGAGGTTACAGGGGGGAGAAGAAGGGGGAGAAGTTGTACATGTGTTGGTTGGATTCCAACCATCAGCTGCCCCTCACCCCCCTCGCCCCACGCCCACACCATTCCACTGCCTGCTCTGGGTAGAGGGTAGAGGGGGCAGGAAGGCGAGAGGATTCATGTGTGTGTTGGTTAGATTCGAACCCCATCTGCATCTCATCCCCCTCACCGCCCTCGCCCCACGCCCACACCATTCCACTGCCTGCTCTGGGTAGAGGGGACAGTGGGGAGGGGTTGTATCAAGTTGAAAAATCACGTGAGAGCATGAGGCAATGGTGGAGGGCTGACTTTTGAGTCGACTCAAAAATAGAGGGGACAGTGGGGAGGGGTTGTATAAAGTTGAAAAATCACGTTAGACGTCTCAAAACTAAAGGGGATAGTGGGGAGGGGTTGTATAAAGTTGAAAAATCACGTGAGAGCGCGGGGCAATGGTGGAGGGCAGCAGAGACGGGGGAGGATGGGGGGGGCAGCAGCACACAGCACAACAGGCAGGCACCTGAGGAATCACCTGAGAGCGCGAGGCAATGCTGGAGGCCAACAGAGACGGAAGTGATGGTGACCCAGTGGGGAAGCGAGGGGAGGAGGGGATAGCTGTGCTGTGGTGCTGATGGGGAGTGCTGTGATTCTGCTGGAGCATTATTCGCTTCATGAGCACGCTGCTGTGCAGTAGCAGCAATAGGAGCCATGTCCCACTGCAGGAGTCGTCCTGATGCTGCAGGGAGGAGGGAAAGGGAAGGGCGAGAGATACAGTGAGAGGGCGGGATTTGGAGAGGGTGTTGTGGCCCGTGAAAGACAGTGGGGTCAGTACTTTTTAGTGAGTACTTTTATTCAGAGATCCATGTCTTGTACCCGTAATCGTTCCTCTTACGATAACAGAAGCGGTGTTGGAAAAAGCGTTCACTAGGTTCAGTTCAAGCTACTGGGAAATACTGCAACATGAAAACGCTTATGCAACATGACACGCCTGTCTATCTATGCATCATGACACACCTGTGCAGCATGACACACATGTGCAGCATGACACACCTGTGCAGCATGAAACGCCAAAATTACACCATCACAGCACAGCACAACGGACACACTGCCTCTCTCCCTGATTCCACGCACCCGAAACGAAGATCGCAGCGTCTTGCGAACACTCGCCACCTGTCACACGCTCATTGGCCAGCTGCCTGTCCCAGCGAACACCACACAGATGAGTCCTGTGTTTCGCTGCTCCTGTCAACTCTTCCTTCCCTTCCTTCTCTTCGCTGCTCCTGATAAACCTCTCCTCAGCATCGTCCACCTTTCGCTGCTCTTTCTCCGTTCTTTCAGATGATGGCTGCTTCTTACCACGCTCCTGAGTCACCTGCCACACGAAACCGTTGTCTGAAGGCACCATGTCATGTCATGCCATGTCAGCCATGTCAGCCGGTCACCATGCCATGTCAGCCATGTCAGCCGGTCACCATGCCATGTCATCCGGCCACCATGCCATGTCATCCGGCCACCATGCCACGCACATTTTCTTAAATTGATTCGTGAACTGACGCCGGAATCTTGCTAGACGCATTTGTGCATAAGTACTGGAAGCTAGCAGTACCGCTCTTAGCACAGACAAGCCCAAGGCTTCAACTCACCATCCACTGATTTTTTAGTCGAATCCAAACTCGGAATCGCTGGTAGCATAGCACAAGCCCGAGACTTTAGCTTACCATCCACAGCCAATGCTGTCCCGCAGCCTCCGCCTGCCAGAAACCGCCACGTGGGATGCTCCCATTCGCCATTCTCACCCTGCGCTTTGACCTCCTCGAAGCTTGGCACTACAAACGCGTTAAGGGACATCTCGTTAAGAGCACCGCTGGAACCCGGAAACCGGTCCCGTACGTCGTAATGGACAAAATCGTCATAATCCGCGTTAGTAAACGACCCGTTTGGAGATTGTGAGGCAAGGAATCCGGCAAAGAACAAACGAGGAGAGGAACGGCTGGAAGCCTGTCTCTGACAACGCATGACTGGGGTTAACCGCAAGTGCTAAGCACCAGCCGAGCTCTGATTTTTGACGCGCCTGCAGACGTTTGCGAATTCGATGGCTGTTGAATGTAATAGAATCAATGGCTGAATGTGAATGCATCGGCTGTCGATGATGTAGAATTCATCAAGGGTAAGTAGCTTTCGCAGGGGTACTATTAGTGACCCTGCGCTTTCAAGGGGACTACAGTGCTAGTTGCGGGCACTTTCCGCCCCTCCGCCACTCCGACAGGAAAGTTATGGCAACAACACAGAACTCGGTCCCACATTCACCCACCACAAATTTGGAAAGTTAGAAAACGCACGGCAAAAAAAATAAAACTCATAGGGAACCTGGACTCATCTTCGGGAGGGATCAACCCTAAACACGGGAACCCACATTTTTTTTTAGGGTTGCTGCCTCCCCGAGACGCATCCCTTCCCGATTGGGTTTTAGTTTTTTTTTCGGTCAGGTAAAGGGATATTTTTTCCAGTGGCTTGCGAAATTTGTGACACGTGGGTGAATGTGGGACCGAGTTCTGTGTTGTTGCCATAATGTTCCTGTCGGAGTGGCGGAGTGGCGGAAAGTGCCCGCATATAGCACTGTAGTCCCCTTGAAAGCGCAGGGTCGCTAGTAGTACCCCTGCGAAAGCTACTTACCCATTCATCAATGGATGCCTCCTGAACTATGCGTGGGAATGGTATGTGCGTGCCGTTTGAAATTGACAAGAACATTTCTCCACCGTAGCGAAACAGTATAGACCGTACCAAAGCGCGGCTATTCCGCGATATTCCCGAGAAAACGAGCACACCAATGGGCGAATATATTTTTGGAACCGTGAACAGGGTTTATTTCATTTGACAAGAGCACCTACCAGATAATCACTTAGCTTTAGAAGTTCAAGAAATTACTAAACCATAAAAAAAAAAGAACTTGCTGCGCGCAGTACAAGCTAAAAAGGCGAAGCACAATTGAAAAAAGATTGAAGCATCAGTAACAAAAAAACAATTATTCTCTACTCTATTTGCAGGTGCCCTCTCTTTTGCACGAAGGGCACCTGGATAATCAATCAACGCCAACGTACCCTCCTCCTCACTCCACAATACCTCCACACATATCCACTTCTTCCTTTTTCCTCTTCATTCCCAGATCTAGCTTCTGGCATTCTCATCAGCGCTCACAACAGACGAAGGATACGTGGCGCCGTTGCCATTGTCAGCAGGTGCGGCAGGAGGCTGGGAACCCCAGGAAGGCAGGGATGCGGAGCGGGAGGGGGAAGGGGAGGCGGGGACGCTCTGGCCGGCAGGGCGGTCGCGCTTCTTGAGGGCGCGCTGCTTGGCGGGGTCCACCTTGGGCGGCACAGTGAAGCCGCCCATCTGCCGAAACTTGCCGACCCGCTCGCAGATGATGCGCTGCTCATCCTTCTGCACCAGATCCTGCCCGGGGTGAGAAGGAGGAACAGGCAACACGGAACCACATTGGGAAAGAGGGCCAAGGAGGAATCAGAGACTGAAGGACCAGAACCACCCTTTTTGTACCACGTCCTGCTCTCGGTCAGAACCATGGGTGAAAACAAAGAGGGGGAATGGATTGCAAGAAGATGAGGTCAGAGGATATTTTGAGCTGGCTTGTCATTTTGCTCGTCCTTCTATGAGCTCCTCTCTGAAGGAAGGAGAACAGGCCGGGAGAAAAAGTTATGCAGGAAACAATGGGGTGTTAACGCATTGTGGAAGCAGAAGGAGAACAGGTCGGGAGAAAAAGAAGGGGGAAATGGCGGCAGGAAAGGATGCGAGAAAAGGGGTTAAAAGAGGCTTGGAGCATGGAGATGATGCCACTGGCAAGTGGCATGCATGCTTGAAGTCACGATTGCCAGTGATCATCCCGTCACGTGGTCATTATGCATTCCATTGCCACTGCCATCATCTCCATGCCTCAGGCCTCTAGATCAAGGATTCAAGGTAACTTCTATCATCGCCTTGTCATACCCCGCCTCCCTTTTACTCCTTACGAACCTCTATTTTGCTCCTCACAAGCCTTTATTCTCTCCTCCCACGCCTCTCTCCCCCCTCGCCCCACCTTCATGTGCGCCACGATGGAAGGCTTTATGGCCAGCGACGTGGCGATCTGGTCGTTGTGCGGTGAGCCCCTTTTACAAGAAATGCAACCCAGTGGCATCACCACCACAACATACCCCTCTCCTCACAAGCCTCGCTCTCTACTCAAATGCCCCTTCCCCTCCCCCCTTGCCCCACCTTCATGTGCGCCATGTTGGCAGACTTGATGGCCATCTATGTGGCCACGTGGTCGTTGTGCGCCCTCACAACCCAGTGCATCCCAGCACTGGATTTCAAAGGAACTGCAACCCAGTGCTATCACACCTCTCTCCTCACAAGCCTCTCTCTTTCTCTCTCATCCCTTGCGTCACCTTCATGTGTGCCATGATGGCAGACTTGATGGCCATTGACGTGGCCATGTGGTCGTTGTGCGCCCCTCCCAGCGGCTCCTGCAGCGAGAGAAGGCGGGGACGGAGAGACAAGACGTTTGGGTGGGCAAGTGAAGCAACTGGTTGAAGAGAGAAGAGAGGGGGTGCTAAAACAGGAGCCAGGGGGTGAGGGAAGGGGGAGGAGGAGCGGGAGCGGGAGCGGGAGCGGGAGGGGGAGAGGGAGGGGGAGGGGGAGGGGGAGGCGGAGGGGGAGGGGGAGGGGGAAGGGGAAGGGGAGGGGGAGGGGGAGGGGGAGGGGGAGGGGGAGGGGAAGGGGAGGGGGAGGGGGAGGGGGAGAGAGGGAGAGGGGGAAAAGAAGGGGCTCAACGAGCACGAAATGGCGCAGGAGAAGCTCACTAATGCAGTGAACAGCATGGCAACGCACATGGGGAGAACAGAGACATACCGGGATGATCTCGTCCACCACGCCCAGCTGCTGCAGCTGATCCGCTGTGATGCGCAGCGCCTCCGTGGCCTGGTGGTTGGGTGGTTGGGTGGTGCGATGGTGGGATGGTGGGTTGGTGGGTTGGTGGGGAGATGAGACAAGCACAGGGGGCAGACACACAACGGTTGACATGTCAAGCAGTGGCGGCAGCAGGAGCAGAGGGAGCAGCAGCCAGTTGATAAAGGTACACAGTTTTGAATCCCTGGACGAAGCTAGTTTCATGCCCTCTGTGCCAGAGATGCATCAGGTTCGGTTCCGTTCCGTTCGGTTCAGTTAGATTCGATTCGATTTGGTTCGGTGAGTGACTCACCTTGGGAGCGGCGGCGGCAGTCTTCCAGAGAATGGCCGCACACGCCTCAGGGCTGCAGATGGGGTGGTGGTGCAATCAGAGACATGTATGTCCCCACACATGAGCATGGACACATGCACACACACACTCACACACATGCACAAACAAACATATTCAAATAAACACACAGATGCATATATCCCCCCATATGCTCAAGCAAACACGCACCGCAGCACACAACGAAGGGAAAGAGGTTTGTTAATGGCTGCGAGGGGAACTCATTCCAGCAACGCGTTGTGTAGCCAGAAACTGCTGTTCAAATCTTCTCGAAACTATTCAAGCAGCCAATATCGAGTGCACTGGTGCAAAAATGATATTTTTTTTTTACCTGGCGACAAAGTACACTGCGTTCTCGAGCATGAGCATCTTGTTGCAGCAGCCAATAGCAAGAGCACCACCAGAGCCGCCCTCTCCAATCACCACACTGACTGACGGCACCTTGAGCCCAAACATCTCCCTCAGGTTGTGCGCAATGGCCTCGCCCTGGAAAACAAGAGGGTACGCAAAGGCAACGGGAAAGGAAATGTTGAAGGGCGGCAGAGGCAAGAACCACAACCACTCTGACTGACGGCACCTTGAACCAAATGGGATTAAGGGAGAGGAGGAAGGGGGGGAGAGAAGATATGGGGGTTGGAGCGGGGGGACAAAGAGGGAAGGGTAAACAAGGAGAAAAGGGAAAAGACAGGGCTGGTTAGGAAGCATGGCATTTCAGGATCTGAACCGGAAATGCCATGCTTCCCAACACAAAGGAGCATGGCACAAGGAGCACCATTTTGTTCTACTGTCTGTACCGCCATTTTGTTCGCCATTTTGCTCTTGATCTTTTGGAACGCCCTGACATCTCCTAACTCCTTTGTGACGTGATTCCAGCAGCGTAGGCGCCAGGCGTAGCGGATACATCCCCTGAGCGCAGCGCAGGGGGTTGAGAAACCCCCTACAACTCCCACGACCGCCATCTCACCCGTCCACGTCAACACCCGATTGCGCCATTCTACCTGCCTAACTGCCCGGAAGTAGTCTCTCAGCGGCTCAAGAGTGGACTCTCACCTGTCCGAGCTCCTCGGCCGTGACGCCAGCGTACGCGCCGGAGTTGACTCTTGAGTCGACTGAAAGGTCAAGAGTGGTCTCTCAGCGGCTCAAGAGTGGACTCTCATCTCACCTGTCCGAGCTCCTCGGCCGTGACGCCAGCGTACGCGCCGGGCGTGTCGACGAATGTGATGATGGGCAGCCCGTGGTGGTCCGCGTGGCGCATCATGCGCAGCGCCTTACGGTACCTGACGTAGGGGATGCGGCAGGAGGAGAGGGGGGGGGAAGGGGGGGAAAAGCGGGGTAGCGGTCAACAATTGAGGTTCAGTAACCCGTGGTGGTCCGCGTGGCGCATCATGCGCAGCGCCTTGCGGTACCTGATGCAGGGGTGATGAGCCGCAAGGAGAGGGAGGAGGGAGGGGGTGAGAGGAGTGGGGGAGCCGAAGGGAAGGGGGGGGGAAGAGGGCTAACAGTCAGTACCTGATGCACGGGCCGGGGGGGGGGCGTGGGGGGGGAGGGGGGGGAGGAAAAAGAGAGGGGAAGGCGGGTGGGAGAGAGGGGTAGATGTCAACAGCTAAAGAACTAATAGCCGGGGATTTGGCACCGGAGATCATAGTACGCATAAGAGCCAGAACAGACACCAGCGCGCTGCCGTGATGAGTGCAAGCGGGGCCATGCAACAGAAGGAGCGGGACCATGATTCGAGCGCTGACCACCGCGCTCGCCCGCGGACACGCAACGAGATGGCGCGCGCGCTTAAACATGCGGGAAGATTCCGCGCTAGCTCGCGGACATGCGGCGAGAGTCAGCAAGTGCGTTCACGCGATCGCTGGCCCATGCACGCCACGTCGGCAGCAGCCCGCATGCGTTCGACTGGACGACTGGACTCTCCCGCTAACTCCCTTCCTCCTCCCTTCCCTTCCTCCCCAACAAATCTCCCTCTCTCTCACCCGTTGGGCGTGGGCATGCCGAAGTTGCGGTAGATGTTCTCCTTGGTGTTGCGCCCCTTCTGGTGCCCCATGAACATGAAGCTCATGCCGTCCATGCGCCCGATCCCGCACACCAGCGCCGGGTCGTCGTAGCCCCCGCGGTCGCCGTGCAGCTCCACCCACTGCGGGAGAAGAGGAGGGGAGGAAGAAGAGAAGGGGGGAGGAAGGGGAAGAGGGAAAGGGGAAAAGCGCGAGCGGTTTGGGATAAATTCGATAGAAGGGGAGAACAGAGGGGGAGGTGTAAGAGTAGCCCCCGCGGTCGCCGTGGAGCTCCACCCACTGCGAGGAGAAGGGTGGCGGGAAGGAAGAAAAACGGGGAGAGGGACACGCGCACGGTGAAGGGGTAAGGGGAAAGGGGAAAAGGCGGGGAGTGGGGAGAACGGAAAGGGAGATGCAGGAGAGCCGGGTCGTCGTAGCCGCCGCGGTCACCGTGCATCTACACCCAACTGCGGGAGAGGAGGATAGCGCGGTCGGACGGGAGGGGACACGCGCGGAGAGGAGGAGACTGGACGCGGAAGCGCGCGGAGAGGAAGGAAACCGGAAGGGAAAGTGCGCGGAGAGGAAGGAGGCGGAAGGTAGATGTAAGAACGCCGGGTCGTCGCAGCCCAGGGGCCGCAGTGCAGTTCCGCTCACTGGGGCCGGAGCTAGCGCACCCGGGAAAGGGGGGAACCGAGCGAAAGCGGGGGCTATTAATACGCAAGAGGAAACGAACAAGCGAAAGAGCGAGAAACGGAGCGAGAGGGCGAGGGGTATACGCAGGACAGCAGTAAGAGGGGAAGCACGATGAATGTCTGAGCATAAGCATGGACATCAGGGGAAAAGGACGCGAAAACGAAACGAGCGAGGATGAATTAAAAACGCTTTTGGCGAAGCATCGGCTGTGTAGAAAGAGACGGAGTGGGAATTCCATGCGCATCAAGAACAGAGACATTCGGACGCTTAGCCAGGAAGTTGTGAGCGAGGATAAGCTGTGAGCGAGGATAAGCTCACCTTGTCAGTCATGTTGAGGACATGGTCCAAGAAAGTGGGGCGGTTGGGGTGACGCGCCACGCTGAGCCGCTGAACCGGAGTTATTCTCGCGTAGATGTCGCGCTTCAGCTGGGAGCGAAGATAGATGGTGAGAGAGGGATAGAGAGAGACACAGCCGAGAATGGGGAAAAGGGAGATGGGGTGAAGGGGAAGGCGAAGGGTAAGGACCCGGGTCCGGAGTGCGGTGCGAATAGTTAATTGGCGGAAAGCGATAAGATGAAGGTAGGAATAGGAAACGGAACGAAGAAACCGAAACAAAAAAGGTAGGCATCCGCCAAAGTCAGCAAAAAGGCAGCGCGGCTGCTTGACAAGCCAACAGCGTTGTTCGTGTAACAGATATGGTCCCGTAAAAGTTTATTGATTGGCTTCGATTGTCTCACCTGCTCGTACTTGTCCTGCAGCTCCTGCACCTGGTCCGTGAAGTCCATGCCAGTCTTATCCGCCAGCTGGCGAACCTGGCGAGGCACACATCAACATTCACAGGCAGTCACAATCGCAGGTACAGCCGCAGTCACCGGAGAACGATGGGAGTAGTGGTGAGAGGAAGATCATGGAAAGCCATGAGATGACGCGTGGAGGCGTTTCAGCCGCGACTTCCAATACACGGAGAATTCAGCATCCGACTTCGTCAGCTACTAATTGGTGCGCTTTAATCAAGGACGTAGAAGTCAGTCAATGCGGAAACCTGACAAACGCTCGAGGTTTTTGCGATGCACGTCTGTTCAACTTCCAGCGCCAGAGAATTATTTGCTAAAATCGCGTCTCTCTCTAAGTAAATTTTATTTACCTCCTCAATTTTCTTCTCGAGGTCGACCAGCGGTTTCTCGAACGGCAACGCCATCGGCTTAGTGGGCTTGGCTACGTCCTTAAACTTGGACAGGAACGCCAGGAACCCCTTCTCCTCCGCATTGTACTTATCCGGCCACGGGTAGTCCGGGTCTCTCGGGGCTCTCTTAGTTTTCAGAATCTTTGCCTGGATCTGCAGCTTCTGAGGAGCAGAGCCTCCTGGCAAGATCTGACCGGCTGAAAGAGCCTTGGGAATTGGTAGGCTAACGGAATTTGAGCTCCTTATCGATTGTCCGAGAGCATCGCCGTGAAGGGATCGAACGGCGGGGAGCTGCGAGGCGGCACGGATCGGCGAACACACCGACATGGCTTCCATTTTGGTGTTCAGCAGAGTAACACACGGAACCCAGTGGACCTAGGTGCTGTGGCTCGTTACCAGTGTGAACTCTGGAAAATAGTTCCTGAAAACCCAATTTCCACCCGTGAATATGCTGCACCAATGAATCAGAAAATAATCAGGGCCAGGTCGCCTGAAGAAATGCGAGCCCCAGAGAGATGGAGAAACAGAAGAGGACGGAAGGACTTGGTCGAGGAGTGAGAGGAAGGGGGGGTTCCCAAGGTTCGGCAATCCCAAGAGTCTCTGTCCATCCTCGCCAGAGTCTACGGAATTGACGACAGGCGTTGCTGACGGTTGGATGACGGGAGATCGACAGTGATGGTTTCGTAGCCCTTGGATCGCTCGTCAGACGAAGCGATAACGAAGCCAACCTCTTGGGAGACACGAGGGGCGACAGATTCCACGACAGATGACTCGTGTGACAGGTCATATCCTTGTTTCACCAGGAGCAATTTCGAGATCGGAACCGTCGAATTGTACAAGGCAGGCTTTTCGAGATTGCGACGTGATGAAGTGGCTGGATCTGACCAAACACGTGGCAGGCCGATTATCGGGTGGAGTCCGTGCAGGAACAGAATGCAGGTTTAAAGCCTTGGACCGCTATGGTTTCACGTCGTGTACAGTTGTTGGAATGCAAATGCAATGTACGACATGTTTCTTCTTATTGGGGGTTGTATTAGAAAGAGTACCATCAATGTTGAGACTGAATAAACAATATAAGGTTTAAGCATCTAACCGAATCTGTAAAATAAATCACTATACACACGTTGATGTACTTCAAAATCATACCAGCTTTCGGATATTGGTTGTAGCTTACGAATATGTTATCGTTATAATCATCACGCGGAGAGCCGACTACAAAGCGGTATGGGAGGAGGACCCGGCAGTCTCCTTTCAACCACCATAAAAGGCTTCAAGGAAGGGTCGGTCTACACGGTAGACTGTACACCTTCCTAGCTTTTAGTTACGACTGCGGGTGCTCTGTATGCTTCTCATAGTATACTTTCATCCACCAAATAAAATTTAAGTTATAACGTTCAAGTGAACATGCTTAAAAAGTGGTTTTGCATTCCCCACCTCAACCTGCCAATGTAGTATCCAAACACTTGCGGACATGTTTCCGTGCTGCAGCCATCTATCGCCCAATCACGGAAAGGGATTCCCTTGACACCGCGTGACTCAGCATGGTTCTCCAATCATTCAGCAATGACAGCACAGACAACAACCAGAGATTCCTGCGTACCCCATAGGGCGCTTCCAGAATGGGTTTTGTGAGAGATTTTTCAAGTACCTCAACCGCGTAGTACCAGAGGTAAAGGGTGATATCTTGTAGGAAACCGATTAGCACCGAATCTGGATGGAATGGTAACTCCTCCTCACAGAGGCTCATAACTGTTAGGTGAATGAAGTTCTATGGTTGCAGAATCTTGCCAGCTCTCATAACTAGTCTCGTGCCTGCCTTTGTGTGAATCCAGACCGTCCTGAAGTCCAGTCCAACTCCCGTCTGTCGCACTCAATTCGTGCCTTCTCCAGCAGCCTGTAAGGCGTTTACCATTCGGAGCGCTTGCCGGACATTCGCAGAACATTTGCAGCCAGACATTCTGAAAACTAAACCCACCGGTACCAACTGTTCACCATGACTGTCGCTGGTAGAGTTCTTCCCCTTTTTAGGCGGATGATGTCCACGTCAGCAGCATCACCACCTCGAAAAGTGACGGTTTTGGGAGCTGCTGGTGGCATTGGCAATCCGCTGAGCCTGCTGCTGAAAACGAATCCGCTAATATCGGATCTGGCTCTGTATGACGTCACGGGCATGCCTGGCGTGGTTGCTGACCTCAGCCACATCTGCACGAGAACCAAGGTGATTGGACCTAGGAGCCGGAAACAATGAATCATTACACTCAATGATTAGCTGACCCGTTGTTCAATGCGCGCAGCATTTCTATGTGGAGAAACTATGGATCCCTGATCCATTCGCTGTTATGGCTCCATCTCTCTTGAATACACTCAATTGATGTAAATATCTAACGGGATGAGCAGCTAGTAAACCAGAATTTACGACTTGGCTCTGAAACGCCTTGACGAACCTGCATTCCCTTCTCTTCTATCTCCACTGCCAGGTCAGCAGCTACCTCGGGCAGTACGAGCTACCAGACGCTCTGCGGGGCTTAGAACCTAAAGTCACTGATTCCCAAACAATCAGTGCACTCATTTCACGATGAACCTGCATTCCCTTCTCTCCCATCACTGACAGGTCAGCAGCTACCTTGGGCTGTACGAGCTGCAGGACGCGCTGCGGGGTTCGGACGATTTCTTCTACGGCTCACAATTTCCTCCCCTCCGATCACTCCTGACAGGTCAGCAGCTACCTCGGGCCGTACGAGCTGCCAGACGCGCTGCGGGGGTCGCACGTGGTGCTGGTGCTGGCGGGAGTGGCGTACCGGTCGTCCATGAAGGACGAGGACCGCTTCTGCATGAACGCGGGGATCGTCAGAGGCTTGTGCGAGTCAATTGCCAAGCACAGCCCAGAGGTAAGAGCTTGTGATGTGAGATGCATGGAGAGGTGGAGTGCCGTACCGGTCGTCCATGGGGGACGAGGACCGCTTCTGCATGAACGCGGGGGGATTGTCAGGGGACTGTGCGAGTCGATCGCTAAGCATAGTCCACGGGTGGGAGCTTGTGATGTGACATGCATCGACAGGTGTAGTGCTGTGCCGGTCGTCCACGGAGGACGAGGACCACTTCTGCATTGCGAGTCAATTGCCAAGCACAGCCCACAGGTACGGGATTTAGAAATGCCTCAACAGTGCAATGCGGTACTGATTGTCACTCACTCCAAGAGGTGATCGGGGTGATAACGAACCCTCTTAACGCCACGGTGCCGATAACAGCAGAGGCGATGGTGGGGGCAGGCAAGTAGGAGGCGAAGCGACTGCTGGGAGTCACGCCCCTTCTCTCTCATTCTCCCCAACCCCCTCACCACACACCACGCCAGGCGGTGATCGGGGTGATAACGAACCCTCTTAACGCCACGGTGCCGATAGCAGCAGAGGCCATGGCGAGAGCCGGCAAGCACGAGGAGAGGCGGCTGTTGGGAATCACGCCCCTTTCCCCCTCTTTCTGCCCTTCCTACACCCAGGCCGTAATTGGAGTGATCACGAACCCCCTCAACGCCACGGTTCCGATAGCAGCAGAGTCGATGGCGAGAGCCGGCAAGTACGAGGCGAGGCGGGTGTTGGGAGTCACGCCCCTTTCCCCCTCTTTCTGCCCTTCCTTTTCATGCATCCAGGCTGTAATTGGGGTGATCACGAACCCCCTCAACGCCACGCCCTTCCTTCTTTCCCTCCCGTTTGATTCGACTGAGCCTTTCCTTCCATCTTTCTCACCACACACCACTCCAGGCGGTGATTGGCGTTATCACAAACCCCCTCAACGCCACGGTGCCGATAGCAGCAGAGGCCATGGCGGAAGCAGGCAAGTACGAGGCGAGGCGGCTGCTGGGAATCACGGCACTGCACTCCGTGCGCGCCAGAGCCCTTCTGGCTGAGGCAACGGGACTGAAGGCCACAGGTGAGGGAGAGTTGAAACGAAGGGTGAGAGCAGGCAAGTACGAGGCACTGCGGCTGCTGGGAATCACGTTGCTGCATGGCGTGCGAGCCAGAGCTCTGCTGGCTAAGGCAACGGGGCTGAAGGCCACAGGTGAGGGAGAGTTGAAAGGAAGAGAGCAGGGAAGGGGTGACAGGAGGCAGGTACGAGGCGAGGCGGCTGCTGGGAATCACGTCACTGCACTCGGTCCGCGCCAGAGCCCTGCTTGCTGAGGCAACGGAGCTGAAGGCCACAGGTGAGCGAGGGGTGAAAGGTGAGAGAAGAGGGCGGGACTGCTAGAGGAGGCAAGTATGAGGCACTGCGCCTGCTGGGAATCACGTCACTGCACTCCGTGCGCGCCAGAGCTCTGCTTGCTGAGACCACGGGACAGAAGGCGACAGGTGAGGGAGGCGTGAAAGGAAGAGAGCAGGGAATTACATGCATAAGCGGCTGCTGGCGGATGCTGGGAAGGGACAAGGGCAGGCAAGTACGAGGCGAGGCGGCTGCTGGGAATGGAATCACGTCGCTGCACTCCGTGTGAGCCAGAGCACTGCTGGCTGATGCCACGGGGCTGAAAGCCGCAGTTGAAAGAGTGGAGAATGAAATTTTGGGGGAGAGATTTGGCAAATCGTCCACCTCTGCATGTGCATCTGACGCTGTTTCTGTCTCTAATCGTCTCATGTGACTGCTGTTTCTTGCACCATCCACTCTTCTCATCCATCTGTTTCAGAGCTGTCAGTGCCTGTTGTGGGAGGCAGCAGAGACAACTCAATAGTCCCTCTCTTCTCGCAGGTGTGTGTATATGTCCTTCCCTGTGCGTCAAGTTTTGAGACGTCTCAACGGAGTGTTGAGACGTCTGGAAACCCGATTTTGAGACGTCTCAGAATTCGGATCTGTCAGTGCCCGTGGACCGTGGTGGGTGGGAGGCAACAGAGACAACACAATACTCCCTCTCTTCTCGCAGTTGTGTGTGTATCTCCTTCTCTGTGCTTCAATTTGCCTTTTGAGTCGACTCAAAGATCGATCCTCTAGGCTTCAATCCTCTATCCCTCTATCCCCTCGCGCAGGCCACCCCGGCAGTTTCCCTGCGTGAGGAGGGGTTGAGGCTGGTGATGCGGGTGGGGAAAGATTGTTTCGGCACCTGATAAAGTCTCGCTGTCGCCCCGTCCCTCTTCCCCTCCGTCCCTCTTTCACCCAGGCCACCCCAGCAGTTTCCCTGTGTGACAACAAGGAGGGGGTGAGGCTGGTGAGGCGAGTGGGGGCCGGATTGTTTCGGCACCTGATAATCTCTCTCTGTCGCCCGGTCCCTCTTCCCCTCCACCCCTCTTTCACCCAGGCCGCCCCAGCAGTTTTCCTGTGTGACAACAAGGAGGGGGTGAGGCTGGTGAGGCGAGTGGGGGCCGGATTGGTTTGGCACCTGATGAACTCTCGCTGTCACCCTGTCCCTCTGCCCCTCCATCGCTCTGATCCTCACCCAGGCCACCCCAGCTGTTCCCCTGTGTGACAAGGAGCGGGTGAGGCGCCTCAAACATTCTCATTGCCCCTCTTAACATTCTTTCTCCCCCTCTTAACATTCTCTCTGCCCCTCTTAACATCCTCTCTGCGCCTCTAACATTCCCTTTGCCCCTCCGTACCTCTGTCCCTCTGTCCCCCTATCCCCTCGCCCAGGCCACCCCGGCAGTTTCCCTGCGTGAGGAGGAGCGGGAGAGGCTGGTGAGGCGGGTGAGGGCGAGTGGAATGCAGGTGATCACAGCCAAGGACGGCAAGGGCTCTGCCATCATGGCTCCAGCGTACGTCCTAAACCTTAAACCCTAGACCCGCCTTGCAAGGTGCCTCGTGCAATGGGTTGACTGGGCTGACTCGTGGATTGGCTCCAAAGGCTGGTGAGGCGAGTGAGGGCGAGTGGCATGCAGGTGATCACTGCCAAGGACGGCAAGGGCTCTGCCATCATGGCTCCAGCGTACGTCCTAAACCTTAAACCCTAGACCCGCCTTGCAAGGTGCCTCGTGCAATGGGTTGACTGGGCTGACTCGTGGATTGGCTCCAAAGGCTGGTGAGGCGAGTGAGGGCGAGTGGCATGCAGGTGATCACTGCCAAGGACGGCAAGGGCTCTGCCATCATGGCTCCAGCGTACGTCCTAAACCTTAAGCCCTAGACCCGCCTTGCAAGGTGCCTCGTGCAATGGGTTGACTGGGCTGACTCGTGGATTGGCTCCAAAGGCTGGTGAGGCGAGTGAGGGCGAGTGGCATGCAGGTGATCACTGCCAAGGACGGCAAGGGCTCTGCCATCATGGCTCCAGCGTACGTTCCCCTCCCTCCTACTATTATTGACTCGCCTCACATGTCTACAAAGAGCTTCCCTCTCCTCCCTACATATGCACTGTCTTATGCGCCTCTCTGCACGTACCCCGCTGTCCATTGCGCCTCTCTGCATGCGCATTTCTCCCATTGTGTCTTGTCACTTATTCTGTGGCTTTTCAATCTCGTCTTGCTGCTCCATTTTGTTGCGGCTGTGCAGGTTTGCAGCTGCCAGCTTCACGAATTCGTTGCTCAGAGCCCTGAACGGTGAAGCTGTTATGGAGTATGCGTATGTGGCTTCAAGTGTAACAGATGCACCGTTCTTTGCTTCAAAGGTATGACAGTCAAGGCACTGCCTTAGCTTTTGCTCACGTTTTTTACATCAGCACGTCTCACACCACATTTCCCTACCAAAGTGCAAATTCATACCGGATTGTACCTCTCCCCACTCTCCCTTGTTCCCACACCCCTCTCCGACCACCCCTGCTCCCCCCACACTCCTCCTCCTTAATCTCACACTTCGAGCGTATTTCTCCTCTGTTAAGCTACCCGCCTCCTTTCCTCCCATGTCTCGAAAGTTGCTTATGCTCGCGATGATTTTTGTGTATTTAATTGGATAATTGTATTGGTGTCAATGCAGGTTCAACTTGGTCCCAACGGTGTGGAAAAGGTGTTCCCAGTGGAGGACGTGAGCTATGGTGAACGGAAAGATATCGAAAGTGCTGTTAGGTTAATAAAGGAAGACATTGCCAAGGGCGTAGCATTTATGTCCACGAGATGAGCCTTATGATGGCCGTCACCATTATTCTCCTAACTGAGCGCTCTATAGAGTGGGAACACACCACGCTGATTCTTGGGGAGCCACGTGTACAGTCTGAAACTGGATGTAAATGTGCTTTGCTATTGGTCAAAGCTTCATATCAGAATATACTATTCTTGGGCATCTTCTAAAGATTTCGTCAAGTCCACTTCACCGAGGCCTTCACAGAATCGCCCCAACGTGGCCGCAGCTTGTAATTCCCAACGTTGCCAGCAGCGTGTGAAAATATTACAGAACAGACTCGACTGTGAAAATATTCCTTCCAGGTCTCCTGGAGATTCCTTTTCGACGTGTACCAGTCAATCCCAGCCCTCCTTCCCAACCTGTCGCCGCCCCTCGGTGAAACTTTCCCCCACCCACCTCGTCAGCAAGCCCTGCTCCACGCAACCGCAGCGCATTTCTGAAATCCAATGGAATGGTGGAGATTCTGCTGGAGGACGGACACCGTCACACCGAGTGGTGCTCAATCAGAGATTCCCTCCAACGCGGTCCGAACGGACGAATGATTCCGCCCTTCCTTCCTTCCTCTCTTCGCTGCGATTCGTTCCGACTTTCCAGTCCCGCTCCTCACTCCACTCTCCGTCTGCTCCTTACATCTTTCCAACCAGCTCTCGATTTTCCACGGTTGTTCTGCCACACTGCCTGGCACACCACCTGCCACATTCTTTGCATAGATTTCGCGCCACCAGTTTCCAACTTCGCTAGTATTTGTTCCAATCCCCGTCCTCGTGCATTCGTGACCTTTCCCCCGATTTCCGCGCTTGCTGGCAGATTCGAAAGCCACAAGCTTATCCAAGCAGGTCTCCAACTCTTTGCGCCACTTTAATCCTTTACTTTGAGGCGTTTCTCATAAGTGTCTAACAATTCTAAACCGTCCTCCTTCACGTGAACCATCAATTTCACGAAGAACTTACTGCTAACAATCATGGCTTCTACGTGCACCGTTAGGTGCGTAACGAACATGGCTTCTCAACAACTCTCACCGCAAGCGGCCTTTCAGCTGCCGTTGAGCTCGCTACACTCAACTCCGCCCGCCCACTCACTGAGCCGCTTCGCCTTGCCGTTCGCTCCGCTCGGCCAATCGTCGTGCTCCCGTTCCCGGCGGCAACAACGAGCTGCGCCTTCCGCGGTGCATCACTCACACAACCGCGCGTCGCGTATCGACGAGGGCGCACAGAAGTGGGGCGGTGTTCTCCGCCTTGGTGACGGGAAAGCCGGCGGCGGCGGGGAGTACTCCGCGTGGTACCCCGTGAAGATTCCCCCACGCGTAGCCGCGCCACCGCCCCGCGCGCAACCGACCAGGGCGCAAAGGCAGCGCTCTGCCAAGGCACGCGCGAGCAGCGGAAGCGGCGCTGTGTTGCGCGGAGAGCCCACCGCAATCGCCGTCGCCGTGCCGGTGCCGAATGGGTTGTCCGTTGGGCTTGGCGACTCCGTCCGCGAGCCAACCGGAGCTCCGCGTTCCGCGGCCATCGGCGCAAAGAGCATGGCGGAAGCCTTGGAGATTTCCCCCGTGACAGCCGCCGCGATGGTCGCCGCGATCGGCGCGATTGCCGTCGCCGCGCCGTTCGGCCTCGGGTTTCTCTCCGCCGACGCGCCGCTGCAGACGAATGTGCTTGCGTACATCACGGCGATGATCGGGCTGTACATGGCGTGGAACATCGGCGCGAATGACGTGTCAAACGCGATGGGCACGTCCGTCGGGTCGGGCGCGCTGTCGATGCGGACCGCGGTGCTGGTGGCGGGGGTGCTGGAATTCGGCGGCGCGATGCTCGTCGGGTCGCATGTGAGCGACACGATGCAGACGGGGATTATCGACCCGGGTCTGTTCGTGAACGATCAGCCGCTGCTGTTCACGGGCATGGTCTCGTCGCTCGCCGCCGCCGGCACATGGCTACAGGTATGATCCCTCGGCGCCTGACTTGATGGTTATTTCTGCCCTTACCCCCTTATCCCCCACCAAACAACAATTAGAACTGAAATCGAAAGAGACCTCCTGGTTTTGCCGCATGGCTCAAACTTCCCAAGTCTTTCGAATAAACGCTAATGGCTAATAAACGCTAATGGCTAATAAACGTTAATCGCTAATTAACTCCTCTTTGGATACCTCAGATTGAGAACGCACACCAACCTACCTCCACTCCTTTCCACATCTCTTCCTAAGTCTCGATATCCACACGTGCCCCTCTCGCTCCCGTAATTCCAGATCGCGACGCATTTCGGCTGGCCCGTGTCGACCACGCATTGCATCGTTGGCGCGATGGTGGGATTTGGTTTCGTCTACGGCGGCGCGGACGCGGTTTGCTGGGACTCGCTGTCCCACGTGGCCTCCTCCTGGGTGCTCTCGCCTGTTCTCGGAGCTACTGTAGCGTACAGTATCTACACCGCAATTCAGAAATTCGTCTACGAAGCTGATTCTCCCGCCCACGCCGCTTCCAGCGCCGCTCCGTACCTCGTTGGTTTGGGCGTGTTCGCGTTTTCGTTGTCCTCGTTATACACTGGAGACGCAGCGTTTGCGCCAGCCGCGTTGGAGTCTCTTGCAGCGGGTACAGTGGCTGCGGGTGTAGCATCTCTATTTGTGGAGAAACAGGTTGGGAGCCAATTAAAGGAGCTAAGCAAGTCGCTTAGCTTGCTATCTGGACCATCAGCAGCAACAGCAGCAGGAGTATCCAGGACGGAACCTAAGGGGGAGCAACAACGGACAGTGTACTCAATTTTCGGGTATCTCCAGATTCTATCCGCGTGTTTCATGTCGTTCGCTCATGGCTCTAACGACGTCGCCAACGCGATCGGCCCCATCGCTGCTGCTCTCAACATCCTCTCCGCTTCTGCGGTTGCCGCTACCTCTCCTGATGCTGCGGATGCTGCTGTTGCCGCGGCTGCCGCGGCTCCAACCACGCATATTCTCATGTGGGGTGGTTTCGGCATCGTCGCAGGGCTACTCGTGTGTGGTTACCAGGTGATTTCGACAATCGGCGGGAAAATCACCGAAATCACCCCTACTCGCGGATTCGCAGCGGAGTTCGCAGCCGCTTCGGTAGTGGTGCTGGCGTCGCGATTAGGGTTACCAGTTTCCGCGACGCACACGCTGGTGGGAGCGGTTATGGGGGTGGGTCTGGCGCAAGGGGGGAGCGGGGGAGTGCGCGGGGAGGTTCTGGCGGAGATTGCTGCGTCGTGGGCGATCACCATTCCCGCTGGCGCAGCTCTCGCTATAATATACTCCGCTGCTCTGTCGCAGATCGTTCCTGCTTTCTTCTGAAGGTCCTTCTGAGCATCAACTTCATAGTAGTCTGTGGACAGTCAGTTTCTGAATACTCCCCCTCGATTTCTGGGGTAGTCTTCGGGTCCATCCATCCACCTACGGACTAGTTGAGCAGGTGTGGCTGCTACAGTTGAGCAGCGGTGCTGATGGGGAAGGTTATTGATCGATGGCCTCTCCCCTTGAACTTGCAATTTTGCAGCGTCCAGGTGTGTGTTGCTGATCCTACATGTATCGATTAAATAATAAATGCTTATTCGTGTGTATTCTTGGTGGTGTTTAGATGAGCACCCTGAGCATTCTTAATAACGTGGAGCAAAGGATACCTTTTGTTGCTAAGCAATGTGCCGTTTGCGGTGTAGCAACTGTAACATAATGGTTGGTGGAAGCAGGCACGCGGCAATGAGGGGCAGAAACAGACCAACCAGGAAGCCCAGGAGCATTCCGTATGTGCTGCTGATAGGCCACGCCTGGATGGGTGGGAAGGAGGGGGCACTGAATGCATAAGGCAAACCTTGACCAATCCAATAGTCCAAGGAGCATGCCGTATGTGCTGCTGATAGGTCAAGCCTGGATGGGTGGGAAGGAGGGGGCACTGAATGCATAAGGCAAACCTTGACCAATCCAATAGTCCAAGGAGCATGCCATATGTGCTGCTGATAGGTCAAGCCTGGATGGGTAGGGAGAGGGGGCAGTTCGAGTTGGGCAGAAGCAGACCAATAAAAAAGCCCTGGAGCATGGCGTAGCTGCCAGAGAATTTCTTGGCTTACCCACCTGCTATGCCTGCTCTCGGCCCGTAGGCATGGGCCATTCACCCATGCACCCATGCATCCATCATGCACCCATCCATGCATCCATGCAACCGTGCACCCATACACCCATCCACCCATCATCCACCCATGCTCCCATGCACCTGCGCCTTCAGACACTAATCCACCTGCCATGGCATTTCTCAGCCCAGAGGCATGGCCATGCCCCTACCCATGCCCATCATACACCTATCATGGGCCATCATACCCCCCATACCCCCATGCACCCATCATGCACCTGACCCCTCAATAACCCACCTGCCATGGCTTTTCCCAGTCCAGAGGCATGGGCCATGCCCCCACCCATGCCCCGACAATGCACCCACCCATGCCCCCATGCAACTACCCCTGTACCCTGACCCACGTAATACCCCCTTTCCCCCCACTAACTCACCTGCCACGGCTTTTCCCAGTCCAGAGGCATCGGCCATGCCCCTACCCATGCCCCCACCACGGCCCCATGTGCTGACGTCACCACACACGCCTCTGGCAGTGATGCTGGGCTGAAGGGGAGGGATACGGTGGGGAGAGTGGAGGAAGGGAGGGGGAGGAAGGGGGAGGGAGAAGGGGAGGGGGAGGAGGGGACGGGGAGGAGGGGAGGGGGGGAAAGGGAGAGGGAGGAGGGGAGGGGGAGGAAGGGAGAGGGTGGAGGGGAGGGGGATGAGGGGAGAGGGAGGAGGGGAGGGGGAGGAGGGGACGGGGAGGAGGGGAGGGGGGGGAAGGAAGAGGGGGAGGAGGGGACGAGGAAGAGATGAGGGGGGAGGATGGGAAGGGAGACGGGATAAGGCATATGGAACGGGCAGAGGGAATGGGGAGAGGTGAGTAGCAGAGGTGTGGAACGTAGCACCGTTGAAACACACGGATGGAATGGAGGAAAGCACGGAAAAACAAAGAAACAGGGGATGACTGGGCGGCAGGAGGAGCGCGAAAATGTGCTGCAGTAACTGTCACCTGAGTCCTGAAAGGTCTTTTCTTACGCCTTGGCCGTCTCATTCACTCACAGGATGATTTGGAACAACAATAGAGGTTTGCGGCCATGGGTGTTACCTGAACTGCAGCAGCACGGATCGCCAGAGGTGTGTGTGAGAGCCAAAGAGGAGAGCGGAGGGCAGCACCTGAGGGGAGGGGATGATGAGGACGGAGGGGGCATAGGGCGGGATGCGTGGCGGAGGATGAATGGTCACTGAGACGGTCACTGAGAGTAACAGATTGTGCACGTTAGACATGAGCAACGGGCGAACACCAAACATGTTCGATTTGCCCTGCACGAACATGTGAAGGGGGCGAACCGAACAGCACGTGCCACGGGTTAAAAAAAGTAACTGAGAGGCGAAGAGGAGCGTCGAGAGCAGAAGATGAAGGGGGTGAAAGAATGAGGGGATAAACAAATGAGGGTGGATGGGAGGTGGAGGAACAATGAATGATGGGGAATGGGGGATGGAAAAATCAGAGGTTGCGGGTGAGCAGATTATCAAACATGGGAGATGAAGACAAAGAGGAGTGGGGAGGGAAGCAGCCGAGGAGGGTAAAAGGAGAAGGTCAGAAAAGGGGAGGGGGGGGTGGAGTGGTAAAGGAGGGAAGTGGCGGTCGACGAAGCTGATTTGGCAGGTGAGTGACGTGACATGGCAGGTGAGTCGCGCGAGGGCAATGTGACGTGGCTGATTGCAGCAGCACTTACGGCAAGCAGAGAGAGAAGGGAGGACCAGTGGAGGGTGACAGGGATAGACCTGGCAGATGGGGAAGACAGAGAGAATGGTGGATTACAGAGGGGTGTAACGCGGTGAAGTGGGGTTGCTGTGCTGCAGTGGAGTATGCTGACTCACATCACATGGCATGTGAAAAAAAAAAAAAAAAAAACAACAACAAAATTTCACTTGTCATCTCGTATCAATGTCATGAAATGCTTGGCGGCAGCTTCTAGCCGGAAGAAAGTACAAAAAGAAAACGAAGAACAAAAAATCGCGACAACAAAACCGAATACGTCTCAAAGCGCACAATTGACTCACTGGAGGGTGGTGGGAGCACCAAAGGCAGTGGCTGCGAGTGCTGCAGCGAAAGCACCTGGTGGTGAGGCAGAAAGGGGGCGGGGCGGAAGAGTAAGGGAGGGAGGGTTGGATGTGGGTTGGTGCACATGCGTGTATCGATGTGAAGACGAGGAGGGGGGCGGGGAAGGTGAGAGGCGGGATAAGGATGGCAGTGAGGATAAGGGAAGGTAGAGGAAGTATTTACCTTGGGGTATGTCAAGGTGCACATACCCCAAGGTGCTTTCACTGCTGCAGCAAGGTTCCTTCTTCTTGTTTACCAAGGTTTGTCAACAAGATGGCAGTGGTGATGAGAGTTGGTGCACATGCGCGTATTGATGTGAAGACGAGGAGGGGGGCGGGGAAGACAAGAGCACATGCGCGTATTGATGTGGGGAAGAGGAGGCGGAGAAGGAATATAAGTGGTATAAGGAAAAATGGAAGAGTTATCTACCAAGGCATGTCAGGACTATGGCTGTGGTGATGTGAGCAATCCGGTGCATGAATTGATCTCCAGGCTGCATGGAAGGTGGAGGGGGGGGACGGGGAAGACAAGAGCATGGAAGGAGGAGGGGGGGGACGGGGAAGACAAGAGCATGGAAGGAGGAGGGGGGGGACGGGGAAGACAAGAGCATGGAAGGAGGAGGGGGGGGACGGGGAAGACAAGAGCATGGAAGGAGGGGGGGGACGGGGAAGACAAGAGCATGGAAGGAGGAGGGGGGGGACGGGGAAGACAAGAGCATGGAAGGAGGAGGGGGGGGACTGGGAAGACAAGAGCATGGAAGGAGGAGGGGGGGGACTGGGAAGACAAGAGCATGGAAGGAGGAGGGGGGGGACTGGGAAGACAAGAGCATGGAAGGAGGAGGGGGGGGACTGGGAAGACAAGAGCATGGAAGGAGGAGGGGGGGAACTGGGAAGACAAGAGCATGGAAGGAGGAGGGGGGGGACGGGGAAGACAAGAGGCGAAAGAGAGAGGGGTTAGAAGAGTCGGGCTGAAAACAAGAGCCTGTCAGCCCGATGGCAGAGGTGATGTGAGCAATGAGCTGCATGAGTTGATTTCCAGGCTGTAAGAGAGGAGAAGGCACAAGCAGCCAAATCATACTACAAGATGCCACGTCAGACGATGACATGCCACATCATGACTCATCATGACAAAGTCATATGCAATCAGAGCCAGGACATTTTGGAAAGAAGAACGAAATAGAGCTACCATCAGCCTCTGACATGGCGACCGGCTAACATGGTGACGTGCTGACATGGCGATGTGCTCACATGTCAGACACGCTGACATGTCTGACATGGCGACACGGGCAGAAAATCACCTGCATGCCTCTGCGTTGTGCTGCCGAATTTTGGACGGATGGGGAGGGGCTGAAGGGAGGGAGAGAGAAGATCAGCAGTGCTGCTGGTAAAAATAGAGCCTGTGGCGAGGGATGGTTGGGAGGGGAGGAGGCACGGAGAGGAGAGCAGGGGAGGGGAGAGGAGGAGAGGATGGAGGGAAAAAGGAGGGAGAGAGGGAGTGAGGAGAAATAAGCTTGTGGAGAGACGATCGGAAGGGAAGAGGTAATGCGGTGCACGCCAACCCGAGAGAGCTAGGGAATGAATGACATGAGATATATGTAGTTTTACTCACCAAGCAGGAATTGAAATCTGAAGCCATAAAGCTGGAATGCGGAATAGACACGTGGACATACGCATGTGGACTTGATACACGTCAGCGGGTCACTCGTCAGATCCACTCCCCAGAGCTGACATGGCAGCAGCCACGCTCCAGTTACTATGCTAAGTGAGAGTGCTGACGTGGACAGGACGAGCGACGCTGACGGTGAATAAGGCGCTGTGGAAGCATCTCGTAGCTTCTTAGCACTCGCCTTACGAGCCATCTCGCCACCGTGTCAATTCGGCTCGCAGTGAGTGTCGCAAGAAGATTTCAGAGTTTTCTCATGCTGGGAACTAGTAGTCTAGCTTCGGCGGGATATCTGGGTTTGCTGGGCTCATTATGAAATTCTCAAAATCCGCTGTTGAATGGGAAGAGTGCTAAACTCGAGGTGGTGTACATGTGGGGCTCATTTGCGGCTTCGTTTCGCTGCAACTACAGCTGGTGTCAGACAGCTGAGATCGCCTTCCCGGGGATGTCCGCACTTCGAAGTTGGGCTATTCGAAGCCGCCTCAAAATCCGGAGTAGGTTCGTCTTCTGACACACATACACAGGAAGAGAAACGCTTATGCACAATTATTTCTGGTTACTCGCGGTTGAAAGCTAGCGAAAAGGCTGATGTTCTGGAAAAGGTTCGAATTTGCAACGATCAACGATCGGTACATCCACCTAGGGATCTCCGGCAAGTGAACTCGGGCCGAGACCTGAAGCTAAGCTTTCTTGCAAACACCCCCTAATTGTTCCCAGCCCAACCCTAAATTCTGATGGACTTCGGAACATCCTTATTGTCTCGTCACCGTCACGCTCTCCGGCCTCTTTGAGACTGCCTAATGCATATCCGCGGCTCATTCTCGTCGTCACCGTCGCTTACCAGCCGCGCCGCGACTCACACGTGGTATTAGAGTCTACTTTCGACCGACGTCAGCACCACTAATCATTAGATCTGATTAGCATGTCGTTGTAGCTGCAGCTACTATCTGCCAATAACGGCTAGCACGATGGCGTAAAACTCCAGAAATATCCCATTATCCCCGTTTGAGGGAATCATGAAGCCACCACCGCGAGCAACGAGGAGGCCGAGAGCGAGAGCGGAAGAGGAGGAGGGTGCGACGCGTGTCCCTCGAGAATCGGCGATAGTCAAGCGAGGAGATTCAGAGAAGGTAGAGGAAGCTAAGTTACGGGCAGGAAATGATTCGGCCGCAGAACAAAAAGATAGCGACTCCGACTCCGCGAATTCCGAGGGGGCTGACAAGGACGTCACCGATAGTGACGCTGACGGTGACGCTGACGTAGACGCCACTACGGATGCTGACGGGGACGCGGCTGCGCGAGACAGTGCGGGAGGCATGACGGCGTACGAGCAGCTGAGAGCGGATCGCATGGCGAGAAACGCGGCGCTGCTGGCGGCGCTCGACGTGAGCGCTGCAGCCAGGCGGCTCAAGTCGACCGCCAGCATCAGCACTTCCGGCGGTCGCTCCGCGCAGGAGAAGGGACGACTCGCGCCCTCCAAAGGTGATATGTTTTAGGCTTTTCTATAGCCGTTCTCGTGACATGAACTCTGCAGTCAGGTGACTCAAGTCGACCGCCAGCATCAGCGCTGCAGGGGGGGGATCGCGAGCCGCAGGAACAGAGACGGCCGGCGCTTTTCAAAGGTTATGTTTTAGGCCTCGTTAAAACCGCCAAAATCAGCATTGGAGGAGCGACGATACGCTCCCTGAGAAGGTGACTGTTGAGGCGCTCACAGCCAATTTCCAGCATCACGCGACTGGGGGTCTCTCGCTTCTGATGAGTCTATTTTTTAGTCGACTTTGGCCCTCCGAAGGTGTTACCCGTTTGCTGTGCTGTGCTGTGCTGTGCTGTGCTGTGCTGTGCTGTGCGTTCTCTGCCTGAGTCTAGCGCGTCTGGCGTCTGGCTCGTTCATTGTCTGGCGTCTGGCTGGCGCGTCTAGTGGTGCGTCTAGGGGCGTTTGTAGGACGATGGTGTGGTTCGGCAGTGCGATGGTGTGGTTCGGCAGGACGATGGTGTGGTTCGGCAGTGCGATGGTGTGGTTCGGCAGTGCGATGGTGTGGTTCGGCAGGATGATCTTGTGTCCCGGCCAGATCCTCGCGAGAAGTCTTGTTGGTGTTCTGTGCTTAACTCATTAGTGCTCTGTTCTGCTCATCATTCTCTCTCTTTCAGGCACTCGGCGGTCGTTCCGTGTTCAGAAAAAGACAGGAGGAGGAGGAGGAGGAGAAGGCAGAGGTGGCAGCGGTGGTGGTGGTGGTGACAAGGGGGAGTGGGAAGAGGAGGAAGAGGAGGGTGAGGACGAGGAGGAGGGTGAGGAGGAGGAATTGGGGAAAGACGGCGAGTATATCCCAGATGCGATTGCAGATGACGATGATCAGGATGAAGAGAGGGATGAAGGGGAGGAGGAGGGGGAAGATGAGGAGATGGAGGGAGGGGAGGGTTGTGGTGGTGGTGGTGGTGGTGGTGGCGGTGGTGGCATCAGTGGGAGGAGAGGACGACAGTCGGGGAAACGCGGTGCAGAAAAGCAGCAGCAGCAGCAGCAGCGGGTGAGCAAGCGATGGAGGGGGATGGAGGAGTTGGGAGCGGTTGGAGCTGGTGACGAGGACGAGGAGCTACAGATGGTGAGTGGGTTTCGGAGATGGTTGCTTCAAGAGGGAAAGCCTTTTGAGGAAACGAATGTTGAGGAAATGAATATTGAGGAAACGAATATTGAGGAAACGAATATTGAGGAAACGAATATTGAGGAAACGAATATTGAGGAAACGAATATTGAGGAAACGAATATTGAGGAAACGATTATTGAGGAAACGATTATTGAGGACACGAATATTGAGGAAACGAATATTGAGGAAACGAATATTGAGGAAACGAATATTGAGGAAACGAATATTGAGGAAACGAATATTGAGGAAACGAATATTGAGGAAACGAATATTGAGGAAACGAATATTGAGGAAACGAATATTGAGGAAACGATTATTGAGGACACGAATATTGAGGAAACGAATATTGAGGAAACTATTATTGAGGACACGAATATTGAGGAGACGAATAACTAGGAAACGAATATTGAGGAAACGATTTAGAATTATCCCCAGACATTTGAGGCAACTCAAAGTATACCCGAGATTACCGCCTGATAGCGGATGACTATAGATGGTTTTTTGCAGTTTTTTTAGGTGCCTCAACACTTGACTGCTACATATGGTGTTTTGCATTTTGTTGCATCAGGTTGCATGCATGCATGCTGCATGCATGATGCTGCACTGTAAGGTCGAACACCTGTTGGGTTTCACATTGGGTTGCATGCGTGATGCTGAAGTTGAAAAAAACTGCTTTTCAAACACTTCAGATTCGGGCGTGTTTCTGAAGTATGCATGTTATGCCATGAAAGTTCCGTGCCACTTCTGTGTTCGGAGCCATGCCGGACCCAACACACGCACACAGTTGACTGCCCCCAATTTGTGCTTCTCTCTGTCTCTGCTACCGCCGCTGTCCCTCTCTCCACCCCTCCCCACATCTCTCTGCCTCTCTCTGCCTCTCTTTGCCCCTCTCCACCACGTTCTGCCTCTCTGCACCTCGCTCTGCCTCTCTGCCTATTTCTACCTACCTCTGTCCACCTCTCTCCACTTCTCTCCACCTCTCTCTGCCCCAGGCCATCGCCCTGTCCCTTTCCATGACTGGAGGAGGAGAGAAGGGTGGGGGGGGAGAGGGAGGAGGGAGGGGCGGAGGCGATGGGAGTGACGCGGGCAGAGGCAGAGGCAGGAGAGGCAAGATCAAGGTGCGTGGAGCGTTGAGAGAATGGGGGTGTTGAGAAGGTGTTAGTCCCGAGAAGCTTGTCAGAAGGGTGTGTCATTTTTGCGAATGCTGCTCAGGATTTTGCTAGGATGCTTGTGTCGCTCAGAATTCTCAAAAGGGACACACGTGTGTGCCCTGCTGCGCCTGGGATTCTCAGTCAGTAGGTGTTCTCAGTCAGTCTTCCTGGCAGGCAAAGCGGCATCAGGGGCCCTTTGAGGAAGCTCACGGAGTGCGGGTCAGCCGCATCTACAAGCAGCATTTAAGCCTCTCATTCCCCCAATCTCTGTTCCACTTCGCCCCACGATCCTCTATCACTCCCCCCAGGGCATTCCTGAGTGTCGGCTGCGCCAACCTGCGGGTTGGCCGCATCTACAAGCAGCATTTAAGCCTCTCATTCCCCCAATCTCTGTTCCACTTCGCCCCACGATCCTCTATCACTCCCCCCAGGGCATTCCTGAGTGTCGGCTGCGCCAACCTGCGGGTTGGCCGCATCTACAAGCAGCATTTAAGCCTCTCATTCCCCCAATCTCTGTTCCACTTCGCCCCACGATCCTCTATCACTCCCCCCAGGGCATTCCTGAGTGTCGGCTGCGCCAACCTGCGGGTTGGCCGCATCTACAAGCAGCATTTAAGCCTCTCATTCCCCCAATCTCTGTTCCACTTCGCCCCACGATCCTCTATCACTCCCCCCAGGGCATTCCTGAGTGTCGGCTGCGCCAACCTGCGGGTCGGCCGCATCTACAAGCAGCCCTCTCTCCCTCCTTCTCTCACTCGCTCTCTCACTGCCTCTCTCACGACCTCTCTCACTCCCTCTCTCACTCCCTCTCTCACTCCCCCTCTCACTCCTTCCCGGCAGGCGAAGCGGCGTAGGAGCCCGTTGAGGAAGCTCAAGCTCACTGACTGTGAAGCTGACTCGCTCTCTCACTCCTTGACTCCGTCCCTCTCTCCCTTTCTCACTCCTTCCTGGCAGGCGAAGCGGCGTAGGAGCCCGTTGAGGAAGCTCACTGACTCTGAAGCCGACTCTCTCTATTTTACTCTCGATGGTGAGTAAGAGAACTCCCTGACATCTGAATACGCACAAGGCGCACAGGCATGCATACGCTTGTGCGCGTACACTCATATGCACACATACACACACGCTTGTGCGCGCACACTCATATGCACACATGCACACACGCTTGCACGCGCACACTCATATGCACACATGCACACACGCTTGTGCGCGCACACTCATATGCACACATGCACACACGCTTGCACGCGCACACTCATATGCACACATGCACACACGCTTGTGCGCGCACACTCATATGCACACATGCACACACGCTTGTGCGCGCACACTCATATGCACACATGCACACACGCTTGTGCACGCACACTCATAATGCCGACACACCCTAATTCACTCTCAATGGTGTGTGTGAGAACTCCCTGCTGTCTCTACACACACACACATGCACATACGGTTTTTTTTAGGCGACTTTTGAGTCGACTCAATATGCATCTTACGGGTGCTTTTCCATTTTATTGAGCTAACGGTGATTGAAATCCGTTAGCAGCAATTGAAGCCATCAAGTGGCGTGGCGCCATTCCATAGTTTTATTAAGAGAGGTATTTCGCTTTGCTTCATTCTGCACCCGTTTCATCTGCCCCCTCTTCCATCTCATCCCATCCCATGCAGCCAACTGTCGGTGAGGGTTGCACGCATGGGTACAGCATCCCTATCATCTGCTGATCATCTGCTGCTACCGCAGCTGACGTCTCTCACAAAGCTGGATGCATGGCGCTCTGTGATCCAAAGACAAAGTCATTTCCACGCTCTTCTGTGTTCACCTCTCCCTCCTCCTCCTTCACCCCCCCCTTTCCTTCTTCACCCTCCCTCCTCAACCCCTCTCAACCCCCCCCAACCCCCGTCAAACCCCCCACCCCTCCCACATCCTGTCCATTCGACCCAGTCAACGGTGAGGGGCGCATAGCAGCAGCCGATGTAGCCACGCAGGCAGCAGTGCACTCTTTGATCAAGGCATATATTTTCCCACTTTCACCCTTCCCTTCCTCCAACCCCCCTCGACCCCCCTCAACCCACCGGTCCCCATTCATCTTATCCAGCCAGTAGTGAGGGTCGCCAGTCATAGCTGATGTCATAGCAGCGGCTGACGTGGCCAGGCAGGCATCAGTGCACTCTTTGATCCGGGCAAAGTCATTTCAACTTCACCCTTCCCCCCACCTCAACCCCCTCCCTCTCTCCTCCCCCCCTCTCTTCCCCCCCCATCCATCGTATCCAGCCAAAGGTGAGGGGTGCATAACAGCAGCTGACATCGCCAGGCTGGCAGCAGTGCACTCGTTCCTGTGGAGCGAGCAGCAGATGGAGGACATGATCATGCTGTTCAGCCACTCACAGGTGAGCTGTGTGTGACATTTGAGTTGACTCCAATGTCATTCTGTGGAGCAAGAAGCAGTTTTAGGACATGGTCATGCTGTTCAGCCAATCACAGGTGCGTTCAGGCTTTTGGCTCTGAGTTGACGTGCATCAGTCATCTTGTGAAACAATCAGCAGCAGATTGAGGACATGATAACACTCGTCAGCCAATCACAGGTGGGTTTCGATTTTTGAGTCCATTGGGGGTGTAAATTTCTAGGGTTCGGAAATCTTATACCCACTGGGTGCTAGCATAATACTAAAGGTCTAACCAAAGCAGTGTAAGAATCAGCTCATTGAGCTGTGTCGGATCCCGCTGTGCGATTTTCGCACTGCGCGGAAAAAAACATCGTGCCATGTCATTCCTACGCAGCAACGGTTGTAGTCAGTCGGCGATGTAGAGTATTTTTGAGAATTCTCAAAAATACTTCACACGTTCGTGAACGACCCTTACGCGATAAACGATGGAGGTTGACGGTGGTTGGTTTGAAATAAAAACAAGGTACAGGTTAAATGTCGGCTCCCTTGACTCGAAACAGTTTCTTTTTTTACTCGTACCATAATTGCTCTAACACTGATTTCCACTTTTTTTTTTTTTTTCTGGCCATTACACTTTCTCCAGGATGTTTGTGTTGTTTAGCATTACACTCTACACCTATGCTGTGTTTGTTACCTTCGCCCGCGTCACGCATCCCTGTTGCGACCTATTGTAAGTGTACTGTACTACCAAACCAAGTGTCCAGGTCACCCATATTATATGCATATGATTCTTTCTACCTTTGAAATGGTAGAACATTGCATGGCTCTTCTACCCTATCAATTGTGCCTACGTTTATTTGCAGGGCGCTCAGATGGGAATGTTAGAATTTCGTCATGTTTTGTCACAATGTGGACGGCTTTAGTTGAAAATGGCTCATCGACACCTCCGTTTTTTGCATTCGCATCGCAATTTCAAATATATGTGTACATAAATGCTGTTCGATAGGTATATGCTTGATACCGTCATCGCCCTGACACTTGGCATATGTATCCTATCCGATACCGCTTGACTTGAGAAAGTGGCTGTTTTGCTTACAAACGGGAAAAATTTAGCTCCATACATTTTATATGTTTTGAGATGTACCACGCCCTTGGCATATCCATATCAGAGGCACAAAATGTTCACGCGGCAGACGTTATCGTGATATGTACTGTAGCTCCTTGCGTCATCCACGGATTTCGGCGTGACAAGATTGGGCAACAACAGTCGATATTGTGCCAGCTGGAGTACAAGAACCAATGATGTTTTAAATTCGATTGTGCGTTCGATTTCCTTGGGATCCATGAAAAAGTTTTGAGGGCAATATCTATGACTCAGATTATGTCACTGGCGCGTTGCTCGCCGTGTAGCAGCAGCAGACCTTCATTTTGGGCACACAACCTGTGTTGTACATCCCCACCTCAAGGTTCAGGGTGATTATATATTGTAAAAGAGACCAATCTGAATAGAAACAGGGTCAGCCTGCCAGGGTGTTTGATGGATGAACCCCTAGATTGGTGCTTCTACTGTACTGTATTGATGATGTTTCAGGACAGCTTCTGGTTCTGGCTGTGAAGCCTCCGTGCTGTACAGTGTACATACGCCAGTCATACGCTTTATGGTGCATACCGCTCACGGTTGCCCCTCTACGCCCTCGAGTGGGTGTTTTCACAAGACCTTCAATCAGTCGAGACAATACCGGAAGGGTTTCTATGCCGCCCATTCAGAATTTCAGCTCGAACTCTTCTGTGCCTCTCAATCCACAGACTTCATTTTTGCACGGCTCAGGGAGCATCCAATGGCGCTTGAGCTTCCACGTTGTATTTTTCTGGTCAGAATCCCAACTTGCGAAGCCAGAGAGGTGGGACGGACAGCTGTGCTACAAACAAAAATGGGCGGAGATGTGAGACTGTATCTGGACGTTCCGCAGGTGCTGTTGAGCTGTCGCTAGAAGGGCATTAATGCCCATGAAATTGAGTGTTCGGTTTGGCCAAGGTCCCAAATTTAAACAATTGGTTCTGGAGTCAGTAAAGGTAACGAAACCCATATTCGTAACGTGCTGGTTTTGGGCCAACTCTAATCTAGTCGTTGATCATCGGATCTTTAAGGCCTAAAAATGAATTGGCAAACTTTGATTTAATTGCATTACTTAGCGAAGTACTAAGTTGACCCCAAACAGAACCTACAAAGTGGTTGGATTGCCACTACCCGTAGCTGATTTAAGGGCACCTTAGGGCGTGGGCCCAATCGAGTTTGATCGCGACTGATCTGATCGGGTTGGATCTGATCGGGCTGCTTGTGATCGTAGTGCCCGAGCCGCCCGATCAGAAATGATTTTCGGAGAAGGCTGTCAGCGCCTGCTCAGCAAGCGCGATACGCGTGGCACTTTTGTCACCATTTTAGCGAGATTGACGACCAGGCTTCACATGGCGAAAATCTTCGTTTCACTGTAAGTGCAACAGTGTAACTACTCGCAAGCATCGCTGGGTGCCCCGATCACAAGCAATCAATTGATTGCCTGTGATCGAGGAAAATCGAATCTGATCGGGGTTAAAATCGGGTCTGATCGAGGTTGGGCGATCAACTGATCGCGATCAGCTGATTGCCCCTGATTGCCTGAATTTGGCTTCCAGGCTTCCTGGAAACTATTGATCGCGGCTGATCGAGGCGATCAAACCCGATTGGGCCCACGCCCTTAGCCTCCCAAGTTCTGTCCTCAGAGGGTTGGTAGAGTATCATAATGGTTCTATACGTTACACCGCGGTTCTCGTGCTGAATCCTTTCCTGCCATTATGAGTTGAGTGGATTCCACAAGTCATTCAAGCACAGGTCTCCTTCCTCCTCACCGCTCTTTCCTGCACAAACCAGCAACGCTGCAAGTGTGCAGTGCTGCATATTTTGCATCTTAGTAGGTCGCTCAAATACGCCAAAGCAAATTGTTACTTACTACGATGGATGTCTCAGGAGTCCCAGTGCCTTCCCACGCAGTATCATACGTGCTCTTGTTACCAAAGCTGCTCCCTGCTTCCCTTTCAACCGAGGATTTTTCTTTTCACAGCAGTCTATTCGAGCTTCGATTGGTGATGCATAACAGAGCAGCTTTCAGACTCCTGTCTCCAGGAAGAACTCCGAGATCAGTATTAGGTCCTTCCCAATGGAGGAATTTCGACTTGAAACGTGCGTATCGTTTGTTTTTTTCCCTATATTATTTAAAAGCTTGCACTTTTCTCCTGCTTGAAGCAGATGAGGATGCAGGTGAGTTACCGTTCAACAGTCTCTGATATGGGGATGAACGAAGTACTACAAAAATGCACGTGGCTCACTGTCTCCTCACTCAAAAGGATTTGCATGTTTGATCATCTGGTGTGGCAGATCTGAAATCAACGGGAGCGAGCCACCAAGCGAGCCACCAACCATGCACCTTCAAGCGGAAGTCAACGTGCCGCCGATTCAGTCGGATCCTGTCTCTCCGATGGCTGAATCGTCCATCATTCTCGCATCATCATCGTCAGACCGAGGGGGGAATTATCATACCAATATTGATACAACCGAAGTTTTCAACGGTGGCTCCTGTATTTTACTGAGCTCGGGAGAGCAGCGGCTCAGCTCTTTTCAAGGATTGAATGTGAACGTGGATGAATCAGGGAGCGCGAATGCATCAGGCTCAGTTCCACATGATCCTGACATGCTGGATCCCTTGCATGATGATCATCATGATCATGGTCACCATGATGACTTTCTTCTGGAAACTTCTGCAGCCGGCGCAAAGCAACCTGACGGAAGGATGCTGCAGCAACGTCAATATCACCCTGCGGCCGCTGCTCCCACGGTGCCGGCATGGCGGCCGGCGTCTTTCACGCAGGTGCTGAGGTCAGTCTCCCCGGCGTATCAGCTCAGGCGAAGGCCGGCCAATCAGACGACTCATGTTCAGCATCAAGAGCATGTCATGACTAATGATGATCCCGAGGCGGGAAGGCACTAGCGTCACCACCAGTCATGTACACCATGTGCATGACAACAATCATGATGACAATCAAGAAGATGAGTACCAGGAGACTTTGACGCCAGGAATGGAATGGGATGGTGATGACCCGATGCAGCATCAGCAGCAGCCCATCAGCGCTTCCATGCTGATGCTGCAGCACTACCACAACACTCCTGGAGGGTTACCCACCGGTAGGGATCATCTCCCCTCAACCATCTCCCAGCGACAGGACTTTTTCTCCAGCAACTCCCAGCAACAGCAGCACCCGATGTCTCTGCACGATCCACACGCGTTGTCTTATCATCCTGGTCATCTCATTCCTCGCCCACCAGGCGCTGTAGCAGCAAACGCGGTTGCAGGATCGTCATTTATGGGAGCAGCATCCATTCCTGTTGACGCAACCCATGGTGTTTCCGCACGCGCAGTTGCAGCACACGGCGCGGTTCTTGGAGCACCAATCCCCGCATCAGAACGCCAGCCGCAGCAGCAGCCAGCAGCCTATGATCCAGCTCTCTTTTCCCCTGCGGTCGCGTTTCCTGCCGCGTTGCAGCCTAGAGGTCTGGCCGTTTCATCTGCAGCAGCTGCTGGCATGCGGCCCATGGTTGTAGTGGGATCAGGCTCTGGTGGTGCTGGTGCTGCTGCCTCTGTTAATGCTACTACAGCTGTTTTTCAACTGGCCAATTTTCAGCTGCCCGGGTTTCAGCTGCCCGGGAGGCCTCGCCCGCCGCCACCTGTCATCACGCACACGTGGACGGGGCGAGCACTGCCGCAGCCTGCCGCCTCGGCCTGCTCCCCTGCTGCTACCGCTGCTACTGCTGCCACTGTTGCAACTGCCGCCACTGATGCCACTGCTGCTACGGCTACTGCTGTTACTGCTACCACTGCTGGTTTTCCCAGAAGCTTCGTTCCGGCTGCTGTGCCCGGCAGTGGCTCTTTTGAGGATGATTCGGTATCTGCATCTTCATCCTTCCCATACCCTGGTGATGTAGGGGTCGGTGGAGACACTATTGTAACTGCTGCTGGTGGTGGTGTGGCTTCAGGGCGTGGCGACAGTGTGGGAGCAGTAACAACAGCAGCAGCTGTGATGGCCGCAGTTTATGGCAGTGCTGTTGCTGCTGCACCCCAGGCTGGTGCTGCAGCTGCAGGTTCCGGTGGTGCTATGGAGATGGATTCTCACCATGCTGGCAATGCTGAAGCTTCTGATGATGCTGACAGCTCTGACGATTCAGACTCTGCTGCTTCTGCCAGGGCAAGTGGGCAGCGCAGCACTAGCCAAGATGGGTCAGACGCACAGTAATGGGGCAGCTTGCTGGCTTACATGTCGATGGTCGTTTCCTATGCGCTTATTGCAGCACAGGTCTGTGTGTCCCAGCAGGTCGCCACACCAGCTGCATTGGAGTGTCTTCCAACCCAGTAGCACCAGCTCAATGTGAGTCGCTTGGGTGATATCAAGCACGCAAGCGACTTCAATCATACAACCTTGTAGTGGAGTGTAGCGCTTTCAATCACGCAACACCTACCATGCTGCATCTACACTAGCAGAGGCATCACCGTAGAGTAGCTAGGCTAGCACCTTTGCTCCCATAGATTCCTGCATTCTAGGCATATTCGTATAGTCACTTAGAGCCACGCCTGCATCCCTGCCATTGTATTCAATTTATTTCAGCATTTAATTAAAGCACTGCACCGCACTGCAGAGACATGAGACATGAGAAGCTGGAGCAAGAGGGTGTTTGTGTGTGAGGTTCTACTGGTGCTGTAGCTACACGGCTTCTGTGAAAACCACCTCTGTCTCTTGTGTTAAAACAAACAAGCAAGGACATAAACAAACATTACACAGCAACTGCTGTCGGCTTTGTATGTTTGAATTGAATTGACTCGATGAACAGTTCCCTGTAAGCTCGTTGCTACCAGCTCCTGCCACACTGTCGAGATGAAGTAGCATGATAAAGTGTGTACGGTATATGCATGTGGACCAATGCTTACTCAATCAGGACTGCACAGCGATGTTCTTTACCCCCCTCAGGTGCCCCTGAGATGTTCCTGAGACTCTCCAACAAGCAGTCTGCACAGATCGACCAGAACTGCTCTGCACTACACACTTCCATAGCACCAACAGCAGCTGTCACATGAGGGAAAGGCCTTGGGGCAGCGCACAGAAAGATAATATATACGGAAAAATAGATAACACTATTGCGCATACTTTCATACATACACACATACATGGGAAGCAAAAACATATATGAGCTACGCATGAAACCAATTGAATGGAATTACACAATACCCTTCGGGTGCCCAGTCAGGTGCCGCCTCAGGGACCTCCTCAGGTGCCCCCTCAGGTGCCCCCTCAGGTGCCCCCTTAGGTGGCCCACCCACCAGAAATGGCCACCTCCCTGGCATCCAGGTTGATATCTGCCCCTCAGGTGCCCCCTCAGGTGCCCCCTCAGGTTCCCCTCAGGTGTCCCTCAGGTGCCTTTCAGGTGTCCCTCTTGTGTGCCTCAGACATCAAACTCGTGAAGCACGTTCCCATCTGTGGAGCGTCCCCCAAAGATGCTCAGTTTCCCGGCATCGAGGTTGAAGAGTGTGCTGTGTAGCGTGTGGATGACCGGTCCTGGTGACAGTAGAGCAACGCAAAGAGGAGAAGGGAAAAGAGGAAGGGCGACAGATGAGTGGTGCTTGCAGGGAGATGCTGAGTTTCCCGGCATCCAGGTTGAAGGGCGTGCTGTGTAGCGTGTGGATGACCGGGCCTGGTGGAAACAGAGGCGGGGAAAGAGAAGAAAAACGAGATGCAGAGAAAGAGAGAGGGGAGACGGGTGAGTGGTGCTTGCAGGGGCGATGGAAGATGCTGAGTTTCCCGGCATCCAGGTTGAAGAGCGAGCTGTGTAGCGTGTGGATGACCGGGCCTGGAGATATCAGAGAGGGGGAAAGCGGAGAAGGGAGAAGAGATGCAGGGAAAGAGAGGACAATGGAGAGCAGGGAGGCAGGTGAGTGGCGCTTGCAGGGACGGTGGTCACTTTCGAGAATTCCTCAAAAGGGAGGCAGTTTTGAGATTTCTCAAACGGGAAGCAGTTTTTAAAATTTCTCAAAAGGGAGGCATCTTTGAGAAGACTCAAAAAGGTGAGGCAGGTGAGAGGTGCTTGCAGGGAGGCAGGTGAGAGGTGCTTGCAGGGAGGCAGTTTTGAGAATTGTTAGAAACGAGGCAGTTTTGGGACTTCTCAAAAGGGAGGCAATTTTTAAATTTCTCGAAAGGGAGGCATCTTTGAGAAGTGTCAAAAAGGTGAGGTAGGTGAGAGGTGCTTGCAGGGACGGTGGTCCCTCTTTTGGCATGTCGGACGAAGAGCACGCTGTGCTGTGCAGTGCTGTGTGTGGGACAGTATATCTTTGAGGCGCCTCAGAAATATATTCCTGGCATGTAGGATGAAGACCGTGCTGTGCTGTGCTTTGCTGTGCTGTGCTGTGCTGTGCAGCGCTGTGCTGTGCAGTGCTGTGCAGTGCGTGGCGAAAGCCGTAGACTGTGTCAGCTCGGAATGACTTGCTCGTACACCCCTGCACACCCTTGTACTCCCTCACACACCCTCGCACCGCACTGGATAACTCACCTCCGATTTCAAAGGGGTTTCCCTCGTTGAAAATGGGATACTCTTTGTCGTCCGAGTTGGATAGGATCTGATGTGAGAGAGAGGTGTGGAGAGAGAGAGAGAGGGATGAGAAGGGACGGAGAGATGAGGGCATGAAAAGGCCTTTCCTTTATTAAAGATGGGATACTCCTTGTCGCCTGAGTTGGATAGGATCTGGTGGGAGGGAGAGGCGAGGGGAAAGACGCAGCAGGAGGAGGAAGAGGCGTGTAAGGGAGTGGGTCAAGTCAAGAGACCGCATTTCCCTCACCGGAGATGTCCAGTGGGGTGGGACACTTCTCGTCGGAATAGACTTTTGAGTCGACTCATAAGTTAGTGAGATGGGATACTACTTCTTGGAGGCGCCTAAAAAAAAAAACAATCCCTCACCGGAGAGGAGATGTCCAGTGAGGTGGGACACTTCTTGTCGGACTACTTACATTCACTAGCCCGTTATGATCCCACTCACTTCAAGCATGTCTTGTGTGTGCTTCTGAGAGCGCCCAGGCGCCTGGCAGTGGCCTCTCTGCAGTGGGAGCTGGGGCCCATCTTCTCTCGCAGTCTCAGATGCAGCCTCGTGTACGCGTTGGCATGGAAGATGTGTTTCGAGCCTTCAGCACTCACGTTACCTCCACCTGAACTTGTCACACACACTTGACTTGACAGCAGCCCTTGACAGTTCCACTCACCTTTAGCATGTCGTGGGTGGTTGTGGGTGCGCCCAGGAGCCTGGCAGTGGCCTCCCTGCGATGGGCACTCGGACCCATCTTCTCTTGCAGACGCAATCTCGTGTATGCGTTGGCATGGAATATATATTCCGTGCCTTCAGCAGCAGCGGTATCACCGTCAGCAGAAGCAGCACTGTTAGAAGCAGCATGATCAGAAGCAGCAGCACCATTAGGGTCAGCCTGGCTTCCGAGCTTGGGGTTAGGGCCCAGCTCCAGGATGCTATGCCGGCCGTTGGATGCGGTTTCAACGGACGCGATTCGACGGTGGGCGAAATCCATCACCACGTAGTGATGCCCCACTGCCACCGCTGGGCCAGTCACGCGCTGCCACGTCGCACATAATGATTGGGAGCAGCGATTTTGGGAGGGAGGGGAGAAGGGGATAGGAAGGGAAGTAATGGGAGAGGAGGGATGAGGTGGGAAAGGATAGTGAGGAGAGTGGTACAAAAGACTAAGTGGAGCGATTGCAGCAATAACAACCTGCCATGGTAGTAGTATGCCACAGGAACACCACAGAGCTACCGAACTCACCTCTCTTTATAATCACTAGTACTACCTACCATACACCCAGGAATTTTCTCCTGCGCCCTTCAAGAAAGCAGTTTCCTCCAAGGATCCTGCATTGTCTACTGCCACATCTTCCCGTATTCCAGTCGTTTCAGTCACACTCGTTACCGTCATTCTCCTTGCAATCGTCGTCGTTACAATCACCCTCCTTACATTCACTAACCTGCACGGCATCCTCTATGGATCGCGACGTTATGAGGCTGTGAGAAACTAAGTCATCCCTCGCTACAGCAACACTCGTTACAGTCTCATTCGCTACACTCACCTGCACGGCATCCTCTATGGACCGTGACTCATGAGGCTGCGGGCAACGAAGTTGCGCCCTATCCCCCCTTCATTACGCTCACTTTTGTTGCAGTCACACTCACCTGCACGGCATCCTCTATGGACCGCGACTCCATGAGGCTGCGGGCAACGAAGTTGCGTCCTATCCCTCCCTTCACCACTTCTGAGGGCGCTGGGGGTACTGCGTCCATAGAGATTCCCTGGGGAGGGGGAGGGGGAGGAGAGAAGGAGCATGAAAACAGACACTGCGGGCAACGAAGTTGCGTCCTATCCCGCCCTTCACCACGTCTGAGGGCGCTGGGGGTACTGCGTCCATAGAGATTCCCTGGGGAGGGGGAGGGGGAGGAGAGAAGGAGCATGAAAACAGACACTGCGGGCAACGAAGTTGCGTCCTATCCCGCCCTTCACCACTTCTGAGGGCGCTGGGGGTACTGCGTCCATTGAAAATCCCTGGGGTAAGGGGGGAGGAGCTGAAGCAGATTAGAACGGACGGACCGATGCCGCCCTTCATTACTTGTCACAGCGCTGGAGCCTGCGGGTACCGCGTCCATGGATTAGCCCTTGGGAGGGAAGGGATGGGGAACGGGAGAAGACGGATGAAGACAGACAGTGTGGGCAACATCGTTGCGCCCTATGCCTCCCTGAACTACTTCTGATGCCGCTGGGGGTACTACCGCGTCCGTCCACCATACCGTCCGAAACCCTAACATTCTCGTGCGGTGAATCCTTCTGCTCGCACCCACCGTGGGTTTTGAGAATTCTCCAAAGACTTGCAGGGTTGTTTTAAGAACTCGCAGGGTTTCTTAAAGTATTCGAAAATATACCCTACAGCATCCACCATGCAGCAATGAGAAGCCAACATTCTCGTGCGCGAGAACAAGTCTCTCTGCTCACACACCATGCGAGCATCATAGGTCTCTCACCATTTTCGCGCTGTTGAGGCCGAAAGCCACGGAAGAAGGCTCGCCCGCGTAGGTGTATGCGGTGAAGGCAACACCGCTGTGATGTGACCTCAGTTGTGACAGTCCGTCTCTCTGCTCTCACCATTCTCGCGTTATCGAAGCCGAAAGGGGGTTTGCCGCGAGGTGTACGCCTCGTGAACTCAGTTGATTTGTGACAGTGAGTCTCTCTGCTCTCACCATTCTCGCGTTGTTAAAGCCGAAAGCAACGGATCGGAGCTCGCCTTCGTAGGTGTATGCGGTGAAGGCAACACAACTGTGAACTCAGTTGCGATTTTCAGGCAATGAGAACCCACCATTCGCGCGTTGTTGAAACCAAAAGCCACGGAAGGGAGCTCGCCCGCGTAGGTGTATGCGGTGAAGGCAACACCGCTGTCGGCATGCACGTGCACCAGGAAGCTGCGAGGAAATGAGGGTTGAAGGCGGAGGAGAAAGGGAAGAAAGGGAGCATGTGGGAAGCCGAGAGGAAGAGTTATTCGCAGGCATGGTATTGCGTGGCGTGGCATGGCGTCACATGATATGCGATCCATGGCATCGCATCGGGATCGACATGGCATGGCCTGACGTGGCATATGCATGGCATGGCATGGCATGGCACAGAGAATCATGGCATGGCGCGGCGTTGCTTGCAGGGCACTGCAGCCACTCATGTGTTTTCCACACCGCAACCGCCTAATCGGCATCCTCATTGTGTTCTTAGTCAACTAGAAAATCGCCTCCTCACGTGGTATGATACAGAAACATCGCCTCATTATGGCAAGGAAATGGTAGCAAAGCATGGCATGGCACTGCATGCATGCCACTCACGTGTTGTCCACAATCGAGTAGTCCGCATCCTCGTTGTGCCCCACCGCTGCCACGTCATCCGTGAGCAGTAACACGTCAGAGCAGTCGTCAGACGCCATGCCATACTGCAGCGCCCTGTCCAGCGTGGCACCACCAACTCCACCACCAGATCCTGTATTAGCTGGCGAGACCAACTCAGGCAGCAGTGCTGACGTGGCAGGTGCGTTGAGGGAGGGCAGGAAGGGGCCAAACTCCTTGCGAAGGTTCAGAAGCAGCAGCTGACGTGGAGAGATGGGTGAAGGTACAGCAGGGCACGACGGGACAGGGCATGAATTATCAGATCGAGGCCGCATAAGGAGGTAGAGGGTTTAGAGGGAGAGAGCAATGGGTGAGAGGTCAGGGTACCGGTGAGACGATAAGCTGCTCTGCACATGGGCGGAATATGGAGGGTGCAGGGAGTAGCAGAGTGGGGAGCAGCAGAGTGGGGAGCAGCAGATTGGGGAGCAGCAGAGTGGGGAGTAGCAGAGTGGGGAGTAGCAGAGTGCTGCAGGAGCAGGGAACACAGAGGAAGCGCATGAATCGGGACGCATCCAGTGGTTGGGAGACCACAAGGAGACACACCTCATGCATGGAAACACATGGAGACACATGGAGACACGTGGCAAGCATCAAACTTACCTATTGCCCCAGCCGTCGGATCTATCTTCATCTGACAGACCGCAGGTCACCTCACCCAGATTTTCGTTTGAGGCGTCTCAAAACCAGGTCAGTTCAGCAAACGGTTCGAGACGCAGCACAACACAGATTGGATTGGACCATAGCTCACCTCGGAGTCAAACTAGGCGGTTCAGACCGGTGAAGGGGGTCGAGGTGACGGGGGTCGAGGTGAAGGGGGTCGAGGTGAAGGGGGCCTTACCTCGTCAAACGGAACGCAGCTGCCGGCCGCCATGCCTCGGAGCTCCTCCCAATACTCCGGGTATAACGCCCTGCGGTGGCGGTGGTGGGGAGAGGGGGGGAATGGGGTGGTTGATATGAAACTTTGAATCTCGAGTGGATTCAAAAGCTTCTCTTGGCACTCCGGGTAAAGCGCTCTGACGGTGGTGGAAGGGACGGGACTCCCCTCGGAGGGGAGTGGGGGAAGGGGGAAGTAGGGGGTGGGGGGGGGGGACGTTCGAGTTTTGAGTCGACTTGAAAGCTCCTCCCAGCCTTCCGGGTAGAGGGGAAACAAGAGGGACAGCGGCGGAAACGTCTGAAGAAAGGTCCCATGCTATGCTGTAACCAGTTGAAGCTCAGGAACTATAGTGTCATGCGTGGCTTGCATGGAAGAATTCCGAAGTCGAGACTCTCTGAACTCAAGAAACCTCAGCCTCAGCAACAAGGATAGTATCCCTTCAGTCGTCATAAGGCCGCTGACTGAGGAGAATGGTTCACTTGCTGGGCCAGGCGGATTTGGTCAGCCGTGTAAAAACTGGGCGAGCCGCTGCTGCTTGGAAAGCGTTTTGAGTAGCAAAACGTTGGATAAGCTACCGCGGGTGATCATAAGCACTCACTTGTTGGATTCGGCAAACGTTTCCAGTAGCCAAGCTCCTTCGCCAGTCCGTGCGAACGGAATCATGTCGTCGTGCAGAAACGGCGCCTTGGCGACGCGATCGCGAATCTTATCGCCGAATCGCACGCCGATCGCACAGCCGCGCTCGAACGGGCTGCCAGATACCTCGAGCCATTCAAGCGGCTTAGGAACTGCCGACGCGCTGACTGCGCACACGTTCGCTGACGACGTGGATCTGGCTGACGTGGCGCGTACGGCGGATTTTGAGGAGGGTGAGTGTAGCGAGGCGGATGCGACTGGGGGTCGCACGCCGACTTTCGAGAGAGTCATGATACTTGGCCTTGCGACGATGATAGCTGGAGCCATGGCGAAAGGCAACAGTCAGACTCGGTCAATAGATTACGCAGTGCTCTCAGCAAAGGACTCACACGACAGACTCAAAGCGACGATGTACTACGGAGAAAGCTTCGCAAACAATATGGTCTCTGCTGAGGATAGATGCAGTGATTTTCTCGCGACTAAGTACGTTCAGCCGTTTCGCGAAGGCTGTTGCTGTGGCGATCATGACGTGGCAAGCGCAAAATCAAGTGCTACTAGTCAAAGCGATGCTCGGAACTCACTTGCTGCGCGCGCTGGGAGGTGACGGATACTGTCAGAGAGGGCCACGAGAAATGGGTGGTCGCGTCGCGCTCTGAAAGTACACCACTGGCTTGGCTTACTTCGCTTGTCACGCTTTCTCGGGACAGTACGGATCTGGTTGTTCGGCTGAAGTAGGAGGATCGTCGTGGGAGAGTCTAGTCTTACAAGGGATGAATATCGTCCAATCCTCGATGTCCTTATCACTTTCCCGCCAACTCTAAGCGTGGGTATTCGAGAAACTAATCTGAGCAAGCGTCGGAGAAATCGAGACTACGAGTTGCAAGACATCGAACGAAATTCAGGATGAGGGGACGCGGAAGTTTGATTTGGTCTAAACGGGTCTGCCGCGACTCGGTAGGCTTGGGGATTGTTACCTAGAGGTGATCGTGGAGCTGTGATTCGCTGTATATTTGGAATTCGGAGTTTAATGGCCAATCTACGAGGAGAATTGGTTTCCACATGAGGGATATTTAGAGAGGCCGTGGTGGAGGAGGGACCATCCCACATTCCGGATGCATCATCATTCACGAGAAGCTGTTCCGCTGAGCGGGAAAGAGACAGTGCGAGGTGAGTGCCAGCGTGTCGCATCGCAGGAGCAACCCACTCGATGCGGCCTGTTCCGACAACCTCCAGGTCCTCGCAGGAGGTAGTTACCAGAAGCTCAAGAGAAGTACGATAGCCATGTCAGCCTGGTGCCACATCATCACCCTCCGACTAATGTGAAGTCGAGTGCCATGTCAGCTAATTTTGTTCAGCAGACCCCTTGGGGCGGAACCGACTTGGAGATCACCGGAATCAGCGTCAAATCGAACGTAGTCCCGTCAAATTCGACGTGAAATGTTTCACATCCGCGTCAGCGAAGTCCGCCATGATTTCGGTGTTGGGGAGATCGATGGCGTCGACGAGGAACGGCGATGCATGACGGCGATCGCACATTCCCGATTCAGAATGCGATTCAGAATGCTTCGCTGTGGTTGCAATGTTCTACAGAATTACCCATATCTCAGTGTGCTCTGCTAGTCATGAGAGCAACTGTAAATCCATTGATGTCAAAAATCAGTTGCAAGCTCGATTAGAACACACGATGGCAACATTAGGCACAAAATGCCCATCCCATCTATCAACTCTAGTTCCTCTATCAGCATCATCATGCTCTTTTAACTACAATACTCCTTGTTTCACTTCCATGCATCACCCTCCGTGCGCACTTCAGAGGCCTCCACAACTTCAGGTTGTACCGGGGCGCTCGTTGACGAGGATGGAGCGGCAGGGGCGGCGGCAGCAGCTTGAGGAATAGCAAGAGCCATCATCTCGTACACGCGAGAGCCAAACTCAGCAGGGTTCTCCGGCTGGATGAAGGGTGACGATGAAAAGACATGAAAGTAGGAAAACGTGTCATTGAAAATTGTAGAGAAACCCATGCACAAAACAAAGTAAACAGAAACAAACCATGCGTACAAGAAATCACCCTGTGCACATTCCAGAACTCAACATATCATATTGAAGCATGCACATGTCATAAACCATACACAGCATAGCAACCATACACAGCATAACAACCATACACAGCATAGCAACCATACACAGCATAGCAACAATACACAGCATAGCAACCATACACATCATAGCAACCATACACAGCATAGCAACCATACACAGCATAGCAACCATACACAGCATAGCAACCATACACATCATAGCAACCATACACAGCATAACAACCATACACAGCATAGCAACCATACACATCATAGCAACCATACACAGCATAACAACCATACACAGCATAGCAACCATACACAGCATAGCAACCATACACAGCATAGCAACCATACACAGCATAGCAACCATACACAGCATAGCAACCATACACAGCATAGCAACCATACACATCATAGCAACCATACACAGCATAACAACCATACACAGCATAGCAACCATACACATCATAGCAACCATACACAGCATAGCAACCATACACAGCATAGCAACCATACACAGCATAGCAACCATACACAGCACAGCAACCATACACAGCATAACAACCATACACAGCATAGCAACAATACACAGCATAGCAACAATACACAGCATAACAACCATACACAGCATAACAACCATACACAGCATAGCAACAATACACAGCATAGCAACCATACACAGCATAGCAACCATACACATCCCATCCCGCAAGTCCACTCACCCGGAATCCCGAGGCCATGTGGGCAATTTCACACGGCCGGTCATAACGACCATCCACACATCCCGCAATGCCCCATGCACAAATCTCACCCACACACCCGTCTCGCAAGTCCACTCACCGGGAATCCCGAGGCGATGTGGGCAGTCTCATACAGCAGATCCACCAGCTGCCTCGCCTTGGGACTATCCGGTGCCACACTGCTCTGCACCTGCAGGGGTGAGCGAAGGGGGAGGAAAGGCGGGGAGAGGGGGTGGGGGTTAGGGAGAAGATGTACATTAGACACTCCAAATTCGCACATCTCACTGTGGGACTATCCGGTTGCCAAACAGCTCTGCACCTGCAGAGTGGTGGGAGGGAGGGAAGCAGAGTGGCAGGAGGGAAGCAAAGGCAGCTTACCTGAACAAACTTCACATGATTCCACATCTACGGATTAGATCATAAAGGCCCACATATGCATGCATAACACCACTTCACTGCAAAGCCTTTTTCGTGTACAAAGAATTGACGGCCCAGATGGGGTGTTACCTTGAGGTCCTTGATGATCGGATGGTCCGCGTTGATCTCCAGGATCCTCCTGCCCCTCATGAACTCCGCCTGCTGGGGGTCTCCCATCGTCTGCGCCTTCATGATGCTGGTGGGCGGGGGCGAGGAGGGGAGGAGGGGAAGGAGGGGGAAGGGGGAAGGGCACATGCATGACCGCCTGCCCCTCATGAACTCCGCCTGCTGGGGGTCTCCCATCGTCTGCACCTTCATGATGCTGCACGTTGGGAGGGGGAGTGGGGGGACGAATGGGGCGGGGGGAAGGATGGGGGGGAAGGCAAGGACATATACATGACCTCCTGCCCCTCATGAACTCCGCCTGCTGGGGGTCTCCCATCGTCTGCGCCTTCATGATGCTGCACGTGGGGGAGGAGCAGGGGAAGCAGAGGGGGGAAGGGGGGGTTCAGGGAGAAGGAAGGGGTCGAAAGCAAGGGCACACACATTGAGGATCCTCCTGCCCCTCATGAAATCCGCCTGCTAGGGGTCTCCCATCGTCTGCGCCTTCATAATGCTGCCAGGGGTTGAGGAGAGAACAGGAAAGGATAATGGGAGGGAGGAAACAAAACTTTCATTCTCTCATTCCTGGCTTGCTTGAGTTGATCCGTGAAGAGAACCCACACACACGGCGAGGAGGCAATCCGTTGACACACCTGCACCTTGGCCACCTTATCCCCTCCCTTGACTGCTTTGACTCTCATTGACTTTCGTTGACTCTCCTTGACTGTTAAACTCACCGTTTCATGTTAGCAGACCACCCGAACTTCCCAGCGACCAGCACGCAGGGGGAAGAAGCGATCCGCTGAGACACCTGCACTTTGGCCACCTTGTCTCCAAGTACCCCCTTCATCCAATCACACACGCCCTTCCTCCCAGTTGCACTCACCGCTCCATGTTGGCAGACCAGCCGAACTTCCCGGCCACCAGCACGCAGGGGGACGAGGCGATTCGCTGGGACACCTGCACTTTAGCCACCTTGTCTCCCAGCACGCCCTTCATCCAGTCACACACGCCCGCAAACTCCTTCTCCTGCTCCCTCTTGCTCGCCTCGTCGCCCTCATCCCCCAAATCCAAATCCTCCTTGGAAATATCCACAAACTTGAGGTCCTTGTAACTCTGTAACGTGGTAACCGCAACCTCGTCGATCGGCTCGACCAGGAAGAGCACCTCCAGCCCCTTCTGGTTCAGCTTCTCCAAAAACGGCGCGGATTTCGCGCTGCGGACCGTGTCCGCGGCAATGTAGTAAATCTCCTTCTGCCCGTCCTTCATCCTGCCCGTGTAATCCTCGAGCGAGATCAGCTCGTCCTCGGAAGCCGAGGAGAAGAACCGGAGGAGCGGAGCGAGCCGCTTGTGGTTACCCGCGTCTTCGATGCACCCGAGCTTGACGTTTCGCCCGAAGCTCTGCCAGAAGGTGGTGTAGTCGCTGCTCGGCTTGCCGTCCGCATCTTTCCGGGCGGCGACGTCGTCCAGCATGTCGAAGACCTTGCGCACGAGGCGCTTGCGCATGATGCGGACGATGCGGGACTCCTGGAGGATCTCGCGGGAGACGTTGAGAGGGAGGTCGTTGGAGTCGACCACTCCCTTGATGAACGCCATGTAGCGCGGCAGCTGGGGGGGAGGAGAAGGGGAGGGAAAGGGGCACAAGGAGTTGACTTTTGAGTCGACGCCCGAAGCTCTGCCAGAAGGTGGTGTAGTCGCTGCTCGGCTTGCCGCCCGCGTCTTTCCGGGCGGCGACGTCGTCCAGCATGTCGAAGACCTTGCGCACGAGGCGCTTGCGCATGATGCGGACGATCCGGGACTCCTGGAGGATCTCGCGGGAGACGTTGAGAGGGAGGTCGTTGGAGTCGACCACTCCCTTGATGAACGCCATGTAGCGCGGCAGCTGGGGGGGAGGAGAAGGGGAGGGAAAGGGGCACAAGGAGTTGACTTTTGAGTCGACGCCCGAAGCTCTGCCAGAAGGTGGTGTAGTCGCTGCTCAGCTTGCCGCCCGCGTCTTTCCGGGCGGCGACGTCGTCCAGCATGTCGAAGACCTTGCGCACGAGGCGCTTGCGCATGATGCGGACGATGCGGGACTCCTGGAGGATCTCGCGGGAGACGTTGAGAGGGAGGTCGTTGGAGTCGACCACTCCCTTGATGAACGCCATGTAGCGCGGCAGCTGGGGGGGAGGAGAAGGGGAGGGAAAGGGGCACAAGGAGTTGACTTTTGAGTCGACGCCCGAAGCTCTGCCAGAAGGTGGTGTAGTCGCTGCTCGGCTTGCCGCCCGCGTCTTTCCGGGCGGCGACGTCGTCCAGCATGTCGAAGACCTTGCGCACGAGGCGCTTGCGCATGATGCGGACGATGCGGGACTCCTGGAGGATCTCGCGGGAGACGTTTAGTGGGAGGTCGTTGGAGTCGACCACTCCCTTGATGAACGCTATGTAGCGGGGGAGCTGGAGGGTGGGGGACAGGGGGACAAGGGAGGGGAGAGAGCCGAAAGAGGAGGGAATGGGAGGGGGGAAGGGGAAGGGAGGAGGTGCTTTGAATAGGCAGAGCAGGCATGTGCGGGGCCATGTGTTAGGGCGACGTCGTCCAGCATGTCAAAGACCTTGCGCACGAGGGGGAGGGGGACGGGGGAAAATGGGGAAGGGGGAATGGAACGGGGGAAGGTGGGCCATCGTCGTCCAGCACGTGGAAGGCACGAGGCGCTTGCGTATGATGCGCACCACGCGGGACTTGCCGGAGAACATGTCGTTGGCGTCAAAGGGCGCCATGCCTCCCTTTACCCCCCAAACCCCAAAACCCACCACCCCTAACCCCTGCCACTCACCAGCTCCCCATCAAACTGGTCGGAGATGAAAACCCTCTTCACGTAGAGGCGGATGTTGTGAGTCTTCCCCGAAAACATGTCGTTGGCGCCAAAGGGCGCCATACCATACCCGGCACGTACAGCAGCGACTTGAACCCCTCCCTCTACCAACCCCTGAACCCCAAACCCCCCAGAAGAACTCACCAGCTCGCCGTCAAACTGGTCGGAGATGAAAACCCTCTTCACATAGAGGCGGATGTACCTTGTCTTCCCCGAGAACATGTCGTTGGCGTCAAAGGGCGCCATGCCTGGCACGTAGAGCAGCGACTTGAACTCAATCTCGCCCTCCGTTGAGAAGTGCGCGTGGGCCAGCGGGTCGAGGAACTCCTTGAACGTGTTCTTGAAGAACTCGCTGTACTCGCCTTGCTCCACCTCTTTAGGGGCACGGACCTGGAGAGAGCGGGGAGAGTTAAGAGGGTGAGGAGAGAGAGGAGAGGTGAGAAGTGCGCGTGCGGCGTGCGCCAGCGGGTCGAGGAACTCCTTGAACGTGTTCTTGAAGAACTCGCTGTACTCTGCCTGCTCCACCTCCTTGGGTGCACGCACCCGAGCACAGGAGGTTGGGAGGAAAGGGGCGGCGAGACAGAGAGAGGGGAAGGGACAGAGGAAGGGGAAGAAGTGTGGGGAAAGCACGCAAAAAAGACACTGCCCCTTTCGTGCACGGAAAGGGACACTGCCCCTTTCATGTCTTTTCGTGCACGGAAAGGGACATGAGGAGGAAGCAGGGCAGAGAGACAGTCGTTGATTTGCATTGGCTCGCACTGCGGGGCAGAGGGGCTTCAACATGCGTTTCTTCATCCTGACTTGTGCTGACTCGCTTTGGCCATCGTTGACTAGCTTTGACCAGCGTTGACTCACCCAGATGGGCTTGGTATCGTTCTCAAGGACCCAGTCGTGGTACTTCTCCTCCACCGTGCGAGTCTTCTTCACTGGAGGCTCACATTCACTTGCCTTGACTCGCATTGACTCGCATTGACTCGCGTTGACCAGCGTTGACTCACCCAGATGGGCTTGGTATCGTTCTCCAGCACCCAGTCGTGGTACTTCTCCTCCACCGTGCGCGCCTTCTTCACCGGGGGCTCTCCCTCCTCTTTGGCCGCCTCCTCATACTCCTCCTGCAAAGCAGCAGGTGAAGGACGGAAAATGACAATGAGAAGTAAGAGGGAGGAGGGAGGAGGAGGGAGGAGCAAAGAAGGTGTAGAGGTGGAAGCGAGTCTTCTTCACCGGGAGCTCGCCCTCCTCCTTGGCCGCCTCCTCATACTCCTCCTGCCATTCAGTCACCGCCAGGCGTGTGGGTTCGATCGCGGGGTTTGAGGAGAGGAGAGATGAAGAGGAGAGAGATGAGGAGGAGAGGAATGAGCATGAGAGGGGTTCACTAGCACACCAGCTCAGCCATTAATTCCCCTAAACACTTCCTTTCCATACAATATGCATGCTGCCGCGGCGGTAGTACCGCCACATGTAAAAGACCAACCTGACGCACGAGACCCCCCATCTTTACGTGCATACACGCAATCCTGCACCAGCACTGTAACCGCTCACCTCGTTGGAGCGCGTCTGCTCCTGCCACATGTAGATGGGGAACCCAATGAACTGCGAGTAGTGAGATGCCTTGGAACCTGCACCTAAAACTGAACCCTGACCTTAAGCCCTAAGCCCTCACCTCCTTGGAGCGCGTCTGCTCCTGCCACATGTAGATGGGGAACCCGATGAACTGAGAATGGTAAAAGGCGCTAAATCCTAGACTCTGAACCCGAAACCCTCTCTCTAAGCCCTCACCTCCTTGGAGCGCGTCTGCTCCTGCCACATGTAGATGGGGAACCCAATGAACTGCGAGTAGTTCTTCACGAGGCTCGCCAGGCGTGATGGGTCTGAGTACTCCGCCTTCTGGTCGTCCTGCACTCAACAACGGGGAGGGGGGGTGGTGGGGGGTGTGGAGGTCAGCAAGGGGTCTATCGATTGGACATGAAACCCAAGCAAGACTCGCCAGGCTCGCCAGGCGTGATGGGTCTGAGTACTCCGCCTTCTGGTCGTCCTGCAATCACACACGCGGAAGAAGGGGGTTGAAAGGGGAGGGGGGAGGGGAGTGAGTGAACAGGAGAACCGAGAATGGACTCCAAAGGGGGACATAAACTGCGATTAGTTCTTCGCCAGGCTCGCCGGGCGTGATGGGTCAGAATACTCCGCCTTCTGGTCGTCCTGCACTCACACACGCCACAAGGGGGAAGAAGGGATGGAGAGGGATGGAGAGGGAGGGGAGGTGTCTTGAGCCAACGCATATGTCAGGCTGAATGCCGTCTCACACATACTCCAGGCACGCACGGGACTGAGGTTTTGCAGTCGGGAAGTCACTTTTACTTTTGCTAAAAGTGACTTCCCGACTGCAGCTCATCCAGTCCACATGGCTGAATGCCGTCTCACACATACTCCAGGCACGCACGGGACTGAAGTTTTGCCCAGAAACCCAGTGCGTGCCTGGAGTTCCTCTTTCCTCACTGAAGTTTTGCCCAGGAACTGATGCATCTATAAGTGAGGAAAGAGGATTTCGTCAGGCACCCCAAGAATCGACCACAGGAGCTGGTACATCATTAAACCCTGAACCCCGAAACCCCTAGATCCAAAGCCCCCTACCTGCTGTTTGTCCTCCACCGTGCTCTCGCGCACAGTGTACGTGCTCTGATCCGCCTCCGCCTCCCACACCCACTGCTCCTCGCCCTAAACCCTGAACCCTCCGGCCCCAAACCCTGGCCACCCACCTTCAGATGCAGCTGAATGGACGTGCCACGCGCAAGCTGCTCCCCGTCCGCGTCCTCGCGCACAGTGTACGTGCTCTGATCCGCCTCCGCCTCCCACACCCACTGCTCCTCGCCCCTAGCACTAATCCTGAACCTAGACCCCGAACCCTGAACCGTGAACTCCTTTCTCAAGTCTCTCACCTTGAGGTGCAGCTGAATGGACGTGCCACGCGCAAGCAGCTCCCCGTCCGCGTCCTCGCGCACAGTGTACGTGCTCTGATCCGCCTCCGCCTCCCACACCCACTGCTTGCCGCCCTTGGCGCTCTTGGTGCGCACTGTAACACGGTCTGCCACCAGGAACGCGGAGTAGAAGCCCACTCCGAACTGCCCAATCAGGTTGCTGTCCACCTCGCCCTCCTTCTCCTGCTTCTCCTGGTGGTGGGGGTGGGGAGGAGTGGGGGGGGCCCGGGGAGTGGGAGTGGGAGGGGAGCGGGAGGGGGAAGAAAGGGTGGTTCTCGGCTCGGCTCTAGCATTGCCTCACAAGGAACGCGGAGTAGAATCCCACTCCGAACTGACCAATCAGGTTGCTGTCCACCTCGCCCTCCTTCTCCTGTTTCTCCTGGTGGTGGTGTGGGTTGGAGGGGCGAAGAGCGGGGGAGGGGGAGGAGGAGGGTAAGGGGACGATTCATGTGTCAAGTAACAACACTGGCAGAGCTACAGCGAGTAAATATTCCAGCTTTTCCCATCCTCACAGCATCGATGGAAAAATCTCAGTTACAGTCTTATCTTCGCTACAAGCTGCCCCGTGTTTACCTTGATGGCCTGCACGAACTTGGCAGTGCCACTCTGGGCGATGGTCCCCAGCGAGTCCATGAGCTCCTCCTTTGTCATGCCGATGCCCGTATCGCTGTGAGGGACAAGGGAAAGTGGGGGAGAGGAATGAGGGAAGAGGGAACGGAGAGGGGGAACGGAGGGTGATGGTCCCCAGGGCGTCCATTATCTTGGTCATGCCGATGTCGTTCGTACCAAGTGGCCGGACATACGAACAGGACAGCTGGTGCCGGTCCTGGTCGGTTCACACTCCATACACCACTATACCGCACCGCAACACACGCCAACACAACACACGCCACCACCGCACCACAGCACACCGCACTCCACCGCAGCGCACTCACGTGATGGTGATGGTGCCAGCAGCGGGGTCCGCCTTGATCCGAATGGCGAGCTCCGAGTCCGCCGCCATGAGCGCCGGGTCCGTCACCGACAGGAACCGCAGCTTGTCCAACGCGTCGCTCGCATTGCTGGGAGCGGTGAGGGGGTGGAGGGGCGGGGAGAGGAGGGGAGAGGAGAGGTAAGTGAGAAGAGACCGAATCCACAGGATGGGATGATCGTCCGTATTACTAGTTCCTCGTAACAGTTGCGAAATTAGCATGTTGTTTAAAAAAAAAAAATGTTGAAGTTTCCAGCAGGCATGCTTCTGCCTAACTTGACGAGGTCTTGCACGAAGATCTCCCGGCGATACGAACTGTAACGAAAGGAGAGCAATGTAACCAAACGCAGGTTACCACCACAATCATACCTGACGAGCTCGCGGAGGAAGACCTCGCGGTGGCTGTAGAGAGAGTGGACGATGAGATCCATGAGCCGATTCACCTGCGCTCACACGGACACGTGGACAGAAACACGTGGACGATGAGATTCATGAACCGATTCACCTGTGCGCACACACGGACACGTGTAGATCCATGAACTGAATCACATGTGCGGGCAGATCTAGAGGGACACATCGGCACATCAACCCCTGAAGTTCGATTGTAGGACTCTGAATAAAAAAAAAAATGCTACGACGCGTAGGGGAAGTTAGTGTTCGTCTTAGACATTATGATGGTGAATCTTTGAAACACAACATCACTACCCGGTGAAATTCCACCCACCCCGGCCTAACTCTCACCTCGGCTTGGTACGTGAAGGTCTCGGAAGCTGGGGCCTCTGTCGTCGTGGCGTTGCATCGGACGGGGCTCCACGTGGCAGGCTTCTGTGCGGCACGCTGCGATGCTGACGTGGCATGAGTGGCCGAGCGGGAGAGGCGGGCAAGAAGAGCGGGGTTGCCGGCGGCGCCGGAGGAGAAGGAGCGCCACGAGATGGACGGCGCGGATGCGGTTGACTGCGTGGGAAAGCGGGAGGAAGGAGGAGGAGAACGGAGAGCGAGAGATTAGGGTCGTCAAAATTACTAACAATTGACTCAACAACTACGGGGGGGGGGATCCTCCCTGATCAGAAAATTCGAGGGTGATTGGACTTTTGAGTCGAGTCAAAAGACTGCCAGTTGACTGTCAGTTGACTCAAGAACTACGGAGGAGATCCCCTTTGGTCACAAGACGACGAGGGTGGTTGGCACGGCATGGCCAGAGAGCGATTTTTGAGGATTCACGCACCGCACCCTTGGACGAAGCATCCTTCGCCAGCACCGTGCGCGGCGCGCTAGAGACCGACACGGCGTTCATCTGGAGAGCCGCCATGGCTGGGAGACCCGAAAGCGCGGGGATAGCGCGGTGCGCGGAACGCAGGAGTCGGCGTGCGGCGGTCGAACGAGAGAGCATCAAGCGAAGCTCGCGCAGTTCTATGGCAGATGGAGCACAACGGAACTGCGATCAAGGAGCGAGCTGTCCTTGGGAGCAACAGGAAAGTGGAAGCAACTGAGAAAAATAGAGTGACAATATTTTAGCTCCAAGTCTGCTGGAGCTTCCCCTGCTGCGGCGGCTGTTGAAACTTGAAAGGTTCAAGGCAGGGGGGTTGGCGGAGGCGCAGCGGAAAGCGACCAGTGGCTGGCGGGACGGATCAAACCAGAAGTGGGGGGGGAAATGCTCTATGCTCGCGGAAAGGCTTGGCGGGAAACACTAGCGAGCGGAACGAAAATGGAATGCGCAGCAGAGGGGGTCACCGCCGAATGCCGAATGCCGGGAGTGGGGGGAAGAATGTGGAATGTGCTTGCGGTGTTTTCGAGGCTTTCCAGGTGGACCGAGAGAAAAGCGGTCAGTACGCGTGGCATCGAGTTTGATGTGCCAGATCATTTTCTAGAAAGGCCATTGATTCGGCTTGGTGAGCATGTCACTGTGCCAGCTCAGCTTCGATTGACGTGTTTACCAGAAGGTTCGATTGCGGACATGGGATCGGTCACATATGCAATACACTTGAAGAGGATCTAGTGTAAAACAATCAGGTGTGTGTGGACTCCTTACGCACATTGTACAAATACCGTAGGCATGTGATAACTATATCTTGGGTCTATGAGCATTCTATTTAGGGATCAACAAAAAAGTCACTATTGAAGCAGGGACAGTCGAAATGTGGTACAACTAGGGGAGGAACGGTCGTATTGTACACAGGAACGAGCTGTTTTGTGATCGCCTGGTTGCAAAGCTTCCCATTGCAAATCAAGGGAGCTGTGTGCATGACGATGATGCAGAAATTGGTTGGTGACCAGCAGCCACTTAGAATCGCTCAGATTGTACAGAGAATGTTGACACAACTAAACAAAAATGGCACTGCGCTCTGCAGTGCAATGCAACGCTTCAAAGTGGTCTACTCTAAAGTCCACCAACACACAAACTTTTGCCCAAAAGCAATCAATTTGTTCCCTGCTTTAAGCTGAGTGCTTGGTCTCCATGTGCTTCGTCAAAAACGCCTCCGCATTGAACTTCCTGTTGGCAAAAAAGAAAGAAAAGGGAAAAATGTGCCACAACACAGAGAAGCCAAAGGTGAGACACCGTTGCGGAAAAAAACCAATCCTCAGCCATCAGCAATCAACCAAAACAGGGCAGCTGTATAGAGACACAACCGCCAGGAAGCTTCCTTCAGACGCAGCGTGCGATGCGACCAGCAGGGACACCTGTGAGCCTGGTAGACGACCGGGCACTGGAAACCAACTAACCAGGCACTACTTTGAAGTAGTATGCATAGAAAGAAGACTCACAGGTAGCGGTGTGAGTGCATCTAAAATCAACTTACTTGGGGCACTGTGTGCAGTGGAAAATAGCCTTCCTCTTCCCTCCTGACGCAGGGGTGGCTGTGGCACCAGGCTCCGGTGTTCCTGCTGCTATGCCTGCTGCTGCCGCTGGTATGTGCCGTGAATTATGTATTGCCATGGGCAGCATGCAATGAGGGATGACTTACTTGGGGCACTGTGTGCATTTGAAAACAGACTTCTTCCCTCCTGAAGCAGGGGTGGCTGTGGCACCAGGCTCCGGTGTTCCTGCTGCTGCTGCTGGCGGTGTGGCTGCTACTGGCGCTGCTGCTGCAGGCTTGGCAGCGGGAGTGGCAGGCTTGGCAGCCTAACCAAGGGGAGCAGGGACAGGTAGGGTGGAGGACAACGAAGGATGACCATAGAGGAAGCGAATCAGGGAGGAACCACGTGTAGATAGGTTATTTTTCAGACGTCTCAAAAATAACCTATCTACACCAGGCAGCCTAACCAAGGGGAGCAGGGATAGGTAGGGTGGAGGAGAATGAAGAACGACAATTGAGGAAGCGAATCAGGGAGGAAAAGGGCGAGAGGAGCTGGGAAAACCTGTTTTGAAAAAAGGCACCCATGATTGCATGCAGGAAAGAAAGAGACGTCTTGGTCTAAAAATGCACAAGGACAGCACAGAACAATGGGTGAACCAGGGGAGGGAGGTGGGGGTCGGTAGGTGGGGGGAGGTGGAAGGAGGTGGGGGTTGCAGGGAGAGGTGTATGACGAGACGCAGCAATCACACGTGGCTGCGCGAGAGCATGACACAGCACCATGCAGGTTATACACCCATTGACTTGCATGGATTGATGCTGCCATCCCCATGCATGCATTGATGCTCAAATCCCCATGTGTATGCATTGATTGATGCTCCATTGCCATGCACGCACCCATCAAGCCCCCACAAAATATGGATTTCGGAACTGGCTAACGTGGTCTGTACGGGAGTATCTGCAAACAATCTTTAAGCCCAGGAACAGATATGATTCGTTCACTGCCATCATTCTCGTGTCATCCTGATCCCTTCAATGATTCTTGGATCCAAACCCATAAGCCTGCAGCAGCAATAAGGGACAGCAGTAGGGAACAGCAGACTCAGATCGGAGAATGAGGGCTTACCTCCTTGGCAGGAGCGGGAGAGGGGGCGGCAGGGGAGGCAGCAGGAGCAGCAGCACCACCAGCGGCGGCAGCGGCAGCGGCTGCTTCTCTGCGTTGCTTCTTCTTTTGCGCCTTGGAGAGAGCAGGCGAGGGAGTGGCCGCGGGGGAGTCCGCTTGGCGCTTGGCGCCCGCTGCAGGCTGTGGGGGGGGACAATAAGGGGGGAGGTGCGCAGGGGAGGGAGGGTGGGGGGAGGGGAGAGGCGAGACATTAGCTTCGGGTTGATTCTTCTTCTGCGCCTTGGAAAGGGCGGGTGAGGGCGTGGCCGCGGGGGAGTCCGCTTGGCGGGGGGAAACGGCAGGAGGGAAAATGAAACAGATAAAAGAAGACAAACCGGAGTGAAGAGAGCAGAGGTAGCAGAAGATTATACAGATGGCAGAAGAGGGAAACGCAGGGCCACGTACCTCAGGTGTAGCAGCAGGTTTAGCAGCAGGAGCAGCAGCAGCGGCGGCGGGCTTGGCTGGCTCGGCCGCGTCTGCCATCTGTTGGGTCAGCGAATGGGGTGAACAAGGTGAGTGAGCGCAAGATGGGTGCGCGTGGGGTCAACAAGTGGGGTGAACGAGTCACGTGGGACCATGGGGAATGAGAAGCTTCGTGTAAAACAAATTAAAACAGGGAATGAGAATTGCGATAGGAGGGCCACGAATCTCCCAATACAAATGTGATGTCGCTTCGTAGTAATTTGAACGATAACCCGTGTCAACTCCAGCGTCGCCCGCTGCGCACGAGTGCATCTTGCCAGGAAAATCACCAAACTAAACCCCAGGTCTCTAGGGAAATCAACACCCGCCTGATACTCACCACAGGAAACAACACGCTAAACCCTGAATCTTGCCAACGAATTCACCGCGTTAAACCCTGAACTAGGAAAATCAGCCCGCTAGAACCCGGAACTCTGTCAAGCAAACCAACATTCCAAATTCTTGCCATAAGCCACCGACTAAACCCCGAACCCTGCGAGGTCACGAACACCAAATATACTTAAAGCCCTTAACAGCCGGGCCCGCTCTTCCGCGGATCTACCTCTCGATTTTGAACTGCTTCACGGGTTTTGTCCCTTTGACTAAGGCTCACGCGGGGTGAAGCTGCTTCGGCCCACAGCCGCCTAGCGGTCGCCGAACAGTCACCCAACGGTCACAGCGGCCGCACAACGACAGCAATGCTATGTTCCTAAGGCTCACCTCTGCGTCCTTGCTCGGGCTTGCCCCCTTCTTCCCAGCCTTGGCTGCAACGGCGGCAGGGGCCTTCTTGCGCGGCGGTGTGTCTTCCGCCTCCAGCTCGTCCTCCTCGTCCTCCTCAATGTCCTCCTCGTCGAACTCGTCCTCGTCCATGTCTGGTCACATGGCAATCAGCGGGCAACGTGGAACGAAACACGGGAAATAAGCGATAAGGGTGGGCTCATAGGGGCTTCCTCGTCCTCCTCCTCGTCCTCCTCAATATCCTCCTCGTCGAACTCGTCCTCATCCATGTCTGGCCACATGCGAACAGATGAGCACGGTAGAAAGTTGTGAAAATCAGAGAATGCGTGGAACCATTTTGCAAACGCCCCTTCCCAAACTCGTCATCCTAGCTCTCCCCCGTTTCTGCCCGAGCCGGAGATCGAGGCTAACTTGGTCTACCTTGCCTGTTACGAGCGTAACCAGGTTACCAGCACTCACCGTCATCGCCGGAGTCGCGCGTCTTGTAGCCAGAAAAGAAGATGCTTTGCGAGCCGGAGTGGAAGAGGCTGAACGGCCGGTCGAGCACGAGATCGAGGCTCATCTGGTCCACCTTGCCCTTCACGAGCGAAACCGGGTTACCAGCACTCACCATAATCGTCATCGTCGCCGCTGTCGCGCGTCTTGTACCCGGAGAAGAAGATGCTGTGCGAGCCGGAGTGGAAGAGGCTGAACGGCCGGTCGAGCACGAGATCCAGGCTCATCTGGTCCACCTTGCCCTTCACGAGCGTGCCCAGCACCACCGTCACGGGCGCCGGAGGAGCCTCGTCGTCTTCGTCGTCGTCCTCCTCGTCGACCTCCTCCCTCAGCTGCACCACCACTCTCTCGTTGTCCTTCGCTTGCACTCCCAGCGCCGCCTGTCGGTCAGAGGAGCCGGTTTCAGAAAGCCGCGATGATTTTTGGGAAACTTGGATCCGTGCGTATCGATCTAGGCGCTCTGAAGATGCTACATAGCTTGATTGCGTTTTTCATATAACATGATCAGTCCTGCTTAGTTCGGCACAGAATCCGTCGCCCAAGACTGCTTCAGTAGTCAGACCTAACGAGCACCTGACTTGCGCATATGAGTAGTTAGAAAGCACAAAAGAGAAGTTTTGGAATTAATGAAAGGACGTTAACGTGCGTACCTGGGAAATGTGGAGGTAGTCAGCATCGTCGTTGGGATCCACTGTGAGGGTCTCCTTGGGCTTCACCTCCACGCCTGCACCAATCACGCACCCACGTAATGACATTCGTTAGCATTTTTTTTCATCGCGCGGAATTCACCACACGACTTCGATCCCGCAATGGTGCACAGCATACAGAAGAAGCAAAAAATGGAGAATGTGTGCTGTGAAACGCCTTGTTGGCAAAGACACGATCACAAAATAACGAAAACGAGGGAGATGCTGGACGCGTATTCCAATACATATTTCATGAGGAATTGAAGGATGCGACTACCAGAGAGATGATCCAATGACTAGCTTTATCACCGAACACGGCGATATGAAAGACGGTGACGAGGTAACTAGAAAGGGTCTCACCCCAAAAGCTCAGCTTGCCGTCCATCTTTTTTTTGCGATTAATAAGACCAAACTGAATTTGGGGCTGCGATGCGAAAGTCTAGGAACTAGGCTGACCAGCTTGCTGAGGAGGCTGCTTCTGAAAAACGAGGTCTGAACAATTGGTTCTCAACGAATTTGTACAAGAGGGAGACAAAGCAGCCTTGCCAGCGAATTCCCAGTAGCTCTGCGATGTTCCCAAGAGCCTGGCGGAGTGGAGTGGAGTGTGCGATACTGGTTTTGCCATAACTGGAAGCGAAACCGGTAACCACTATTTCGGAGCTGTTTTGCCCGTCGCGACAGTTGTAAGAACCCGAACCCGTATTGTTCCTTGCAACTCAGCTCCACGCCCACGCAATCGGAACACCTACAGAAAAGCGTCGGAAGACAATAACGGGTCAGCCTCAAAATCCACCTGGTCACAAAGGGAAAATATGCCACACGTAATCAACAAGGGTCTCGATAATTTGTTTGGTAAATAAATAACGGGTACGGTCACTGGAAAGGGTGTTCTCACGTGTTTGATAAAACGTTTCACGGAATCAGTCACAATCAACTGGGAAAAAATAACGCGAATGGTCACAGATGAAACTCCCGCCCAAAAAAGATTATACCCAAAACGAACCTGGATGCATTTTTCGGATGAATCAACCCTGAACACAATTCGCCAGGTGTTTAGGGTTGATCCGTTCCAAAACCGCATTCTATTCCGATTGGGTTTAGTTTTTCCAGAAGTTAGCTGATTGGTTGGACGCGAGCGGGGAATATTGTAGAGTTTCAAGATTTTTTGGCGGGAGTTACATGTGTGACCATTCGCGTGATTTTTTACCTGTTGTTAGTGACTGAATCCGTGACCCCACTTACCAGACCCGTCAGGAAACCCGATACAGTGACCGTACACGTTTTTTTTGTACCATTCACGTTATCGGGTCCCATGTTCGTTACGTGTGGCATATTTTCCCGGTCACAAAAATCCTGGAGGCTCCCAAGGTTTGGCAAAGATCTGGGTTTCGCGCGTTTCTGGAATTTGCTTCTGGGCTCCACGAGACTTCTCGAGTCTCGAACCGAACCCGTATGTCCAAACCATTTTCGCGGTTCCAAACTGAACTACACAGCGAGGCTCGGCAGAAGCACGAGATTTGCTGCGGCGTCCCTGCACCTCACACAACCAAAATGGCGCAAGTGGAATTCCCGCTGGCTGTTGTGGTGCACCACCCCAGACCATTTGCACATATTTCCATGTTTCCATATAACAAGGTTTGGACATGTGTAAAAATAGGTGGTCATGAAAGAACTAGCCTTTGAGTACCTGATTGACTTTAAGTACAATGCTGCTTATTATGGTTACTCACACCATAATTATGATCACTTACGCTCCTTGTCCAACACCACCGAGCAAACCCTTCTCCACATCCCCATCATCCCCACCACCACCCTTCTTCCCTCTTCCCCTCTCCCCCTTCACATCCTTCCAAAAATTCAACGAGGGCAACCCACGAACCGCATTGTCGGTCTTTTGTAACGAAGGAGCCTTGTAAGTAATCTGCAGCAGGAGAGAGTTGGCCATGACTCCCAGAGAGCTCACTCCCATGAGGGCCCCACAGAGGGAGGGGGTGAGCATGGTGCCCGTGAAGGGCAGCAACGCCCCTGCCGCCACTGGAAGCCCAATCTGGGAGGGTGTAGGGGTAACAGGGAGGGGGGAGCAGAGAGGTACGGTATGGGATGGAGTTATTACCCACGGTGAGTGGGGTGCCAAGGGAGCAGTGCGCCTGCCCTGCTGCCACTGGCGTAGCCACTTGGAGGGTTATTCCAGGGTAGGGGGGGGACAGAGAGGAGTGAGATGGTAGAAACACCCACAGTTCCCTGTGTAGGCAGGTGTGCAGTGGAATTCTGAGTACACCTCAATGCTCGGGGGGCCACAGAGAGGAGTGAGATGGTAGAAACACCCACGGTTCCCTGTGTAGAAAGGTGTGTGGTGGAATGTCATCTGCTGCCATCCCAAGTTCATTCCTTGCATAAGGGAATGGCCGACGCCAACCACACGAGGAGGGAACATTCCTCTTGCCATGCCACACAGCAAGGCCCTTGTAAAGTTCAAACTAGTTCGGAAGGGGGGAAGGGGGACGGTTGAGGGGGGGGAAGGTGGGGGAGGGAGCGGGGGGGATAGGGGGGAGGTGGATGGGGAGGGGGGTTTGGTGTGAAGGGAGTCTCACCTGAGTCACCCGGTCGCCCATCAGCACCACCGCTGCCACCCCCAGCACCATCCGCACCACCCACACTCACCAGGCCTCTCCTTGGTTCTGTCGTTGGTCATTCGTTCTTCCGAAAACAGGAGGGAGCGGGGCTTGAAGGGGTGGTAGAAGCGGAAAGTCAAGTCTCACCATGTTGTAGAGAAACGCCCAGGCTAGATTCTGGCGGATCTTGTTGAAGGTGCAGCGGCTGAGGTGAATGGCGTCCACCACTTGAGTCACCCGGTCGCCCATCAGCACCACTGATGCCACGTCACTTGCCGCCCCCACGCCCCCAGCCATCGCTATGCCCACGTCGGCTCGAGCCAAGGCAGCTGCGTCGTTCACCCCGTCTCCAACCATCGCCACTCGGGTTCCTTTTGCCTGCAGGGCCGAAACGAAGTCTGCCTTGCCCTCTGGTTTCACGCCCGCGTAGACCTGGGTGGGGAGAGTGCATCGAGGGAAATGGGAGAGGAGAAGAGAATGGGGGAGGACGTGGGAAGGAAGGAAGTCACCCGGTCGCCCATCAGCACCACTGATGCCACGTCACTCGCCGCCCCCACCCCTCCCGCCATGGCGATTCCCACGTCTGCTCGGGCCAGTGCCGCTGCGTCGTTCACCCCGCCTCCTACCATCGCCACTCGTGTTCCCTTTGCTTGCAGTGCTGAGACGAAATCAGCCTTGCCCTCTGGCTTGACGCCTGCATAGACCTGGGAGAAGGAGAAGAACGGGGGGAGGACGGGAAGGGGAAGAAGAGGATGTGAGAAGGGATTGATAGAGAGGAGATATCGCTACGCCCAACATCCACCCGCTCCCAATTCTCCCACCCCCTCCGGCCATGGCTATGCCCACGTCTGCTCGGGCTAGATCCGCTGCGTTGTTCACCTCGTCCCCCACCATCACCACCTGCACTCCATCGCCGTTTAGCTTGCAGTGCTGAGACGAAATCAGCCCTGCCCTCGGGCTTGACGCCTGCATAGACCTGGGAGAAGGAGAAGAACGGGGGGAGGACGGGAAGGGGAAGAAGAGGATGTGAGAAGGGATTGAGAGGAGGAGATATCGCTACGCCCAACATCCACCCGCTCCCAGTTCTCCCACCCCCTCCGGCCATGGCTATGCCCACGTCTGCTTGGGCTAGATCCGCTGCGTTGTTCACCCCGTCCCCCACCATCGCCACCTGCACTCCATCGCCGTTTAGCTTGCAGTGCTGAGACGAAATCAGCCTTGCCCTCGGGCTTGACGCCTGCATAGACCTGGGAGAAGGAGAAGAACGGGGGGAGGACGGGAAGGGGAAGAAGAGGATGTGAGAAGGGATTGAGAGGAGGAGATATCGCTACGCCCAACATCCACCCGCTCCGGATTCTCCCACCCCCTCCGGCCATGGCTATGCCCACGTCTGCTCGGGCTAGATCCGCTGCGTCGTTCACCTCGTCCCCCACCATCGCCACCTGCACTCCATCGCCGTTTAGCTTGCAGTGCTGAGACGAAATCAGCCCTGCCCTCTGGCTTGACGCCTGCATAGACCTGGGAGAGAGGGAAGAATATGGGTTGGATTTGGGGTCAATGGGTAGGGCTCACAAGAGAACGTGGGAAAGTCATTGAGAGGAGGAGAGGCCCCTGCAATGCCCAGTCTACCTGTACCACGTACCCTCGATATAGTCACCCTCGTTGAAGTGCAGCGTGCCATGCTGCAGTTGATATGCTCCAAGCTTCTCACCTCGTTTTCGGGAATGGCGACTTTGTGCGCGATCGCCAGAGCAGCTGTTACAGCCACTACAGCCGCTACGCACAGGGGTGCTAATTGGTTTACCTCGTTTTCAGGAATGGCGACTTTGTGCGCGATCGCCAGAGCAGCCGGTCTCTTATCCCCCGACAGCATGGCAGTGTGAAGACCCATGGCCTGTAGCGCCGCTACAGCCGCTACATGCAGGCGTGTCGAATGGTTCATAGCGTCTCACCTCGTTTTCAGGAATGGCGACTTTGTGCGCTATCGCCAGAGCAGCCGGCCGCTTGTCCCCCGACCCGACAGCATCGCCGTGTGCAGCCCCATGGCCTGTAGCGCCGCTACAGCCGCCACAGCCGGTACAGCCGCTGTAATTGTTACAGCCTCTGCTGTGTTGAGCTTCTTACCTCATTTTCCGGAATCCCGACTTTACGAGCGATTGCCAGTTCAGCCGGCCGCTTATCCAGCGACTGCATCGCCGTGAGCAGCCCCATGGCCTGTAGCGCCGCGACAGCCTCTGCTGAATTGAGCTTCTCACCTCGTTTTCTGGAATGCCGACTTTGTGCGCGATTGCAAGGGCAGCCGGTCTCTTATCCCCCGACAGCATGGCCGTGTGCAGCCCCATGGCCTGTAGCGCCGCTACAGCCGCCGCCGCCTCGTCACGGACCTTGTCGACCAATGAGATGGCGCCTGCCAGCCGGCCGTCCACCCCCACGTACACGGTGGTCTCGCCTGGGGTGGGGTCGCCTGGCATGGCAGGCCTGAGAGTCGGTGATGCGGGGGATGACCCTGTGAAGGTAAGGAGCAGGGACGGGCGGGAAGCGAGGTGGGCAGAGGAGGAGGGTGGGAGGAGCGGGGAGCAGGATGAGATGGCACTTGCCAGCCTGTCATCCTGCCGTCCACCCCCACGTACACGGTTGTCTCCCCTGGTGTGGGATCGCCTGGCACTGCAGGCCTGAGAGTCGGCGAGGAGGGGGATGACCCTGTGAAGGTAAGGAGCAGGGACGGGCGGGAAGCGAGGTGGGCAGAGGAGGAGGGTGGGAGGAGCGGGGAGCAGGATGAGATGGCACTTGCCAGCCTGTCATCCTGCCGTCCACCCCCACGTACACGGTTGCCTCCCCTGGTGTGGGATCGCCTGGCACTGCAGGCCTGAGAGTCGTCGAGGAGGGGGATGACCCTGAGGGACGGGTGGGAGGAGGAGGGAGGGAGGGGATGAGATGGCACCTGCCAGTTGAACCGTCCACCCCCACGTACACCGTGGTCTCGCCCCGGGCGAGACCCCAGGTGGGATTTCCTGGAATGGCAGGCCTGATATTAGGTGATGAGGGGGACAAACTTGATGGCGAGGAGCAGGGAGGGGCGGGACGAGGGATTGGGTGAGAGAGAAAAGGGGAGGAGAATGAGATGGCGCCTTTGATTGATTCTCGGCGAATCAAGCGTGCCCATCTCCACATGCAATGCAACAACATCTCACCTCGCCTCACCTCGCCTGCTGCTGCGCTGCTCATCAGATCCGCCTCTTACTCCAACTCCACCGGCACATCTCAGCCGTTCTCTCTCAGCTCAGTCAGCCTATCTGGCACGCTGAGTACTCAACTCACAACAACCACATGCAACAAGATCTCTAATCCTACATTCAACAACAAGGCCTCACCTTCTGCTGCTGCGCTGCTCATCAGATCCACCTCTTACTCCACTCCACCGGCACATTGCAGCCGTTATCTCTCAGCCAATCAGGCGTGCGACATAAAGTAAGGTCTTACATCCCACCTGCCGAACGATCTAACATCTCACCTTCCGCAGCGCTGCTCATCAGATCTGCCTCCTCAAGTTCAACAGGCACATCACAGCCGTTATCTCTCAGCCAATCAGGCGTGCCCACCACCACATGCCGCCCACCCACCACCGCCGCCGCCCCGGCCCCCGGCTGCTGGAAAAACGACCCATCCTCCACGCGAGCTCGCCTCGCCTCCTTCCCGGCAGCTTCCACTATTGCCGTCGCGAGGGGATGCGTGGAATTCCGCTCAACTGCCGCTGCCAGCACCAGCACCTCCCCTCTCCTCCTCTCCTCCTCTCCTTCCTCTCCCACTCCTCCTCCCTGTCTCCCCACCCCACGCTCCTTCTCCTTCTTCTTCCGCTCCTCGTCACACCCAGCACCATGCAAGCGCACGCGCGTGACGGTGGGGCGGCCGAGGGTGAGCGTGCCGGTCTTGTCAAAGAGCACGGTGTGCACGGCAGTGGAGCGCTCCAACACGTCTCCCCCACGGATGAGCAGCCCTTTTCTTGCTGCTACTGCTGTGCCTACCAGGACTGCTGTTGGGGTAGCCAGGCCCAGGGCGCATGGACAGGCCACAACCTGAAGGTGTGGTTGGGGGACGGATGTTGGGGTGAGTATGAGAGCGGATCAGCAGCCCCTTCCAGGCGGCTACGGCGGTGCCTACGAGGACGGCTGTGGGTGTGGCCAGGCCCAGGGCACGGGGGCATGCTACCACCTGAGGGGGAAGGGGCAGGGGATGATAGGGGGAGGGGTTAAGTGAAGGGAGTGAAGGGAGTGAATGGGGACGGCAGTGGAGCGCTCCAACACGTCTCCCCCGCGGATCAGCAGCCCCTTGCGTGCTGCCACTGCTGTTCCCACCAGAACTGCCGTTGGAGTGGCTAAGGCGAGAGCACAGGGACAGGCCACCACCTGAAGAAAGAACGCAGGGACGAATGCAGGGA